CCTCGACGTGGCCACGCTGCGCGCTCGGTTGCCGCATATGACCCCGCGGCTGCGGGCGGTCGTAGCTAGCTACGGACGGCGAAAGGGTGGACGCGCGACTTTGGGATTCCGTCGCTGGGGGAGCTTTCAGGAGTAAAGGTTGTTTCTTCATTGATCGTTGCCCGCCGGGGCTTCCCACGTTGGGCGTGCCCAGCGTGCTTAGAGAGTAGTTGTCGCCCACGTCGACCACATTACCTGGGTCTTGTGAGGAGATGGCTCCGGCAAAGGAGTTGGCGATGTTCTGCGGTCCCTCCCCTCCTTGAAGACTGCGGTTGTAGACTGTCGCCAAGAAGGTGAGAATGGCATTGATGGAGTTTTCGTGGCGCGTATGCTGTTCTTGGAAGTTGGCCGCCTGGGCGTAGAGTTGCTCGTGCTCCCTCCGTAATTTACTTATCGTGGTGGAGATCACCTGTTGTTGCTGGCGAATGGCCTGCAACTCTCGATACACCCCGGCGAATTGGTCCTTCGGGATCGGTTCCCCCCCGGTGATCAAGGATAGCTGGCGGTTTCGCGCGCGGTCGTCTCGCGGTAGCCCGGGGCCGTCGTCGTAGTCCTCAATCTCATTGTCATCGGGCTCTTCGGTCTTGACCCGTACCGTTTGCTTTCCTGACTTCGGCCCCTGTCCCGTGGCATTTTTAGGCTTTTGAATCAGCCACAGCAGGTCGGGATGTCCGCGCTTGAAGTACGGATTCGCGTATTCGCTGGGACTTTTGTTCTTGCGCTCGCTGGCGCGCATCGAGTTATCCGAAAGCCCGACCTTTTTATGGAAGCCGTACATATTCAGTTGGCGAACGAAGGAGGCGTAGTTGTTATGCTTGAAAAGTTCAGGGATCAAAGTCTTGGCAAACTCGTCTTCGTCCATCACGATGAAGGAATTCCCGTCGTCAGACCATCGAATCAAGTCGGTATTTTTGGATTCGTCGAGGAAACTGTTTTTTCGTCAGCTACGGTCGTCTGCCATTATGCATCTGCCGTGTTCAACATACCTGCTCAATTTCTGCACAAATGGAGGAATCTGCTTTCGTTTCGCCTGCGCATCTCTCTTCGCGACCAACGCCCGCTGATAAAGCTCGTCAATACTCTCTCCCCATCCGCCAGACTCTCCCGGGTTGCTACCCGACTCCGTCACCGAAATCGGAGACTGTTCATAGCCGCGATTGCGGCTAACTAGCTGTTGGTTCTGATTCGGAGGCTGCGGCTGCGGCTGCGGCTGAGGTTGTCTTCGAGCGAGTTGATTAGATGCAGTCGCCGTCGAGGCGGGGGCGTCTTGGTTTGAGGAATAGGCGGCGGCGTTGTAGGGGTTCGCATCAGGATAGGAGGGGTTCACGACATTCGAGGCAGGATTCTGACCCCATTGCAGAAACTGATCGTTGGACAGCTGCGAGCCGGAGTTGGAAGGGTAATTGATGGGGCCCAATTGCGGGTGCACAGCGGGCGAGGTGCCGGGGGCCGGTCTTTTGCGATTTATGCCTTGAGGACTCATGGTCGGCGAAATGGATTCCGGACGGGTCGAGCAAGGATAGCTGGGGGGAGAGAAGTCTCAGCGTTCGAGCGAGCCCTAGTCCGACCGACGCGGAGCCTCTTGTCGGCAGCGATCACAAACGCCAGGCCGAGAGCGGGCGTATGGCGGGGAACCGGGCGACGGTGGCACAGGCAATCAGAAAGTGGGAACGAGAGGGCGGCAAGACAATTCTCGAGGCCAGGACCTCTGATTCAGACACGAACCAAGGGATTTAATGATCGCGGGTTGGTGGCCGAAGGGTTGCGCCGTCGGTGCTGGATTTTCCAACCTTTCGCTGAGACGAGAGGGACGCGACCAGGCGGCGCTCGGGCGCTATGGGCGAATGATAACGAGCGAAAAACGCGACGACGGGCGAGGGGATCGTCGAATGCGAAGCCCGCGATGGGAACAGAGACTGTCGAAGGAAGCGAGGGGCGTCGATGCAGAGGACAATTGCTGCTCAGCGATGTCGAAGCTTGGAAAGATGGATGCCAGCAGTGAGCAGAGCGCAGTGAGCAAAGAGCACCTGGCTAAAAAGCCGCTAGCGGGGACCGGGACAGGATTAAAAATGGAGAGGGTCCCTTTTTTTTTTTGTATTGTATCCGGTCAGGGGAAAACGAAGGGAGGGGTCAACATTTGGCAGGAAATGGCGTGGCCGATCGAGAGAGTGAGACGAGAGTGACTGGTTGATTGAGGATGGCGCAACCCAAATAAAAAGAATAGCAATGAAGAGCCGTGAGAAGGAAAAGAAGAAGAGAGAGATGCTTGGCAAAAAGATCGATGAGGTCAATGGTCATTCGGCATCCTGATTGGCTATAAGGGATGACTCATCCACATGTCATGAGTAGTTAACTAGTTAACTAACTAGTTAACGTACATTTAGTAAAGTATCATAGTCATCTCGATTTTAAAACATATACACGACTACTTTACATCGTCCAGTCTTGCAGACAAGAAATATAGACCATTCACAATCTCAACTGGCAGTTACGCCATCTCTACGTGATCCCCGGTGAGTCCCTGGAAGTCCTCGACCATTCGCTGCCACATCTCAGGATGTCCCTCCACAAATGTCTCGACCGTCCGCAAAGCAGCCAGATCCCCCTCCATGTGATTTCTCTTCGTCGTGCCGTTGAGCACCGTCGTCTTCCCGAGTCCCAGCACCAAACTATACAGAGCGGCGGCAGGGCCGATTCCCGCGTGGCTGACCAGCAGCTGCACGACCTCGGAGCGCAACAACTCCGGATTCGCCGACAAGGTCCAGAAGCTCTGATAGATGATCTGATGCGCCCGGCAGAACGACCGCAGCGGCACGTCGAACTGCGTGCCCCCGTAGAAGCGGTTCTGCACCACTGCCGGCGGCACCGAGACCAGGGAGGACAGCTCCCGCAGGACGGGCAGCGTGCAATTGGAGATGCCTAGATTCCGGATGCGATGGGGCACGTAGGTCTCAAAGGCCAACCACGCCTCCAGGGTCTGCTCCATCGTCGACAAGGGCGAGTGGAGGATGAGCATGTCGATATACGCCTCCTCGGCACTGTCTGCCTCCTCGGACGGGCGAAGATGTCGGAAGGAAGACCGGACAGAGGCATGGACTTGCTGCGTCACCGAGTCATTCGGATCATACGGCATGTTGTCCGGGTTCTGCCCGTGGATTGACGTAAACTTGGTTTGGACCTGCCCATGCACTGTTTAGCGACGGATATGTCTGCGAACAGCGGTTCTAAATTTAGGTTCTCCCTTCGCACTTCACTCACATGGAGGTCTTCTCGTCGGACTGTGCCGTCGCGAATGGCCCGGCGGATGCCTTCTCCGACCAAGTCTTCGCGATAATGCTTGGGTTGGGCAGCGGTATCCATCGCGCGAAATCCAGACTGCAAGGCCTGGTACACCAACTCCGCCGTGTGATCCTTCTTCCATGCGGTGCCGTAAATGAAGGTTGGCAGCACCACGGGCGGTGCGCCCTGGATGGGACGCAGCACGTATTTGTCCCAGGACATCTTACTCGCGACGCTTCGAGCCATGATTTTCAGCAGTCTTCTGACATGAAATGCTGTAGACTGAATCCGACCCGCGCTGCACGATGCACGATATTTTTGGGCGCGGTGGGCGGAGATGGAGGGGTTCTGTAGGGCCCAATCAGTGCATCCATCAGAAGGCGGTTGACTTCATGATGACCTAAGAAGCCCTACCAGGACCAGCCATGCCTACGGTGTAGATTCTGATAACGCTTTTTCTTCGACCGCCTAGAGACTTGGTGATCGCCATTCAACTACCCTCGATCGAGTAGGCCGTAGTCCTCCGACTCGTACAATCAGGCCGCAATGGGAAGAGAGACCAGGGTCCCTTGCCGGATTCGAAGCGATCACGTCGTGACGAACCCCAAACTGTACATTGGATGATCCCGAACGGGGATAGCAGGGCAGGCAACATATTTATCTCCAGCTTGACTGGTCGCAGTGATTGTGTTGTTGACAGAACCTGCGCGGGGGGATCCTATATATAGCGGGGAGGCTGTGCAAAGACTCGGCACCCGAAGTCTTGGAGTAACAATTAGTTGCCATTACCTAGTTTCCTTCCTACTGTACGGCAGGGAATGCAGAATCAATCGACTGACAAGCGAGATACTCTTGGGAATACATTTCGGTCTTTTCCTTTGTTTCTCTTCTTTTTGGTCAACCTCATCAAAGCCCCTATCAACAGCGATCCCTCGGAAAAACGTCACTCGCGGCAAGGGAGCACCACGCCTATCGAAAAATCCCCAGTCGACGTCTCACCGCGAAGTCAATTCGACACTGCATGCCAGGAACCAGATCAATAATAGCCCAAGAGAATTTCATTAAACAGACCCTCTCCGACAATAGCGCATCAGCCACGAGCAAATAATCCGTGCCGCCCGGATCCACCCCCCAGAATCCCCAGGGTCCATCGTGGCGGTGAATGCGAAATAGTAATGTAGCTCCCCGCAGACAGATTCGGTAGCGATAGGCACGACTCGATCATCATGATTCTGGGATTTGTTTTCTTTTTTCTTGGAGAGTCCCTAGGCAGCGTCGTTTCCCCGGCGCGGATTGGTTTTCGATCGAGTCTGCCCAAGGTTCAATAGGATTGGCAGACTTGGCAGATGCAATTCCAATCTTCTTGGGCGAGGCTTAGAGCTCCCTCGCAACTTGGATGGAGTAGATCGCTTGGCTAGATGGCAGGTCTGTCGGCGATTTGCAGGGAATGGCGCACGCTATTGGATGGCAGGACGCCGTCACAAAGATAGAAAGGTCGACACACGACAGAGACGTCGGAATATAAATTCAGGCTGGTTCCCTTTCGATTGCTCTTCATCATCATCAACTCGATTTCGCATCGCAAACCAAGAACCATCCTGATCTTGCTATTCCACGTCGCAAATCGCAACGCCGCATCTTCACTTGAATTTAAATTTCCACCTTTGGAACAAACCATCACCATGCGCGCTACTCAACTACTCGCCCTCTCGGGCCTCATGCTGGCCGGCAAGGTCGCTGTCGCCGCAGAATTAGACCGTGACGACGTCCCCAATCGCTGCTGGGACGTCTGCGGACCTGTAGTCAGCACTGCCCACCGATGCGACGGAATGCACGACAACGACCGCGCCGAGATGGATTGCATCTGCGACTGGAAACAGGCGCCGTCACTGGTTCCGCTGTGCGAGGCCTGCATCGCAGACTACCGAGCCGACAGAAACAACTCCAACCGCGATCGTCACTACGACGAGGAGCACGACCTGTTTGACGACGATGACGATGATGATGATGACCGTGACCCGCATCACAACGGTAACAATCCTTCCTCCTCCTCCCTTCCATTGTACTTGCGTGGACTGAAAAGTACTAAGCAAAACTAACATCTCCCAGACGCATACGACATCCTCCGCTCCTGCTCGTTCTCCACCACTTCGTACAACGCCGCAGCCGCTACTTCAGCCCTGAGCAACACCGCATCTGCCACCGGCTCTAGCTCTAGCTCCGGATCTCGTACCGGCTCAACCACCGTCAGCACCACGGACTCCAACACCAGCGCCACCTCGACCGACTCATCGAGCAGCGGTGGCAGCGGTTCCTCCAACGACGACAGCAGCAGCGCCGCCGACTCCAGCCCTGCCAACAGCGCCGACAGTGCACAAACGACCGACAATGCGGCGCCGGGGTCCTCAGCGCCCCATGCTGCTTCTTTGGCTGCTGTTGTCGGGTTGGCGTTTGTTGCTTGGCTGTGAGGTCTTGATGACATGAACGGAGTAATTAGGGGAATACGAGGCGTGGGAGATGGATGAACCCATGAGATAAGGGTTGAATACCTGCTGAGTTTCGAAGAGCGATGCTGCGGCTGGCCCTGAGGGGAAGACCAAGAATGATGGTTTATATTTCACGTTTATGTTTATGTCACTCCTTTATATACCCGGGTAATATATGAATGGTACCATGTATTGAATTTCTTCTTGAGATACGTTCTATTGCGGAGTGTTGTGTTCAAGGAATATTTAAGGCTCTACGCCCAAGGTGTGGAATATCCCGAATGATCACTAAGGACTGCATCCTAATGCCCGCACTATACATGAAAATCTCTTCGTGCCTCTGCCAATGTAATATAGGCCAAGCCCCCAATAACAGGAATCAAAACGTAAACGCTGGGATCTAAAAGCCAATCCTAGAATTCTAACAATAACCAACAACCAAAGCATTCATTCAAGCAAGAAGCAAGTTCAGTCCACATAGATTCCCCTCCAGATCCCCATCATCATATGTTTCGCTCCAATTCGCGCACGATCTTCCTAATTCCAGCATACTCTCTTACATACTTTCTTGCCACCTCACATAGATCCCTCTCGAGCTTCATTTCTAGCTCCATCTTAAACTCCTTCTCTAGCTTCCTCTCTCGCTCCCTGTCCATCTCCTTCTTTCGCTTTTCCCACTCTAGCTTCCTGTCTAGCTCACTTTTTTGCTCACTTTTTTGCTCACTGTCTTGCTCACTGTCTTGCTCACTGTCTTGCTCACTCTCACACGCGCTCTCACACTCCATCTCAAACCCGCTCTCAAACTCGCTCTCCTCACTCTCTAGCCAACGTTCATACTCACTCTCATACCTCTCCCGCTCCTTCTCCTCATACAAATGCCTCAACCGATCCGTCAAATCCAAACACGCGAGGAACAAAACCGTCCCCAGAAAAAGAAAAAGAAAAACACGCCCCACAGGTAACAAAAACGAATAAGACGAGAAGACCCTCCTACACAATAACCGAAAGAAGACTTGATAATGGAGCAAACAATCCAAAAAGGTCAAGGCCTCAAGTATTAGGGCTCGGTAGGCTTGATCGCGGATGGTGATGGTGATCATTTTGCTTGATGCTTGTTAATGAGTGTGGAGGAGGAGTCTTCTTTCTTCGGTTTGAGGATGATCTTGGTGCGACCTGATGTTCTTCCTTGGTTTGCGGGTGTATCTTTGCTTGAATGGGTGTTGTAAGGAGGGAGATGCTTTGGGGAATCAGGGTCGTGATGATGTTTTTAGTTAGTGGTGGATATAGAAGCGGTAGGTTGTTGTACTTGGAATATGGCAGATGTGACGGGATGGAGACTGTTGAGGTACGTTAGTGAGTGTTTGAAAGAAGGTAGAGGCGAGGGTTTGAGTCATACCTCTTGTCTGACGGCATGGGGTCGTCATGATGACCGACGGAGAAGTTCATCTCGTCGGATAACAAGCGAGGATGAACAGAAGAGCGCATTGTCACGTTTGTCGATAATCTCTCAAAAGACAATTTAATGTGAATAGGATGCAAATCCAATATCTTATCGGCTGGAAACATTGTGAAGGACCTGGTCGCTGGACACCGACTGATCCGGGCGAGTGAGCTCGAGTACTCTCAGTCGGTAGTCGCTCTCACTTGCTCATAATCCTTCGTTGGCATCTTAGAAGGTATGATGTAATGGGAGAAATGTTCTCTTGAAGTCTGCGAAGTTGGACAGTCTGAAATTCATTGTGTTAGTAGTGTATATTGGAATGTCTCTGCAACGGCCATGAGACAAACAGAGCCCGATAATTGTGAGGCGCGATACTTCTGAGCCTAGGACCGAAAGACATGTTCCGAAGAGAGTACCATCTTCTTTAGTGAAAGGCAGCTAGACATCCCCAGAAGAATATGACAACATCTCATCCAAACGAGGGTTATACATATCTACACTGCACGTTAGAAAAAGCCACACGCGACGTCATTTAACAGACTCAAAGTAAACCATCCCCTCACCGCTAGAAATCCATCGAAAGCAGAGAGATCATACCTTTGCCTTCAGCACCTGTCCAGGCAATCCCAGTCCATCAAGTAACAAAAGCGTCAACCCAAACCAAGCATATATTTAAGCCAACGGGAATCGCGAACTACACCCTACATCAAGCACACATATATTCTAACGCATACAAGCACCAATATATATTATATTTACGCCATCAACCGTCAAACGTCAAATACATAGAAGCTGAGTGACAACTGGGCAACACCACCTGTCTAGGTCCATCACCAACGCCCTCCTTACATACGAAACACACCCCGGCAGACAGACAGACAGACAGCCACGCGGACAAGGAATGCAGAGCATAAACATACTCAGCAAGTCAGCACCTACCTACCTACCTACCTCGGTCTTTGTATATTTTCCATCCTGCGGTTCCCGTAGACCAAACTCCGCCAACAAGGTCTAGACAAGTATCTCCGGATGCCGTATGCAAGAATTCAAGAAACAAGAACAAGGGAAGAGGAGCAGCAATACTAACAAATCACCATAAAAACAATCACAACGGGCCTCGACCAAACTCAGGAACATTAATCTGATGTCTAACTACACCTGTCGGCCTCCACCTTCAGAGCGAAAACAACAAGTCAAACCACAATCCGAAGACGCAATGAAATGAATCCCTTGCATAAATTCAGGGTGAGGTCAATCAAACGGGGTTTCGGGTTCAAAGAATACACACGGAGGAGGTATTCGTACACGTATGCATGCAAGACTGGACGTCAAGGATACATATTATTCCCTACCTACGTTCTCCGTACATCCATCCATCTCCTAGGTTCTATCCGACGAGATTACCGTATAACTAGCACAAAATCAACGTATGTAAATTCAGCGGTCTACAGATGCCACAGAGCAAGTATGTACCTAGTAGTAACTAACCACATAAACTCCTCAAGCGAATTCCAGTCATCAACCTGATGGGAGATTTGAACAAATATGATGAATTAAAATATGAACACATATTAGCGCCAAGTGGCTTACGGCCTCTAGCCCCGTCGCCAATACAAGGGTACCTGTGGCATTTAGTGGATTCTGTGGCTTAGGCTGCATGCATACCATGCATGCAGCCTGCATGTTACAGATTACATCTTACTTAGTCTTACCCAACCGAAGGGGGCAGACTCAGAGGGACTTTGATTATCCTGGACCTGGCCTGGCCTGATCTTGTTAGGTGTGGATGATGAATCGGTTACGGATACTTTGTCTGTCTTTTTGCTGCCTCCTGTTTGCCGGTCTGTCTGTTAGAGGAAATGTTTACTTGCTCATTGACGTTGATACATACGCAAATAGGCAGGGAAAGACAGCGAGTCAATATCATACAGAACATCAATTAAAGGAAATTGACGATTATGACGCGCATAAAGCAAAGGCAAAAAAAGAGGGTGTCACAAAAAATAAAAGGCAAGATAAATGTCTTATACCGAAGTAGATGGGTAGACAAGATAGTCACCTTTCTGGCATCATCACAGGCAATCATTTCCTGAATCGAAGTCCAAAATAATACCTAATATCCATAGGATATGAAGTTGGACAGTATGATTGTCCCTTTTTTTCTCTAACTGTTCCAACTTTGTTACATCATTAGGGGGGGAACATCCATTTTGCCCCTCAAATTATTGCACTGCACTAAGGGTGATTTGCCATCTCTGATCAGCGGTGTTGTTGGTTATGGAATTTTGTAATCGTCATCATCCGGGCAAGGCGAGACGAGGCCGCCAAGCTAAAACCAGCCCAACAAAAAAAGAAAACAAAAAAACAAAAACAAAAAGGCCATGTTGCGTTTTACTCTCCTCCCTAAAGAAAAAGGTGCGAGAATCGCCCGACAGACCTCCGCGGGTTAGATAAGTATAGTAATCAACCAACTTTGGATAATCAGATTTGTCATTTTCGACACCCCTAAAAGAAGTGGGTTCGCCTTGCTGCATCATGTACGCCACGGAGTACGGTGGGCAGCTTGGCTGTTAGTCGACCATTCAGACTGGCTAAGACGCAGAGCATGAAATCCGCAGTTCTACGGAGTACTCCTGAGATCCCTCATACTCCGTAGTCATACCTACGGAGTAGAAGGTATTTTTGTGTTCTCCCCCCTCACGTCTGCCTTATTCTCACTCGACTTGGCCTTTTTTGCTGGCACTCGTCCCCTCCCACATACGGTATTTCCTCTGATTTTTTTTCTCTCTCTTCCTTTCACCGAGCGATTTAGTCGACAGCACTTTCCCGAACAGTTAGTGTCATGGAGCATGGAGCGTAGAGCACACTTAGTCTGCTCTTGGTGTCTTCCAGGCTCCATTTCATTTACCGGCGAAAAGGAATTGGTGTAGCTATTTGCTGGTGGAAACGAACTAAGAATGTTCTATAGAAGCGCTTGGGAGGTTAGTTCCTGTCGGGATCGCCCAGGAAGTCCCCCGGGGGCCACGCCACAGGATCAGCTGGTTTAAGGCAGCGAGTGGGTGCCTTGGAGCGAGTACGGAGTAGCGAACGAGTCTAGCGGCAGGTTAGCTGGGTGAAATACCGACGCGACAGGAAAATTCGATTTGCGACAAATATGTGTAGGTCGAGAGGCATGTATGTCGATATTAAATATTAGCCGACGCGGAAATCCTGTCGCGCCGGCTGACAGATGACAGGTGCAGCTGATACAACCCATCGATGCGCACCTCGCAGGGCCCAGAGTCAGAAAAAAAAAAGGAAAAAAAAAAAAAAAATAACCTGCCCACCAACTCCGTACAGGCGTGCGAGAGAAAGCCCAGGGACCACCTTTTCTCAGGAGCGAAAATGTGACATCTCCATCTAATAGGTTCTGGCGACGGTCTAGTGGGTTCTAGTTTGGGCGTGAAATTCCAAACCGCCAGTACTTGGCCTTTCCCCATAGCGAAGCTAGAATTGGGGATTTCCGGCGGATCCCAGGTGAATTATTTCGGGAGGCGAAATGGGCTGTACGGAGTGTACTCCGTACACAGCTCATGATTTGTCGGAAGTTGGAAAGTTGATGGATCACTCCTTGTCCCTTTGCCCCCCTTCTCGGATTACAGATGGTCGTGGGAAAACGAAACGGTCGGCAAAAAGACGAGGAAGGAAAAAGGGGGGGAGGACCGGAGGCAGTCTCCCAGATTCGCCGTAGTACGGAGTACAACTGACTAGTCGTATATCGGACGGTCAACGGAGCAAAGGAACGGGGTTCTAGAAACTTTTGCGTGTCAAATAAATAGCACGGTAACATAATAAAAGTGATACTAATAATATCGGGCCATAATAGTCAGAATTTCGACAGTAACGCTCACCTTGATGTGTCTTGCTGCTAATAATAATCGTATTGGGACGGATTCTCGGTGTCTGCCTGAAATCGGGTCCCCCCCAAAAAATGGAAGAGATCGATATCGATGCTCATCAGGGGGTTTGTTCCCGTTCATTTCCGATGGACAGGAACAGATAGATAGAATTCCCAGACCCTGTCTGTCGCATCACACGAGCCACCGAGTGAACTTGGTTGTGGAGTGACGTCTTCGCCGTTGGTGTCAAAGGGAAGGGTTCCTGAATGTCTCATTCTTCCACAGATTTTATTTTATTTTCAATTTTTCAATTTTTCTTTTTATTGATTATTCCTCCCCCCAAAGTGATGGGGATAATGACCAGAACATGAGCAGAGCTTCCAGTCGGCCAAGGAGCAACAATGCAGGGCGTGCAGCAGCTCGTGAGGGACGCTACGGACTGGACCGCCGCTCCTGTTCGGTCGAAGCCTGAAGGTGACGGGATTAATATGGGATCCTTTCCAAGTTGAGTTACCCACTCGGGGCGGATCCCCAAGCCCACCTTCGAAGCTAGAGGCTAAGGACGCGTTGAAGCTCTCCCGGATGGGAACCGTCAAGCAGGAACCTCTCGGAAGCTTCCAAAATGAGTCGGTGCTAGGACTTAGTTCGTTCGTTAGGGAGAAATTGGACGAGAATGGCGGACGCTGATAGCCCGGAAAAGGCCCGACCTAGGACGTCCTGGATGGCGCGTCCGAGGAAAGCGCCAGGGGAATAATTTAGGGGAGTGCGAAGAAGGTTCCCCGTGCTGCTAGAAGGGGGAAAGAGCCGGAAGGAAATTGTCCAGACCAAGCGGGGTGTTGATTAGTACTTGGTAAGGGACAGAAACATGTCGATGAGAGTTTGAAACACGGAGCAACCAGATCCAGATGGAAGGCGAGGCGACGTTGCCAATAGTATGGGCGTGGAACAAGACAATCTATTTTGCCAGAGACAAAGACGCGAAAGCCCGAGTCCCTTGAATGGCGATTACAATTAGAATAGAAAGGATCAGTGTCATTCTGATGATAATAACAACAATTATAATCCGACTGGAGGGAGATGTGTGGAGCAGAAAGAAAGAGAAAATGGAAATGGAATGGAACAATCCCCGTGGATTCCTCGATTGCCAGGCATCACCCGGCCAGGGGGAAGGTCGGTACCGAATACTCCAGACTTTTGCCCCGGGATGACTTGCGCATAACCATGGTATGACCATGGAGGGATTGATTAGGTTCTTTTGACACTGTTAGACTGATAGACTGATAATAGTTATTCCCTCGAGCTTCATTGTTCCGCAAGTCTCTACCACTCTCCCTCGCTTTCAGTCACCCGGGGAGCGTGGCAACCACGGCGAAGTAGTCGGGACAACCTAAAGACTAAGGACTAAGGAGTTATGAAAGTACACCACTACCTGCCTAGTATCTGCCAATAGGATGGCGTCTCCCTTTTTGGGCAAAGACTCAGGTTTTCCCCATTACCATCGTTCCCACTTCCCAGGCCTCCCTACTGAGTAAAGCTCTTTGCCTCCGCCACGACTGAAGTGGAAAAGGAAGGGAATTAAGATTACAGAGAGGAACGAGAAGGGGGAACGACAGAGAAAAAAAAAAAAAAGGATAATAATAAAAAAAAAAGGAGACTAGGAAAATGGAATTACGGAGTACGGATACTATGTCAAAAAAGAAAAAAAATATTAGAGAGAAGAATAGGACGAGGGGAATCCACCACACGATGACTATAAATTATAAAATAGCCTTTGGTAGAGGCAGCTGCTCTGCTCTGCTCTATCAGTTTCCCCTACCAACCCGACCCCAACCCTCTTCACGGACGATATAAGTTCATAACAGCAGGGAGAAAAAACAAAAAAATAAAAGGGAAAAAAAGGAAAAAGAAAGAGAAAAAAGACAGAGAATCTCGGTCCAATAAAAACCGGCCCAAGCAGAAAAGCAACGAGCCACTAAAGTCTGGGTACCTTTCGATCTTCCCCGTCCGCCGTCCCGTCCCCAATTTGCACGGATTACGGGAATCCCTTCGGTCTGTCATTGTTTCTCTCCCTTTTTCTCCCGTTTTCCTTTCCTTTTTCTTTTTGACTCGATATTTTTGGGGTGATTTTATTTTTTATTATTTATTCACCAAAACACCAACGGTTCTGCGGTTGGAGGAGCGTGAAAACCCCTACATCTGGCTTGACAGTATCTGCGTATCTGCAAGTGCGACCGATCTATCTCATTGGAAGGTGATTTCTTGATCATTCAGCGATCTATCCATTATCCATTATCCAACTCCCGTTCCAAGCGGATCCGCGGAAGAGCAGCGCAGCCAGTCCCGAACTAAGCAGCAAGCGGTGGCCCTTTCTTCCTTGCCTTTCGCCTTGCCTTCACTTCCACTCGACTGTTTGACTGGCCTTGACTGGTCTTGACTCGACTCTCCCCGATCTCCCTCGTTCTTCTTTCCTCCCTCCCTCCCTCTCTCTCTCTCTCGCCCTCCCTCTCCCCCTCACCACCACCACCTGGTCAGTATCAAGCCTTGGGCACTGTTTCTTGATCCCGGGTAGTGGCAATTTTCATTTCCCTTTTTCTTGTGATTCGTTTACTCTGTGTTCCTTGTTTTTTTCACCGTCCCGATTATTTTATTTTATTTTTCTTTTGATTTTTCTTTTTTTTTCCTCTATTTTCCCCTTCCGCCTTTTTCTCCTTTGCTTCCTTAATCTTTTTTCCCTGCATTTCCTGAAGGGAACGCCACGGAGGATTGATAAAAAAAAGAAAGAAAAAAAAGCAACACCAACAAATCTAACGCTCAAGGACACGCCCCATCATTGATGATCCAAGCCATCACGAGACAATTCCTTCTGCAGTTCTGAGCGGTTTTATTTTTTTGTGTTATCAAATCTTTCGTCTCTCTAATTTTTTTTTTTTCTCCCGGGCCTTGTCCATTGAGTCGACCGCCTTCTCCGTCGGTGTTGTGAGACAAAATCGCCCTTATTTTTCCCAAAATTCTCCCCCCCCCCCCCAAAAGAAGTTGATTTCCCGCACAACTCGGTCCACTTTCGACCTCGCGTCGTTCGCTGTTCTGCAGGCTCCCTTCAACCCTCCCTGGTATCCACTCCTGTCCGGTCGCTCCCATGTTCGAGTAGATCCGTACAGTTTATTCGGGATATTCTACGGGTTTGTTGTGTGGTTGATTTCAGTGTCCACATTCTACGGTCTGGTCGTCAACGGAGAGAATCCTCTCTGTCTCTCCTCCCCCTCTCAACTCAGTCACCATGAGTTACCAACAAGCACAGGAGATGTATCACGACAATTCTTCTGCGCGATCTCCTGGCTCGCAGCGTCATCAGCAGCCTCTGCATCGTCAGCCTTCGCGACAGTTCGACGCCTACGGTCCCATGCCCGTCAACTTGTACGAGGATCCCATGGCTCGCTACGACAACGGTCGTCTGGAGCGCTTGAACCCCTCTTTGCACAATAACTATGCCTACGATCTGTCCGGATCGCAGACCTGGAACCCGAATGGTTTTGCCAATGCTCAGGCCCTCGGGGGTATCCGGTCGGCTTCCACTAGCCTGAAGACTTCCTCCCGCACCGGTCGCGCTGGGATCCCAACGGTACGTTTTCCCTCGTGTCGCATTAACCGCCCGCGCTGTTGAATTTTTTTCGGGCCGTATGGAGATCTGAACGCTGACATGCGAGAAACTAGACCTGGCTCGATCAGCCTCCTCCGATGCCCAGCCCCTTTTCAAACCTCGGACCCGGCCCCCTTCAGAGTAGCGCGATGCGGCCGGAAACCACGGGCCCCTCGGAGACCGACGATGAACTGATTCCTACCGCCATCGTGATCAAGAACATCCCGTTTGCCGTCAAGAAGGAACAGCTGGTTCAGCTCATGACCGAATTGAGCCTGCCGCTTCCCTACGCGTTCAATTATCACTTCGACAACGGCGTGTTTCGGGGCTTGGCGTTTGCCAACTTTACATCCGCGGAGGAAACGGCGACCGTGATCGATGTCCTGAACCATTTCGAACTTCAGGGCCGCAAGCTGCGGGTCGAGTACAAGAAAATGCTCCCCTTGCAAGAGCGCGAACGCATCGAGCGCGAAAAGCGTGAACGTCGGGGCCAGCTGGAAGAACAGCACCGACCCATGGCGGCGACTTCTCAACTTCAGACCCAGAGTTCCATGTCCTCGCTCACTTCCCACCTTCCGGCTACCTCTCCGTCGCCGGTCTCTCAACGTGGTCAGAAGTTGGGTAAGTCACGGCTGCCCGGTTCTCCCTTGCATATGACTAACCAAGAGCCCGTCGAAACCTCAGAGGTCGATTTGAATGATAGTCAGACGCTCTCGTACTACTCCCAGCTGCTGTTGTTCAAGGAGGATACGGGTCGCGACAGTATAGTATTTGCCGCCAACCTTTCCCCCGTGCAGCGACGCACTGTGCACACCCTGGCCCACAACATGGGCCTGGGTCATGCGTCACGTGGTTCCGGTGATCAGCGACAGGTGCAGGTGTTCAAGGTTGCCCCGGGCGCCAACGTGAGCCCCCCGCTGTCATCCATCCCGGCCGCCGTCCAGCCCACCGACACTGCCCGTCGCGGTCTCAGCCGCGCTGCCACCATCGATTTCAGCGAGGCGCGCAACGAGGGCCCCAGCTCCTACAACACCCTTCGCAACCAGACCTCCGGCTTCCTCGGCGTGCTCGATTCCCCCGGGAACTTTGGCAACACCCAGAACCTGCGGGCCGCCAAGTCGTTTGCCGACCTGCGCTCCTACACCCCGTCGCCCGTGCCTTCGTCGGCCAGCTTCCCGGCCGCCCTGCAGTCGAACGGCGCCCGCATGCCGCACTACGATGGAGCGACTAGCGCCACCTCCAACACCCCGACTCTGACGCCCGCCCCATCGGGATCGTCCCTGGGCATGCCCCGCGATGATGGACTGTTGGTGAACAGCCTCAGCAGCCTTTCGCTGGGTACTGGAATTGGCGGGCCGAACTCGAGCCCGAGGAGATTGCGAAGTATGTTCTCTTGGGAGCAGCCGGAAACTCAACCTTCCAGTGCTGGCCCCATCGGTAGCAACCGATCCATCGGACTTGGATTTGACGGTCAGTCACAGGAGCGCATGCCAATTAGACAACCCAGAGGCCCCTTGCCCGAAAAAGGTCCCGGTTTTCGACGCCCGAACGGACACCAACCGCGTGGAAGTGACGAGTTGCGCACCAACTCCGGTGTAGAGATCATTGTGGAGTAAGAACCAACACCAACCCAACCAAAAAAAAAAAAAATTTCATTTGAATCACAAAAAAAGCACCACAGCACCTTGATGGGAGATGAAGACGACGAAACTTGTTAGATTGCTTTGCCGCAAGACGCATACGACTCTTATATCACGAGGCCTGATCCTGTTCTGCGATTATTGGCTTACGATTCGATGAGGGATGACGAGATGACACTCCACCAAGAGAACCAAAAAAGAAAATTTCTCTGATCTAGCCAAGTTTTAGACGTTATTTTGGGGCAGCCCAACAGGCACGTTATTTGAACGGACTATACGTTTCTCTTTGTTTCTCGGAAAATATGACAAAAGAAAGCTCTTGAAAATTTTGAGACGCGGGCGCCTTTGCATGCAGAACCATTATTATATCTATATCTTTTATTCCTTTCCCCTTTTTCCTTCTCTTTGTGTCCGTCGGCAGAAAGCATATTTGATCCCCGAGAAGACGACCTTTGGAAGGATGGGTTTAACCCCGGAGAAAATCACACAAAAATAACAAATCGAAGGTCGGGAGGGAGATATTTACATTCCTTCCTCGGGGCTCCACAGGGAGGAAACCGGAATGTTTTTTACCTTTTTTATTTTATTTTATTTTTTTTCTTTGTTTGGTTGATTTGTACATGGGGTGAATTGCATTGTTTAATGTTTGTTTGTTCAATCAGGTTTATTTACGCTCTCCTCTTTCCCTAATTGAATCCAGAGAAATCTGCATCTCCTGCCTCGTGGACTGTGATAGGTTGATGGTCCCCAGCAGCCTCCCACCTATTCGGTATATCGGTTGCTCCGATTCTCTTTGGTGTTTGCATTTGTTCCCCCCTCCGACCTGCATGTCTGATTTGACTGACTTGCATCAATTATGAGGGATGGAATTGTGGCGAAACAACGGGGCGGATGACTGACGGAATCGAAACTTGGGTACACTGAGTTGACGTATCGAAAGCCACCCTCGGATTTGACTTTGATGCCATCTCATTTCATTTCATTACTTTTTTTTCTTGATCTTCCTTTTTATCTACGGCCGTCTTTTTTCCATTTCTCTCTATTTCATGGCCTAGTTTGAGATGAGATCCAGGAAATCGTGTCTTTAGTTCATCTACTGACTCTTACTTGCCGTCTGTCCCTGTATTGAGATGATTGATAAATGTACGTTTTAGTATGAAGTATTTGTTTGATTTATTCATGATACGGCTTTTCTTTATGAACAAGGATACGTCTTGTTGGCTTTTGACTCGATGTTTATGTAGCTTTCATCTACGGAGAAGTTGTCGACCAATAATACTATTATGTTCATGGAACAAACTCGGATATGAATGAGCAATGACTATTATTCTCACAATCTTATACGATTAGATTCTACTAGAGATCTGAATAACCACTTCCTTTCTTTACCTTATACTTATTTATTGATTGGTAATGAATGTCCAGAAGGATATACATACTATCTACCATACAGGACCTTCATCTAGTTTGTTACCTATAATTCGATTCCTCCGTTCGAACCATGTTTTATTTGATCCTATTTATATATTTCCCACACGAGCGAACATGCTTCAGTTCACAGCAAAAACCAGGAAGAAAGAAATTCAAAGTAGATGATTACTTGACTGGCTGGATGTATGCAGCGATAATGAAATATTTCCTACCCGTCTAGGCTTCAATTACGGGATTGAACCGGGAAAAAAAAAACAAAAACAAAACAATACAAAAGAAGTCATCTAGATATATAAACGAAGAAACACTCGAAATCGACTGCATTTAGTTAACTTTAACTTAAAATAAGCCCGGAAACCATAAGATGGAATTTGATTTATCTACAGAGTATCACTGTCCATGTCCAGACGGCACCGTTCTTCCTACCAAGGGAAGCTGTAACTAACCACGTGAACTAACTATTGGATACTTGACCAAAGGAACATAAAACGGATTTTAAATGGCGAAACCTTCATCTCATTTATTTGCCTAATTTAGTGCCTATGCTCTAAGGGATCGAGATAGAAGAAGAACGAAAGAGAGGAGGATCTACTGATACAGTCTCATCTTGTTAAAAGAAACATCAAACTCAAAAATCAAAATAAGGACATAGAGAAACAAAAGCACTGAACACCAATAATCAAAAAGAATTAGCCATGGAAAAGAAAAAGGAAAAGAAAAGCACGAGGAAGCGCAGAATAGTAAACAGGTTGACATGACAAGAATCCCACTACCGAGATATCCCCTTTTTTCCTATTACAGCGCCCTGGGTGGTTCCAATTCCAAACAGACGAGGTGAGCGGAGCATACAAGAGGAGAAATTGAAATACAAAAAAGGGGAAGGGGAAAAAAGGCTAGAAGGGAGATAGGCAAGACATGTGCAGCGTCGTGGAATAGAATAGGGAGATTAAAACATGGGAAAATAAGCTCGCCGAAGTTCGTTGGTGCGACCAAAGGTTTATATCCCTTTTTCATTTGTTTTTCTTTTTTCTTTTTTTGCTTAAAGTGAGTTGGAACAACCAGAGAGAAAAGAATCCATCGCTTAGCGCATAATCCCAGAGCTCCTTTCAATCGTCATCAATTCAAACGCCATATTTCGAGAGGGGGTATCAGCCGTAAAATTAAGCCTCGATCTTGTTTTTCTTCTTCTGTTCCACCTTGAGCAGCAGAGCACGGTTGATGCGGGGCAGGACACCACCGAAGGCGATGGTGGCGCGGATCAGAGTGTCCAACTCTTCGTCTCCTCGGATGGCGAGTTGCAGGTGACGGGGGGTGATACGCTTGACTTTGAGATCCTTGGCGGCGTTTCCGGCAAGCTCGAGAACTTCAGCGGTCAGATATTCGAGGACGGCGGTGACATAGACGGCGGCTATAAGGAAGTTTCGTCAGCAAATTCCTGAAATCGGGCATTTCACAGATGCGTAGGATAGCATGCGACAAACTTACCCTTAGCACCAACGCGCATCTTGTTCTGGGTGTTGTTCTTCAAGAAACGCTTGACACGACCGCAGGGGAACTGTATAAGAGTAGAAAAATCAGCATAAGTTTGGCCCCATCGCAAGAGAGGTGTATAGCTCAAAAAGTGGTTGACTGGGAAGTTCGGAACATCGCTCGGTCCCTTCGGATAGGAACATGATGCCTTAAGCGACTCCCTGGCGATACCACACTCTCCAAACATCCCTAAAGTGACGCGTTTAAGGGGAAAGACGCAGCCTAAGAGCCAAGAGGAGAGGGGGTCGAGAAAAAAAAATAAATCCAGATCCCTTCTTCTCACGTCCTAACCAGCAAAACCACACCGCCATTGAATCAAATAAAACAGAGCAAGGCTTTCTCTACTGACCTGAAGACCGGCCTTTGCGCTGTGGGACTTCTGGGCTTTCCCCGCAGAGTCCTTCGAACCACCCTTTCCACCGATAGACTTTCCCTTTCCGCCAGGCATATTGAAAAGCGTCGAGATTTAGGGTCGCAAAAGATGATCCGTCGCGTCACAAAAGGGTTCGAGGCGATGGAGCTCGGTGGTGGACGTTGAAGCGATTCGATGCACCCGTGATACGCGCGTTGTTGATGGATGAAGGAGTCAGAAATGTCAAAGCCATCCTAGTCGCTAAAGACGGCGTTGAGCGTGGAACGGCGCTAGTCCCGATCGGGATCCCTCGAACACTCAGAGCTGCCGAGCATGGAGATCTCCGTCGAGTGCCATCAGCGTAGTCGGCCTCGAGGCGGAGGAAGTCAATCTAGTGAGGTGTTTGGAGGAGAGCTCCAGGAAGGAGCCAAAATGCCCGGCGAGATCCTTCCCCGGAGATCACAAGAAAGCTGGGAGGGGGCGAGAAGATGAGCGTCTGCCCAGCTTCAAGAGTCACCCAGCAGTGGTATCTTGCCAGACATGCCGTGCTTGGCAGGATAGATGATAACTCGCTGTAGGCTGTGCCAATAATAGGCTTCGATTGTGTTGTCCCATCCTTGTACAAGGAAGTGGTATAGTGGAATGCTCCACGAAAGCTGTATGGGATGCTGTTGATGTTGGCAAGTGAATCTGCAAAGTGACGGTTGTTGCACCCATTATCTAAGCAACCAGGTGATCTCCATTCAAATGATACAAACTGAGTGCCTGAGGTGTTGATCCGGCGGGCCTTATCATTCCGGCTTATCTCTCCCTGCCTGAGGCAGCAGGGCCAAGCACGCCACGAGCGACAGGAATTGCCTCTCACGTGACATGGCGCCTTCTGGACAGATGTTCGACTTCCCCGGGGCTCCAGTTCCGCAGTTCGAGGAAAAGATTCTGTGCACTCGCGTGTCTTTCAACTCCCCCAGATTTCCATCACCGCGCGCTTATTCCCCGACTCCCTGGAATACCCAGTCCTGCCGTCAAGATGGTGTCTCCTCAAGTGTATGTTTATCTATCTCTCTTTTATTTTTATTTCCATGTCTTGATGTTTGGTTTGAGGATGGCGAAAATCGCGCTGAACAAAGAATTGTGATTATGACTGACAACCCATCTCAATATGCAGGACCAATCTGGTCATCATCGTCGTGATGATGCAGCTGGCGAAGAAGGTTCCCTTTGAGGATCCTGACGTCCTCATGCTCGTCCGCGGCATGTACATCCTGTCCAACGTCCTCATCTTGGGACTGTACCTATACACGCAGGCCAAGATCAACAGCAAGAAGGGTAGGCGCTTCGGGGATTACTGGGACACGGTTCAATAAACTAATGATTTCAGACCTGACTACGCTGAAGTACGTCGAGCCCGCTCCTATGGGCAGCAACGAGGAGCCCCGTCCGGTCACGACCACCAACAATGAGTACGACAAGGGACAGTTGCGCCAGCTGATTAAGGGCCAACTGATGGGTGTCGGTATGATGGGCGTGATGCACCTGTACTTCAAGTACACCAACCCTCTCCTGATCCAGTCGATCATCCCTCTCAAGAGCGCCATCGAGTCCAACCTGGTCAAGATCCACGTCTTCGGCAAACCTGCCACCGGCGATCTCCAGCGCCCCTTCAAGGCTGCCAACAGCTTCATGAACCAGGGTCAGATCAAGAGTGACAAGGCATCCATTGAGAATGCGGAGAAGAACTGGCGGGGCGGAGTCAAGGAGGAGTAAGCTTTTTTTTGGGGGGAAAAGTTGATGGGGACAGCGTTTGCTCTTGGAGTCCTGCCCCCCCTTGTATGTTTCCTAGATACGATGTCAAATGGAGGGAGAGAGTTTGTGGAACCCAACGGCCAGTTGGGTTTTGTCGCTCTCGTGGCTTTTTGGTTTCTTTGACGAGGCCGATTAGATTCTTATCCATTCCGACCATGTCAATAACTAATTGCTTAAAACATGATCGTCTAATTTTGCTATGACAAATTCCTGGTGTTAGGAATCTCATTTGTAGAACGAGTCTGGAACGTCGTGGAAGATGGTATGACGTGACATGACCTATGGTTGGTACATTGGAGAAGCCGTAAACGGTCAACCGCGTGGATCATGCCTTGCCTGATTCCCATGACAGGCCATGGCGTTTCTTGACCGGAGATTAGAAATGGCTGGGGTTGCGAGGCGGCAAATTCACGCGAGTCGGCTAGACCAAGTCACGCAGGGCAACCTGGAGGATGGGTCTGTCAAACCCAATTTCTCCAGGAAAGCCAACCGATCGTCTCAGACTCTCACCGGGAGGATTGATGGATTTGTCAGGGTGAGATGAATGATTCATAAAACACGAGTCGAGGGAATTATGGAACATCCGGCTCGGTTCTGTCGGCCTGGGACACTACGGAGTAGATGTTGGTTGCCACTTTGCTCAGGCCTCAATCAGGCCATTGAACTCAACATGAGGATCATGCAATAACGATCCTTGACAAAGGGCTTCGTAGGCTACAAAGTACGGAGTAGATACTATTATTCTATCAACCGGGATCCCTATATCAAAGTATACAAAGTACCAGTGTCTGGATCGACAAATTGGACTATGGATAGTTGCCCCATGCGCCACGGGTTGGCATGCCACCGCAGCCATCCAATGCCGGGTTCATAATTGATATGCGAGCGGTGGATCATTGACGGACCCCTTTGGGCGATCAAAACAAATAAAAGATAAGAAAATTCAATAAAGAAAAACTAGACTGGCGCGTGATGGCCTATATGGCTCCCGGTGAAGGTTTCTGGAGTCCGGAGAGGACTGGTCGCTGAGTCAGCCACGATCTTATGAAGGCGGGGCAGCGGGACCATCATTAATCCGGGCCGAGCTACCGGGCCGAAAGCGGAAAGGTCGGCGTGCCCCTCCTTGGGAGATTCGGCGAGACTACTCCTAAGGAGCAAAAGGTGGCATGGGATGGTCAATTCCCGTTACATCATGCGGCCGGATCAGGCACGAAAATTGCTTCCCGTGCGACGGAAAGAGTAGAGCAATAGCCTAGGTAGAGTCACCCCATAGATCCCGAATTGCTGGCAAAAGATTCTCGAGATGGACGCGACCACGGACGCTCATTGGCCAAGGCGGCAGCTACCGAGGGCAGAACAGCAGAGCAGATATCGTGACTCTCCTGCTTTGCCCGGTGTATGAAACCGGAAAGGGCGGCGGGCGAGCTGGCAAGCGGCGCAAGTCGGGACGACACTCCCCCCCCAAGCTGCCCGGCCTGGAGCTGTAGCTTTTGCCCCGTCTGTCCGCCCGGTGTGCGGATTGGAGGTGACCCGGTCGTTGCGTCAGTCTTTTTTTCTGGATCCCTTTTCTTCCCCCTCCCCCGCCGCTGACTTTTTCTCTCCTCTTCCACACTCTTCATTATCCCTCTCTCATCCAAATCTCTCACCCGTACTTAAAGTAAGGCTTCCCCCGTTCGTCCTTCCCCTGATTCCTCATACTAGATACCCCATCATCCACACTCTCTTTATCCTTGCCTCTTTAAACTAACAGCTACCCCGCCATCTCTCAGACCCCTTACCATCACAATGGCCACCAAGGTATGCCAACTCGGCTTGATCGCTGGACGAAGCTTGAAAGAGGGTATTCGAGAATACTAATCAAATCAACCACAGGTTGGAATCAACGGCTTCGGTCGTATCGGACGTATTGTGAGTGAACCGCCTTCACCTACCCCTCACCGATGACGTTCACTGTGCTAACAAGCTACCCAGGTCTTCCGTAACGCGTAAGTGCCAATGATGACCCTCTCATTGAGCTGCGGTTCTCAAGGGTCTTTGGGTACCACTCAAAGCACTTGTGATCGAGCCGGAGGTTGTGTGGTAAAGGGAATACTCTCTGACAATATTCCTATAGCGTCTCTCGCGACGATGTTGAGGTTGTTGCCGTCAACGACCCCTTCATCGAGACCCACTATGCTGTATGTTTCTGCTCTCCCCCGAATGAGGAAATCCCAAGTGACACTAACTGACCGGCGATGATTGGGATCAATAGGCCTACATGCTCAAGTACGACAGCACCCACGGCAAGTTCCAGGGTACCGTCGAGACCTATGACCAGGGCCTCATCGTCAACGGCAAGAAGGTTCAGTTCTTCGCCGAGCGTGACCCCGCTGCCATCCCCTGGGGCAAGGCCGGCGCTGCCTACATCGTCGAGTCCACCGGTGTTTTCACCACCAACGAGAAGGCCGCCGCTCACTTGAAGGGTGGTGCCAAGAAGGTTGTCATCTCCGCTCCTTCCGCCGACGCCCCCATGTTCGTCATGGGTGTCAACCACGAGAGCTACAAGACCGACGTCAACGTCCTCTCCAACGCCTCTTGCACCACCAACTGCCTGGCTCCCCTCGCCAAGGTCATCAACGACCAGTTCGGTATCGTTGAGGGTCTCATGACCACCGTCCACTCCTACACCGCCACCCAGAAGGTTGTCGACGCTCCCTCCGCCAAGGACTGGAGAGGTGGCCGTACCGCCGCTCAGAACATCATCCCCAGCTCCACTGGTGCTGCCAAGGCTGTCGGCAAGGTTATCCCCTCCCTCAACGGCAAGCTCACCGGTATGGCCATGCGTGTGCCTACCTCCAACGTCTCCGTTGTCGACCTGACCTGCCGTACCGAGAAGTCCGTCACCTACGAGGACATCAAGAAGGCCATCAAGGCTGCCTCCGAGGGCGAGCTCAAGGGTGTGTAATGCTGTTTTCCCGGGCCGTGGAGTGCGCTGTATGCTAATCTTTTTGCGTCATAGGCATTCTCGGATACACCGAGGACGACATCGTCTCTTCCGACCTGAACGGTGATGACCGCTCCTCCATCTTCGATGCCAAGGCCGGTATCGCCCTCAACGACCACTTCATCAAGCTGGTCTCGTGGTACGACAACGAGTGGGGTTACTCCCGCCGTGTCGTTGACCTCATCAGTAAGTCAATCCGGTTCGGACGCTAGTATTGGCGGCCTGGTGTACTAACGATATTTTCTAGCCTACATCTCCAAGGTCGATGGCCAGTAGGAATCAGGACGGATCGCGGGGACGAAGAGTCTCCTTTAAGCCACTAAACTGCCTGGTTGTTCACTGATTTAATGCTTGTCGCCGGTTCCCCCAGCTGCCGTAAGATGAGGCCCCTGTTGACAGGGTGGGAAAGGTTTGGAAACGAAGCATAAAATGCATATGATAACGTACTATGTAATGAAATGATACAACGTTGATATAACGTCTTTGTCCAGAAGATCGAGTTGAGTACTCAGTAGTTTGTTGACGTAGTAAGAAAGAACACAATCCCAGCGCGGTGACTAAGCCAGGCGGTCAGTCGAATGAGTGTTATGACTGGCTCCGGCGAAGCACCGTTCAGGATCACGTGCCCGCAGCTTGTCAACCGCGCTTTTTAGAGCTACATGAACCACGACTCCTAGACTAGAACGCCCGGCCTGCCCTCGTCACCGAGCCTCTGGGCTTCGGGTCATTTAGTAGCGGATTTCTCTACATCCTGGTTTTCTGTGGCAGATACCTTGTCGACGTCTCTCTGTGACCTTTGTCTCGTTTGCGTTGGCTTCTTTGGTGCCCTTCTCTCATTTCCCGCTTTCCTCTTTATCAGTTACTAGTGCCGCAGAGAGTGAGCGTGAGAGTTCCAGAATCTCGTCATCCTATATTTTCTAGTTTTTTTTTGGGCTCGGCCATGAAGGGCTAGACCCATCCAATTTTCTAGATCCAGGAACATCTTCCCTGACTTAACTCTCACTTTTATCTTTACTCCTTCGCAATGGCCATTGAGGCAGACGAAGATACCGTTATGGGAGAAGCGGGCTCCCATACTTCTCCCCAGGTCGCCTCGCACCAGCCCACCTCTCAACCTCTCTCTGGACAACTCAATGGGCGATCAGACCCCTGGCTGGCCCCTCCGCTTCTCGAGCAATCCGTGAGGGTGCCATTACCTGGTCAATCAACCAACCTCCCGCCTCCCGAGTCGACAGACAGCCCGGGAGTGTCGCCGCCCAAGAGCCTGCCCAAATCCATTGACTCGGGTGAAATGGAAGATCCATACAAGGATGACAGCCTTGTCGAGGAGAACTCAGACTGGTCGGACGACGACGTGTGTGTCCGCACGGGCCTTCCCCTTGCCTCCCTCCCGTCGGGGCTCTGCTATGATGTCCAGATGCGATATCACTGCGAAGTGCGCCCCACTGCAGACGTGCATCCTGAAGATCCCAGACGTATCTACTACATCTTCAAGGAGCTATGTCGAGCGGGACTAGTGGATGATCCCGAGTCCTCGAGACCCCTTGTAGCGAGGCCCTTGAGTCGGATCAACGCCCGGAACGCTACGGAGGACGAGATCAGGCTGGTCCATACTCCAGATCACTTTGCTTTTGTCGAGAGTACTAAAGGTAGGCGCAGATAGGATCTGAATTCATGGGGTGACTGCTAATATTTAACTGTTCAGATATGTCGGATGACGAACTCATTGCTCTAGAACATACGCGGGACTCTATCTACTTTAATACGCTGACCTTCGCATCGTCCTTATTATCTGTTGGAGGAGCGATTGAAACGTGTCTGGCCGTTGCTCGACGAGAGGTCAAGAATGCTATCGCAGTGATTCGACCCCCGGGTCACCATGCCGAGCACGATAAAACGATGGGATTCTGTCTATTTAACAATGTGTCGGTTGCGGCTCGTGTGTGTCAGAAAGAGCTGGGTGAGGATTGCAGAAAGATTCTGATTCTGGATTGGTAAGTTCTTCGTTTTGTGTTATGTGTTATTAGCAATTTGCTGACAAATCTAGGGATGTTCATCATGGTAAATCATTCCACCTTCTGGAGGCTATTAAAGGTCAATTTACTAATATATTATAGGAAACGGCATTCAAAAAGCCTTCTACGATGACCCCAATGTCTTGTACATCTCACTCCACGTGTACCAGGATGGCAAATTCTACCCAGGAGGCGATGAAGGTGACTGGGGGCATTGTGGAAATGGCGCTGGCCTTGGACGGTATGTGTAACTGATCAAGTCTAAACTTTGAGCTTTCATCTAATTTATACAGGAATGTCAATATCCCATGGCCAAGCCAGGGTATGGGTGATGGCGATTACATGTACGCGTTCCAGCAAGTGGTGATGCCGATTGCGCAGGAATTCAACCCTGATCTAGTAATAAGTATGTGTGTCTGTCCAACTGCAAGAATGATGGAAAGCTAACACGTTCAAGTCGCCTCTGGGTTTGATGCTGCTGTTGGAGACGAACTTGGAGGGTGTTTTGTGACACCGTCCTGCTACGCTCACATGACGCACATGCTTATGACCCTTGCAAATGGCAAGGTTTCCGTTTGCCTCGAGGTTTGCTTTATGTGACTGCGGTATGAACGCACTTGTGACTAACATTTGTTACTAGGGTGGATATAACTTCCGATCAATCTCCAAGTCGGCGCTTGCAGTCACGAAAACCCTCATGGGTGATCCACCCGATCGCCTCCATTCGACATCCCCGTCGGAGCTTGCAACGTCCGCCGTGAGACGAGTCATGATGATTCAATCTCATTACTGGAAATGCATGTATCCTAAGGGTCCAGAGCACCAAGCGGTTTGGACTGATAGACTTCATGGTAAGACAACAAAAATCAGTAACCACGAAGAGATGATCTGATGATAGGTTCCAGATGTGATTCGACAATACCAAGCCAAACATCTCTATGACAACTACAAGCTCACCTCCCTGTACATCTACCGGAACGGGATTTCGAAATCGTTCGAAAACCAAGTTCTGGCCAGGTAACTACCCAGACCCAGAATTTATCAGTTGCACATAGACGACTGACCACATAAAGCCCAAACTACTACCAGCACGTACCGCTGATAGTGATCTTCCATGACCCGTAAGTCAGCCTTAAGAGGATTAAGACCTTACAGCAAGAATATTCTCGCTAATAAACTCAGACCCGATATTATGGGCCTTCCCCATCCCGTCACCAACAAGCTGGAAGCCCACAACACGTGGCTTGTAAGTAGCTAGTCTGACTGGCATTAGACCTAACAAAGGGCTAACATGGACAAGGCTGATGCTGTGAAGGACTATGTTGCATGGGCGACTTTTAAAGGATACGCCGTGATCGATGTGAACATACCGAAGCACGTGACAAATGGACAAGTACGTATTCCTTTTAATCCCCTGTACTCTGCGATGGTATTTGAGATATTCTAATAATGTACCAGTCGTCCGGTAAATACCAAGATGAAGATGCTAATCGACCCACCGCCACCGAAGAATTGGCTGGATATTTGTGGGATAACTATATTGAGTAAGCGGACAAGGGCTTTATGATGTGGAAGAAATCAGAAGAACTAATCTGATATAGACCCAACGAGTCCACCGAAGTTATCTTCATGGGAGTCGGCGACGCTTTCTTTGGGGTTGCCAATCTCTTGATCAACAGAGGTATCCATATCTTCAACTTTTTAATTCCCAACAAGAAAAAACAAAAGAAATCCGCTAACACAACCCACCAGATAATCTCTACAAACGAGTCAACAGCGTTGTATCCTTTGTAGCCGAAAACCCCGTCCGAGCGATCGCCTCACCCACCCAAACCTGGCTATCGAGATGGTACAAAGATGTAAGCTCTACCCGCCCAGAACACCTGCCTTTAGTAAAAAATGTGGAGACCAATGCCATACTAACCACGCACATCCAGAACTCGCTCGTATTGGTTTCACATACGCATGGAGTCTGGAGCGCCGAGCCTCGACGTAAGCCGTCCAAACGCTACGGGCACCTTCTCCCGTCGCCTAAAGCCGGGCTCACGGAGATGATGCTCCACCATAAAGAAGAAGTGTGCAAGTGGATCGAGGAACGAGTTGATGTGCGAGATAGCGATGAGTCGGATGGAGAGCCACAGCAGCAGCAGAGCAACAGCAGCTAGTTTAGATTTTTTCTTACAACTAACTAGTTGGAATGAGTTGGGGGGTTTTCCGTCTTTCCGACCGGGGTGAGGGGGATGGATGTGTTGATGTCATTTTTTCATTTTTTTCATATTTCATATCCCCAATAAATCATTTTCACGGCTCTGGTTCTAGGTAGCCTGTTTGATTTGTTGTGTTGTTCACCTTGGATGGTTAGTACATGTCATCATCATAAAGGATATAGACCCGATAGTCGCTAGTCTTTTTTTCTACCTTTCCTGTTCCTCCCTGAAAACCTCCGCCTGGTGGTGTTGCCATCTGCGGGGAAACTGAAACCGAACGGACCTTTCAGCATCCTTCAGATCCTTTCCCCGGATATTATTTACATAGTAGGTATCATCTATCATCGTCATAGACTGAAGGATGGTTGCATATCTCACCTTACTTTCCTACCTATACACTTAGGTATGCTGAGTAGGTAGGTCAGCGAATTACTAGGTAGCCATGTACCTATGATGATTCTGGCTCTGATTGTAATTAATTAGGTAGTTAGGTATGTACTGTACCTTCCTGTATAGTCGATAGTTAGTTAATTTGTTCCTTGTTGCCCTTCCCCATACTTTCTCCACAACACTCACTAAATCGCAACCAAATCTAAGAAGTTACTTATTCATGACCTCATACCGTCTACATACACCGATCATTAACCAACACTCAATAGTTAGATAGATAGGTCAGCCTCAAATTGTACCCGTTTCCGACCGGGAAGTACTCCGTAAATATTGCATGTACATTGTACCTAGGTAGACAAATATCTGAGGTCCCTGAGAAACTGCTATGCATCAACCCTTGTCAAAAACAAAAATGCTCCAATAATAAACACCGAAAAGCTTCGAGACTCTTACCTAAGACACAACCACCTGACCTACCGTACCGTGCACAGCAAACTGTACTCCGTACATTATTATCCAAAAGCAGTACTAGGTAGTATCCACATGACATCGTTATGACATTTCCATCTGAAGTTTCGACCCGAACCCAGCCCCATAATTCATATCCCCTCCGCTTCCCGCATAAGCTATCCGGAACTAAAGCTGAGACATCGCCAACCAGACCCCTCTGTCGGCGGGAATCGGCGGGAGGGGAAAGTTGACCTGAACCTGGAACTGGAAGGTTTGGAGCAGGTGTGCGCTGACGGTACCTGGGAATCTGCTGATCCGTAGGTAATTAATTAATTCAATCCCGTACGGTGCGGTGCGTTTTACTCTACTTTCTTTCCTTTACTCTCTGTAGACTAGGTTGTCTTAAGTTGTCTCGGTTGCTTGCTTACCATGTCTTGGTTTAACTTATTTATCTTTACTTGGTCGGTGGGGTATGTGTACTTCGTGTTTACAGGAATAATAGTTTTTAGAGCATACCTACGGAGTACCTAGGACTAAGATAGTAAGAGAGACTATGAAGGTAATTGCAGGTATTGACCAGCCTTATGAAGTAAAACATACTCACGACAAGTCTGACAGGTCAACCGCTTGGCTGTAGCTGTACACAGTGTATATGTATGTGTTGTGACTTTCAATGTAACTGTCTCAGATGAACCACCTACCTACCAACTGCGTACCTAGTTCCCCGGAGCTAGTCTTACAGCTCCAACCTTCCCTCGGAACTGACTGAGACATGCTGTCTGCATGTCTGATTCTCAGTAGGTGTAGGTATGTGACATGATGTGACAGGTATGCAATCGCGGCATTTTCTCTCTCCCCTCTTTGCCCTGAATGAACTTTTTCCTAGTATATGCGTGGGGATTTGTGGACTGCCTAGTGGGTAGGTAGATATGCATGTCTGAGCTGTGCCGTGCCCGGCCGCAGTCACCTCGTACCGGTTCGCCACGACCCTGGCGGGTGCGGCCGAGAATCAGCCCATTTGTCTTTACGAAATGGATCCAGTCAGATCGGAGAGAAAATGGGCTGGATTTGAGGGGTCACGGCTCCCTGTTTCTTGGGAAAGACGGGATCGGATCGACGTGAGATGGGGAAAGAGGAGGGATTTGTGTGGATCGATAGGGTTAAGTAATGGGGTGAGGAAAGGTATATAAAGTAGGATGATTCCATCGCTAATGATAGCTTTCCAATTCCATCCAACTCATCATTCTGATTCATTTCCTCCCATTACAATCAATCCAGTCAAACAACAAAGCTCAGCTCAGCTGCACAACAAAACCAGCAACATGCAAATCCAAACTCTCCTCTTAACCCTCACCCTCCTCTTTACGCCGCTCGTCTCGGCCGTGGGCTCCGCCGTCGTGAAGAACAACTGCAAATACCCCGTCTACCTCTGGTCCGTGGGCGGATCCGTGGGACCCAAGAAGACGATCCAGCCGGGAGCCTCCTACAGCGAGAAATTCCACCACGACGCCACGTCCGGCGGTGTGACGCTGAAGATCACCAAGGCTAACGACGGCATCTACAATGGCAGCCCGCAGTTGAGCTACGCGTACACCCTCGACGGAAACCAGCTCTGGTACGACCTCAGCAATGTCTTTGGTGACCCGTTCTCGGGTAGCCCCTTGGTTATCAAGCCTAAGGATACCGGATGTTCGAACATCTGCTGGCCCCAGGGTACTCGGCCCGCTGGTAGTCAGGTGAAGGTCTGCTCTGCCAACTCGGATGAGACCTTGACGCTTTGCGCGGCCGGTTGTTAAATTGGCCATGAAGTGGCTGAAGGGGTTGATTATGATATGATGCCCTCGAGGATGAATGGGTGGATGAAGAGATCTGATAGGAGGATTGCTTGTGGGGATCGCTTGACAGGAGGAGCTGGTTTGGGAAAATCTGGTTGATAGGAGGATTTGTTTGATGGAAGATCTGATTGATGGAGAGATCGGGGTTATGAACTGATTCCAACCAAGTGCGGATATTATGCTTGAAATGATTGAAAGGAATAATCTAATGGTACGCAAGAGTTATGTCAATATGGATTAAGCAATTTCGTTGTCGAATTAAGAAATGGAAAAATCACTTTGCTTTATACATACCACATTGAGTCCAGCATTTTTGAAACCTCGATATATAGGATGGAGAGTGTGAACAATCATCGATGATATCTCCAATAATTTGCACTTTTGCCCTTCAGCGAGACTTCGGGAGGGACTCGTTCTGAGGCCCACATGGTTAGAGTAGGATTTGTGGAATAAGTCAAAGTAGACATCAATCATCACACGTTAAAGTCAATATCATACGACTCGACTTCCCATCCCCCGCTATTGCCCAACTCATGACGAAAGCGATGACAGATCAGTGTGCCTACTGTCCGTTTGTTGGGTTTTGCATCCATGCCATTTGAATCGTACGGAAATGTCCAACCACGACTCTCTTTTGGCAGCAGGCAGCGGATACAATAGAATCTAGAATATTCAGGGAGGGTGAATGACGGCCTAGCCTCATTGACTTTGCGTTCCTCTCCATCACTATCCTGAGAATATAAGGCAGCCGAGAAATCCCGTTCCTCAGCATCCACGACACAAGTAGCAAGACGTGCCAGCAATGGACCTGTCCATACACCTTCGGTATGCCTGCACTGCTGAAGAATGGAGATGGCGCGTCGACGAATGTGAGGAACGCGGCACTTCAAGGCCGTATAGTACAGCGGAGGGTAACAACCGAGATCGATGCTGAAACTGGCGCCTATCCGGCAAAAGCTCGAGACGTAGCCATTCTCCTTTGTTGCGGTGATATATCGAGGTGTATTGGCAACCATGGCACCTAGTTCCTCAACCTGGTTGATAATGGATTCGAAGGCCGAAGTATGGGCATCGAACGCTGTTTGCTTATTCGCAAAACACGTCGACACCAGTATCGTGGCCATGGTCCAGTGAATTCGGAGCACGCGGAGGCCAAGCTCCCCATGCTGGTTCGTCTGCGATGTTAGTAGCGGTATAGAACTGTTAAATGCGGCGATCCAGTCATCGAGTGAGAGTTGAAGGGATTCTTGTCGCTTGAGCAGAGTCGGAGACGTCGGCGGAGGGTAGACATCGCTGCTTATCTGATCTGTAGCACACTTTAAGACCAGCCGAGTAACGCTATTAAGAATCAAATGGAAGGACCGGCTTGCTTCGTGAACTATTGAAAAGACATGCGGAATAGAGATCTGTTGGTGCCCATAGATAAAGGTAGACGTGAACAGCGCATCATCCTCGAAGAGTCCCAAGCCTAGCGTCATGAACTGTAGGTTCAAACGAGAATATGCGTTGATCAAATGTTCATCAATTGATTGAGGGATCTGCTGAACGAATATATGCCGCATCGGTCTCGAGCTTTGACTATGAGATTGTAGGAGATTGAGGAGGTTGATGCCGTGTTGAAAATGCATATTCATGGAGTTGTAGCCCCCTCGCAGCATTTCAAGACAGACAAACACGATACTGGATATGACGGCAGTTCGAATCGACTCAACGTTCGTAACAGTCACGTGTTCAGTCAGACTTTTGATCGCCTTATTGTACTGTGTCAACGAAAACGAGTCATAAGACTTGGAGCTGATCGCCATTTCATTTTCCCAAGGGGAGAAGCGGGATCGATGCGCGGCTGACAGAGCGACGATAGCATGCAAGACACTCGGCTCGGCGAAGCAGGTCTGCAAGACCAGAGAATCCCAGAACTCCGATTTGAATAATCCGGTCAATTTCAACGCCGGCGCATGACGGAAGTAGTCCAGAGACGACCGCTCTTCCTGCGCAACCCCAGGGAGGGGGCCAGGGTTCCGACTAATGAGTAAATATCGAGGCGTCGTACCCGCCCGCTCCAGACCGAGCGGTCCGGCATTGCCTGGGGTTCCTTTGGTCCCGCTATACAAGATTCCATAGCCATCGCAGACTCTGCCGGAATTTGTGCATTTCCGACATGCGGGTTTCTCTTCATCGCATTTGACATGGCGGACTCTGTATCGAAGTCAGCCGATAGAAATCCCTCAGCCATCTGAGATGAACTGACTTGCAGGTACGACATCCGGACTTAACGTATCTCCCGGGCCTCCGAGAACCGGAGGATTGAGTTGATTTAGATGGCTCGCCCATGGTGATTCGATGCTAATGTTATCCATCAGATAGAGGGACCGGCATGACGATGAATTCGAATTAGAAAGGGGTGCAGAGACTGATAATCCATCGAATTGTCTAGCATGGGGGCGTGATTCAGGGAGAAAGTAGGAGTAAGATCGACGATGGAAGGAAGAGTGGACAAATGACCTACCGGACTAACCCAAAGAGGATGGCCTCCTCGGAATTTTCCGTCTGTGATTGGCTCGCTATAGTGGAGGGCGCTATTCTAGATTAGGCCATCTTGTATATCTAGATTCCTCAGGCTCCCATCTGGTCCCATCTTGGGCTGCGTGCAAGTCGGTACGCTGGAGTTAATCGTGTCATCCACAATGTTGCCTGGATGCTCTATTTCCGTTGCTATGTCCGCTGTCTCCGAGAAAGAAATTGTATAAAAGGCCATCTTCCACTCTGACGACTGTATATTCTATCTTCAAACCACTACTGGCTTTTTCAATCTCTGTATTCGAATATCAATCAATCTTCTTCATTCAAAACATACAGAATGTCTCTTCCTACCAGAACCCTCGGCAGAAATGGCCCCAAAGTCACCGGCGTTGGTCTCGGACTGATGAGCATTGGCGGTGTCTACGGTCCTAAAGGCACTGACGAAGAACGTTTCGCCTTGCTCGACAAGGCCCATGAAATTGGCGAGCACTTCTGGGACACAGCAGATCTGTACTCTGACAGCGAAGAGCTTATCGGTAAATGGATTCGCAAGAATCCTGCCAAGGCCAAAGACATCTTCTTAGCGACGAAGTTTGCTATCACAATGGGCGCTGACGGCTCTATAAACCTGGATTCCAGTCCCGAGTATGTCAAGGCTGCGTGCCAAAGAAGTCTCGACAAGCTGGGCGTTGAGACAATTGACCTGTATTATTGTCACCGGGTTGATGGGAAGACACCCATTGAGAAGACTATTGAAGCGATGGTAGAATTGAAGAAGTAAGTTGATAACCTACACTCCACTTCCTACTCCGAGAGCAACGCTTAATAAAATTCCAGGGAGGGAAAAATTTGCTACCTCGGCATCAGCGAAGTCAGTGCTGATACCCTTCGACGAGCACACGCAGTGCATCCCATCTCCGCCCTGCAAGTCGAATACAGTGCCTTCGCTCTGGACATTGAAGATCCCAAGATCGACTTGCTCCGAACATGCCGGGAGCTGGGGATTGCAGTCGTTGCATACAGCCCCATCGGCCGCGGAATTCTGACAGGACGGTACAAGTCCCACGAGGATCTCGGTCATGAGCCGTTTCTCGCTGCCTTGCCGCGATACTTTCCAGAAAACTTCCCGAAAATCTTGGATCTGATTGAAACCTTCAAGACAGTTGCAACACGCAAGGGATGCACACCTGTGCAGCTGGCCATTGCGTGGTTGATGGCTCGCGGGGACAATATCATTCCGATTCCTGGGACAAGGAGTACCAAGTACCTTGCGGAGAATGTGGGCGCTATTCATGTCAAGATCACGGACGAAGAACAGGAGCAGATTAACGAAGTTGTTCAGAATAGCGTCCTGCAGGGTGATCGTTATCCTCAGGGGTAAGTCTTCTGGTGATGTTCACTGTCTTGAGTAAGCTGATTTATATCTAGTGTGCCGACGAGTTTCGCCCTGGGCGATACACCACCTCTATGATTGTTCTTTCATACCCTATCTATACAACAACATCGGTGTAGATGATAGCTTGATGGATTTCCAGAGAGGATCTGGGTAGAAACCTGTGCTTTAATTCGTCAATTGTGAAGTAGAAATATAGCCTTAAGATATTTTTGCCATGCAAAATACAAATATGTTCTATCTTTTTCTGAGACTTTCTCTTTTCCCATTATGAGTTTATGAAACTTCTGCTGCCACAAGGATCAGATTCTGGTTAAGCACAATAAGCCACATGGGAACACCCAGAAACAAACACTATAGTATTCATGGATCGCCTAGCCATCCAAGTCTCTCAATTAGTTCAGTATTCCCTGACATTCTCATTTCCTGTACCAACCCACACGCGATCAATTTGACCACGTCAATGGGTCTTCCAGTCCATCCAGGTCATACCTCGATACGAACAGGACAAATAGCCGTCATTACTTGACCAACGTTCATAGTAAATCCTTCCTTTCTGAAATCCCGCTTACGGCTGACGGTGCTCCTTGTACGTTCTGCTGCTGCTGGTCTCACTCTGTCTCCTGTCTATATCGGCGATTTCAAAGTCGATAAAGTTGTACTAGGACCTACGTCAGACTCAAAGGTTACCCGAGCGGCTAATTATGCGCAGCTACAACTGGATCTCGTGGTCATTCGACGACGTTTAGCCACAGGAGAACACGAGAAAGTGCTATCAGGAAAGAATTTCGTTGATGACAAAAAAACTTATAGGACAGCATAATTCCCAATTTTTCAGGTGGACGAATGTTGGAAACAGTTCGCCGACTGTTGCAGATTTGTCTAATGCCGCGTGTGAGCTCACTGATAACTTTGGAATCGACAGCGCGGGTTCGCAAGGGGATTTAGCACTCAAACGTCATATTGAGGAGGGTGTTGGCAGGCCTGCCAACTCGATAACTGATTGCAGACTGGGCTATTTCGCAAATTCGGTTCTGCAAGTAGCTTCGGAGTCGAATCATAAAGTCAAAAGCCTCGGCTTTTATGACCGCACAAGCGGACTTTGCTCACGTAGTAGGTTGGAACTTTGATTTGTTTGGTGATGCTTGTATATAGCTAAACTAGTTGGTGGGAGATGTGTAGAAAAAAATGACCTGACACGATGCTGCATATTTCGGACTTGATCATTTTCTCCGATGAGAAAACCACAGCCACCCGAAACATAGAGAGGTGACGGGAAACTTGTGCTATTCGTTCTGTGTTCTGTTGAATAGGCATGGTACCACTGTGCTATAAATGGAACATTATACTTTGCATGCCGGCCAGATACTTCAAACAAGGCACATCGTGGCAACGGCTGACCCGTGGAATTTGAACACCCAGTCGTAGTTTGGCTCCGTACCACAACACGTAGTCAGCGTCTCCTAATACTAAAGGGTGCCATATCTCTGTCGTACTGATATAACATGCAGCTTCACCGTTAATGACCTCATGAGGCCCGCCAGGCACCTTTAGAATGTCTGAACTTCAATCTGATTCATGAATCCAAGGTATGGCGGAATTACTGCATATTCTTCTTGATATGCACGATGTTCAACTCAACCGCGGTTGGTAGGCAGAATCGTATGTTCGTGAGTGACAATTCCCTTGCTAGCATTGCGATCTTTAGCTAGATGTAGCTATAGAAGCCCGTTGTAGGTTGCTTCGATTAACCCAGTAGCATAATCGAGTTTCCATAGGTTGTGCCCTACCAAATTAGCGTCGGAACGTAAAAACCCAATGATATTCTTGAGCATGTCACTCGGATCGCGAAACTAGAAAAACTTGTTAGAGCGGCTATTGAGAGTGCCATATAAAAATTGCACCTTGACATACCTTGTTAGTTCCAGGGTTCCGTTTTTCTATCCTAACCAGGTCCCAATTAACGATGCTTAAGTTTGCTTTAGAGTCCATTTTTAGTGTGGATGCAAGCGGTCTTTTTCTTCACACCAGATGCCGCAAAGACAGTTCCAAGAACGCAGGATATGATAAGGCAAATCCTTCCCTTCTGAAAATCTGAGAACATGAATTGGACATTGAGGTAACGACACGTTATCCGCATGTAACAAAATTGCCACGATGGCCGTAGACAATACGCGTACTCCACCCTCATCACCCAATTGTATGGGCCGTAACTTTCCATGATCAGAAAAGCCTTCGGATCGAGAATCGCCACAATCAACAACGGCAAGGTCAATTATAACCTCGGCTTTCCTTCTGTCTCGAAGATGTCGAACGTTTTAACCTGAAAGCATTTGACGTACCTGTTGCTTGGAGCTCTCCGTAAAAACATAACGAAGTGGTTATCATCCACACACTTGACGAACCAGGTCTTTTCGTAAATGCCAAAGAGCCAATACCTGGCGTACCGGTCGTTCATATAGCGCGCCAGCTGCCCTATATGTATTCATGACTATAGCAATTTGGGTGGCTCTTCTGGCCCTTTCCGCTGCACTGTCCGCCTTGGCCACCAGGCATTCAGCCCTGGCCGCCTCCATGTTAAAGGCCCGAATTGCCCTGGTGGCCTTTAATACCGCCCGATTGACCCTCGCATTCGTCTGCCGCGCGCGCCTGGCTGTCCTGTACGCACGATCCAGTCTGTGCCTTCACATCAATTCGGGGCCCGCTAGCTTGCCATCGACAAGCTTCGCGACCTCTGCCCGGGATAGGTCAAGAAGGATTCTAATCGCTTTTGCGGACATTGATTCGTGCATTAGGTGCAAAGGACAGTGATAATTCCATCTTGGATGACGAGCGGGTAGAGCAGCGTCCGGGAAAGTATTCCACATAATATATGAATCATCATATGCTGTTGTTGTTGTGCAAGGTCGAAAGTATGTCGAAGGCCTCAGGCCATTGTTGATTTAGCTTTTGTACAGCTCGCAAAAGTTTGGATCTTTCTGGTATTGATTCTTCAAGACACAGCTGATCTGACCGGCGAAGGCATTATTCAGTCAAATTCGTGTGCCAAAGGAAACAGCTTTTGCCTTGGTCAGCAAGTCCCCCGCAACATATCTTGTCACCTTCCAGAAATCTGTTCTCCGCTATTTTAACATGCGATAGATTCTATCGGCTTTCGTTGTTCTCTTTGCGGGAGGGGAGTCTTATAGAATTTTGACAGAGGTTGAAGAGGAACACGGCCACTTCAGTATTTGATTCGAATGGAAGATCCCTGGATGCTATGTTATTTCCTGTTGTTCAAAAGGCACATGATATATTCCAACGTACCTTCATGGTAGGTAACGAGAATATATTCTCGTTTTGAAGATGCTGTCTATATTTCCGGGCTTTCTGTTTTCCATCATAGCATTGCGAGTGGTATTAGTAGTGTGGTTGGAGTGCTCCATGTGCGAACATTTGTGAGTCAACCCGTCTTTTGGAATGCCTAGAGTATGCGTTGTGAATATTAGACCACGACCGTGAATTGGATACGGTTCCTCTCACAACTTCTTGTTTTGGCGTGCAAGCTGTCCAAATTCACTGGCGCTCTGGAGCTGTTTTCGAAGTCTAAGCTGCATTCTGAAATGAAGGCGATGCCCTATATTCTTTCTCGTAACGCCCAGGAAGTTGCGCCAGACTGTCTCAGTTCTGAGGAACAGGTCTCACTAGGCTATATCATATAGTAAACAAGCCATATATGTGCAACAGCACCAGTCTCTTAGCTGGCCATCTCATCTGTTATAGAAGTGTAGCGTGGGACATGGCCGCGCACCTTTCCCCAGTTCGGATTAAGGGTAAGTACATCAGCTGTCCATTCGTGATTGCGGCGTGGAACAAGCCCAGCGATCGACTCCAAGAAGGTAATGAGAGAGCCATTGGGCGTAGAGGCTGTCCATATACCGTGCCAGCTGCCCCTTGTGTATTCGGGACGGTGTATAGCCTCTGAAAAGTCACGGCAGTCCCTGCCTCCCCTCGGTCTTGCTTGACCGGACTGCAAGGAATTGGTGAATATTTCTATGTCGCTCTACGTCTGTGAATAAGCGCTCTTTATAATCTTGCCTATCGTATATTGAATGACTTTCAGTTCAACGATCTCCAGTGGTCGGGGTATGGAAGGCCAGGTCAACCGGCAATAGAACATCTTTCTTTATACGGGCCCAGAAATCAAAAGTGCCAGCCTCAGCGTCGCCTTTAAGGACGATCAATTCAGGCCCCAGCACCTAAGGATATATCCACTCATGAGGAAGGGTGGTATCGTCAGCCTAACGTCTCTACTTTTGTATAGAATGTAAGATACTACGCTTATGTAGATGATTTCAATCTGTAAAGAGGCTGGATGAGTTGGTAGACCTTCCTGGTGCCGTCTTCAAACCCCTTTGAATAAATTGACTAGACAACATCCTAGTTGAGGAACATCCAAACAGGCCCAAAAGATCACTGATATCAAGGCATCTCATCCCAAGTATCAAATGTTCCTTGAAGAATTCATCCAGTCGGTTAAGAGGGTCGCCGTACACTTAAGCGAGGAGGTCGGCTAGGAGAAGAAGTGCAAAGCAGAGAACAGATTCGAGAGCAATTATTTCGAATCAGAAGTCCCGGCTCTTATCACCTCTTACAACGACCGTGGGGACATTTCCGGCAAAAGCCAGTACAATCCGAGTCAAAGGTGCAGGACGCTTCACAGGTTTTCTTTTTGTTGTCGTGGCGCGCCTCAAGTTGATCAGCAACGGTAATACCAGCATCGATATCATGAGCATCGATAAAATCGGCATCATCAGCGATGGTGGGGATCACAGCTGCCGCAATTGCCAGCACGATGAGGAGAGTGATGATGAAACGAAGATTGAATTTCATGGTTGTGGTGAATAGGAGGATTTGGAGTAGATTTGGAGGTGGAATTGTATGAGTTATCAAGATCTTGATGAACTGAAGTATGATTGTTGGTATGATCATCTATCTACATGAAAGAGCCCTTTTTTATATGCGAAATGTAGTCAGCATACCGGAATCCTCCGCTTCGAATGTAGGATGTCAGGTTCAGGAAGATGGAAATCTCCGGTTTTCCTGTGAATACCGGGATCCTTCACAGAATTTGGGCTAGATAACTTATCATCTTGCCTGATAGAAGCCTATATCCCGAAGGGAATATCCTACAAGAGTGTGTATTCATTATCAAGTATGGAGCGGTGAGTCTTTAACCTAGGTGAATCGAGCCTGAAATTGAGACTGCAGGGATATGGATGGTTTACATATTCCAGCAGGGGTATAGTCTGTTAATTAGCAGGATTTCATCATACCATATCCACATAACCGCTCAGGTACATAGTGTTATATTGATTTGTTATTTGGGTGTGCGCCAATGTAAAATCCAAGCTTAGCCCTAAAGTCACACCACTCCAAACCGGGATATCCATGTGGTTCCTCAGGTCAAGCCCTGCGAGGATCGTGTCTATCATGTCTTAGATCCCAACCCCACATCCCCCGCATTCATGGTCCCTGAAGCCTCGCAACGTGTTCCCTGCTGGAGAGAGCTGGCGTGAAGTGCAACCAAATGGCCATATAACATGGAAGATGGAAAATGAAAGATGAGAGCAAATCCTACTGAACATGGCCTACCAGTCACTAACCTCGCTTAAGTTTGCCCAGAAACCTTGGTGGCGTTGGCAGTTCATTGTGGAATGTTGAGCACAGATGTGCATCGGTCGGTCTAGGGCTAGCTTGTTGTTCACGAACCCACCCGGGTGATTCACTGCAGGGGGGAAACACGTGCCCTGATGACTGTGAGCAGAGGTAATCATCTCCGGTAAGAAGAGGGAAGAAGGAAGAAGGTGGAGGAAGAAGGAATGGGATAAGATAGGGACCGCTCACCGCCCTCCCACCCGCGGCATATAAACGGTTCACCGCCTCGCGTCCCCTCGGCGATGATTGTTCGTCAGTCGCGGATGTCGTGATTGATTTTGCCCTCTGTCCTCCTTCGTCCTTCCAGCTATTCATAGATCTCTTCTTATCCCTTCCTTCCAATTGTCCCCGTTGTTTTGTTCTAGACTATTTCCTCATCGGATCTTGTCCGATTCTATCTCTCCTTATTCTTCTCCCTCCGCATTGATCCCCGGCAACTCTAAACTCGCCTGCATCTTTAGCGGCCTTTTTCTCCCTCCTTCGCCAGTGCTGTATGCCTCCAAGGTCCTCTGCATCTCTCCGCCCGTGGAACGCCAGAGCCCTGCTTTCTCCTGCACCTTATCGCTCCTTTACGCTTTCAGGCGCCCTTGTGGCGATCACCCCTTCTGCCCAATCTATTTCGCCCCGGGTCCTCTCCCCTCGTCCCTGCTGGACTCCGTCCTTTCCTCCATCCTGCTCCCCGTTCCTCAGTGCCTCGTTTTCCACCCGTCCCGCCACCATGGGTTCGATCGACCGCATCACCGAGAACTTGGAGAAGCCGGAAATAGATGACCGCTCGTACCGCGTGGTTCGCCTGCCCAACAAGCTGGAGGCCCTTCTGGTTCACGACCCGGACACCGATAAAGCCAGCGCGGCGCTGAACGTAAATGCCGGCAACTTCTCCGACCCGGATGATTTGCCCGGTATTGGTCATGCTTTGGAACACATGCTGTTCATGGGAACAGAAAAGGTAAGTTCTGAGTCACACGGTCGTGGATATTCCCAGGTGCGGAGACTAATCGGTTGCGACAACTTCACAGTACCCCAAGGAGAATGCGTACAACCAATACCTAGCGGCCCATTCCGGCTCGTCTAACGCCTACACCGCTGCCACCGAGACCAACTACTTCTTCGAAGTGTCTGCCACTTCGACATCGAGTGACACGTCTTCCAGTGGCACATCTACCCCCAACGGCGCGGCAAATGGAACGACTTCTGGTTCTGATGTCAGCACCGCCGGCCCCTCGCCTCTGTATGGCGCCTTGGATCGATTCGCACAGTTTTTCGTGTCGCCCTTGTTTTTGGAATCGACTCTGGATCGTGAGCTGAGAGCGGTGGACTCGGAAAACAAGAAGAACCTGCAGAGCGACTTGTGGCGACTGATGCAGCTGAACAAGTCCCTGTCGAATCCCGCCCATCCGTATCACCACTTCTCCACGGGCAACCTGCAAACACTGAAAGAGGAGCCGCAGAAACGAGGCGTCGACGTTCGCAGTGAATTCATCAAGTTCTACGAAAAGCACTATTCGGCCAACCGGATGAAGCTGGTGGTGCTTGGACGAGAGTCCCTGGACGAGATGGAGCAGTGGGTCGGGGAGTTGTTTGCCGGAGTCAAGAACAAGGATCTGCCCCAAAACCGCTGGGATGACGTGCAGCCGTGGTTGCCCAGCGATATGTGTAAGCAGATCTTCGCCAAGCCCGTCATGGACAGCCGCTCCATCGACATCTTCTTTCCCTTCCTCGACGAGGAGTTCTTGTACGAGTCGCAACCGAGCCGGTACATCAGCCACTTGATCGGACACGAAGGACCGGGTAGTATTCTGGCGTATGTGAAGGCCAGGGGCTGGGCCAATGGTCTGTCCGCCGGAGTTATGCCCATCTGCCCTGGTTCGGCCTTTTTCACCGTGTCCATCCGCCTGACGCAGGAGGGCTTGAACCAGTATCGCGAAGTGGCCAAGGTGGTGTTTGAGTATATTGCCATGCTGAAAGAGCGGGAGCCGGAACAGTGGATCTTTGACGAATCGAAGAACCTGGCCGAGGTGGAGTTCCGATTCAAGCAGAAGTCTCCCGCCAGTCGGTTCACAAGCCGCCTGAGCAGCGTCATGCAGAAGCAGCTCCCCAGGGAGTGGCTTCTGAGCGGCTCCCTATTCCGCAAGTTCGACCCTGAGTTGATCAAGAAGGCTCTTTCGTACTTCCGTGCCGATAACTTCCGCATGATCATCGTCTCGCAGGACATCCCTGGGAACTGGGACTGCAAGGAGAAGTGGTACGGAACGGAGTACAAGGTTGAAGACGTGCCTCAAGACTTCATGGCCAGCATCCACGAGGCGCTGGCGACCACCCCCGAGAAGCGACTGTCCGCGCTGCACATGCCCCACAAGAACGAGTTCGTTCCTACCCGCCTCTCGGTGGAGAAGAAGGAGGTGTCCGAGTGCGCCAAGACGCCCAAGCTCATTCGCCATGACGACCACGTTCGCCTGTGGTTCAAGAAGGACGATCAATTCTGGGTGCCCAAGGCTACCGTTCATATCACGCTCAGGAATCCCTTGGTGTGGACCACGCCGGCTAACCTGGTGAAGGCCAAATTCTACTGCGAGCTTGTCCGCGATGCGCTCGTGGAGTACTCCTACGACGCCGAGCTTGCCGGTCTAGATTACCATCTGTCTGCCAGCATCTTTGGGTTGGACGTTTCGGTTGGCGGCTACAACGATAAAATGTCCGTCCTCCTCGAAAAGGTGCTTACCAGCATGCGAGACTTGGAAATCAAGCAAGATCGCTTCGATGTTATCAAGGAGCGTCTGACCCGCGCCTATAAGAACGCCGAGTACCAGCAGCCGTTCTATCAGGTCGGTGACTACACCCGCTATCTGACAGCCGAGAAGACATGGATCAACGAACAGTACGCGGCCGAATTGGAGCACATTGAAGCCAAGGACATCGCTTCCTTCTACCCTCAGCTGCTCAGCCAAAACCACATCGAAGTCCTTGCCCACGGTAACTTATACAAGGAGGATGCGTTGCGCATGACCGACTCCGTCGAGAGCATCCTTCAGAGCCGCACTCTGCCCCAGTCGCAGTGGCACGTGAGGCGCAACATGATCATTCCTCCGGGATCCAACTACGTTTATGAGCGCACGCTCAAGGACCCGGCCAACGTGAATCACTGCATCGAATATTACCTATTCATGGGTGACATCACCGACAAGGTCCTCCGAGCGAAGCTGCTACTGTTTTCTCAGATGACGGACGAGCCGGCGTTCGACCAGCTTCGAAGCAAGGAGCAGCTTGGGTACGTCGTCTGGAGCGGCGCGCGTTATTCTGCCACCACCGCTGGTTACCGGGTCATCATTCAGAGCGAGCGCACCGCGCAGTACCTGGAGTCGCGTATCGATGCCTTCCTCGGCAACTTCGGGCGTGATCTGGAGCGGATGTCGGACGAGGAATTTGAGGCTCACAAACGCAGCGTCATCAACAAGCGCCTCGAGAAGTTGAAGAACCTGAGCTCCGAGACCAACCGGTTCTGGACTCACATCGGCTCTGAGTATTTCGACTTTGTGCAGAACGAGTCTGATGCCGCCAACGTGAGGGCTCTGTCCAAGGGTGAACTTGTGGAGTTCTTCCACCAGTACGTCAACCCCGAATCTTCCACTCGGGCCAAGGTTGCGATCCACCTCAAGGCGCAGAGCGGTCCCTACGTGGATGGCGCGGAATCTAGCGAGCCGAAGGCTCGATTGGTGTCTGCTCTGGGCAAGCAGCTGGAGGCCGCCGGCTTTGCGGTCGACTCGGACCGCCTGTCTGCTGCGTTTGCCAAGCTTGAGGTATTGCCGGGTGCGGAGAGCCAGATTCTCGACACTCTCAAGACCTTCCTGGGCTCCGAAATGAGCCTGTCCGAGCAGCAGATCGAGCCGGTTCTCAAACAGGCGGAGCAGAACCTGGGTGTGCACCTGAAGCAGCTCGGTCTCGAAGAACCGAAGACCAACGGCGAAGCCAAGGCTACCGAGGCTCAGCACCCGACTTACATTACCAACGTGCCTGAGTACAAGGCGCGTCTGGCCGTTAGTGCCGGGCCAAGCCCGTTCACCGATCTGAGTGAATTTGAAGACTTTGATGCGAAACTTTGAGCGAGAATAGACGTGATTGTTGTTATGTACCGGATTGGATTGGATGAGCAAATGGTTGAGGTTGGGTTATTGGGTTAGCATATTCTATGATCTAAATGGAGATTTGTTGGGATCTAGCATTGGGGATGGCATGTAGTACTAGAGATTCAACAATCTGAATATTTATTTGACGACATTTTGCTTGCAGGAGTTGACTATCTAATAGACCAGATTGTTGGAAGAGTTAGAATAGATAGATTAATCGACGAACAACTATCTAGAAACCCTGGAGAGGGACAGACAAGGTGAAGGCAGTTCATACAACCGGCAGACAGGATGCCTGGTAGCCTCAGGCATATATTTCAGGCTTCCACTAACAAGGATGTGATGGCTGCTTAGTTTATTCCTTTGCTTAGTTAGACCAAGAATATCATATTGCACGCTTCTCGGCGATTTTTACATCGCTATACGGAAGCGAGCACATTACTACGGGGCGAAGCTACTAAACCCCAAATATATACAAGAGTAAACACCGTCCAGTCTCTGCGGCAATACACACATACACTCACACACCCCCAAACCACCTCATACACTCCCCACTGGCCTAAAACGCATCATCAACGGCGCCTTCTTCCACAACTGCTTCAATCTCGCCTGATCAACCCAATCCCCACCACCAATAGCATCACCATCCAACTCCCAATCAAACGCCAGCACCGTCTTCGCCAACGCGATCCGCATCTCCACCCACGCCAGTGTCGTCCCGATACACATTCTCGGCCCGATACTAAACGGCACGGTATACGGTTTCACAGGCACATCAAGCCATCTCTCAGGCATGAACTTATCCGGAAACTCCCCCACCGTGCGTTTATCATGATGAATCGTCCAGACATCCGCGGCGACGTACACCCCCTCAGGAACGAAGGTACCGTCGACGGTTTCTCCGCCCACGGGACTCACGCGTGGCGGTCCAACAGGCGACGGCGGGAACAGACGCATAGTCTCCTCTATGATGGCGTTTAGGTAGGGGAGTCGCGCGGTGGCGTCACCGGTCGCGTTAGCAGCGCCGGGGGAGGTACCATCGGTCCCGAAGGCGGCCCGCACTTCGGCCCGCAGACGCTGGAGACACGCGGCGTGGTCCGGCAGCGACAGGTACCACAGCGCAGCGGTGAGGGCAGTAGCGCTGGTCTCAGCGCCAGCGGTGAGCATGACCATAGCCTGGTTAGCGAGGTCCGTATCTTCCATACCCCCTCCGCGAATGGCATGAGCTAGGAAATCGTCGACGTCGGTTCCGGTGGTTTTGCTACGCGCAGGGCCGACTTCGATGCGCTTGCGAGTCTTCGCGAGGGTCATGGCGCCGTGGCGTGTGATGGAGTCGACGGCGGCGCGGGCAGTGGGAGAAATATAAGGCATCCAGCGCAGCAGGGGACCAACGAAGGCGAGACGCTTGCGGAGGTTGAAGATCGAGCCGCTGTAAGTGGCGTCGAGGAGGATGGAGACCCATGGATGACTCTTGTTGTCGCGGGTGGCGTTGAACGACTCCCCGAAGGTGAGTTCTCCGATGATATCGAAAGTGAGCCATTCGAACCATTTGGAGACGTCTAACGAGACGGCGCCATCGCGGCCCCGCGCAGCGAGCTGGTTCACCCAGAGGTCGACATGGGCGTGGATGATAGGCTCCTGGGTGCGAACGGCAGAGGGACGAAATTGGGGCGCGAAGATGCGGTGCTGGCGGGCGTGTTCCTCGGGGTCTCGCACGAAGGCGATGTTGGGGTGACCATTGTCATAGAAGCGGTCGGATTTGGGGAACAGTTTGCGGGTCTTGGAGGGGGCGCCGTAGATGTCACGGAAAGCTTGGGCCGTTGCGAAGGAGAGCTCGTTGGGCGCGATGCGCACAATGTCGCCGTATCGACGGTGGGCGTCTTGGATCTTGCGGTTCCAGAAGCCGCTCGTCCAGGCCGATGCATACCAGAGCTCGGAGATGGCGGCGAGCGGCGGGCCTGGGTACTTGGAAAGGGGATGCAGCCAGTAGAGATAGGCGTAGGATGCGAACCAGTATGCTGAAACAAGGATCGCCAGACCTACTGCGAGGACTGCAGGGGACAGGGAGAAGAGCATTTCAATTGCCATGGTTGCCAGTCCAGGCGTCAGTGTCACAAGTGTTTGCTTCACCACAAACAGGATCAGAGACAGGTTCAGGAAACAAGGGTATGCAAGGGTATATGAGGGATATGAGGGGAAAAGGACGATGGGTTCATTATAAATCCATTCGTTGTGGGCAGCGCAGACACTCCAACCAGTTCTCCTATCAGACCCACGCTGCTCGCGCACAGTTCTCTTGCCTATAAAAAGCCGAAGTAAAGCTCGTAGCACGCCAGTGCGCATGACTCGGAGGGAGTGGAGTATCTAGCGTGGAGGAAGTGGGTCGACAGTTTCATCAAACAAGGCGAGAGGCCACTAGTGCGTAGACCGGGATAGTGAATCCTCCGAGTCTTCAATGACCGCACTAAGGACGAAAGTACCGTTCCTTAGTTGCAGCCAGTGACGTTGCCGAGACTCCAGAGCCATCCCGAGGGACTATTTATTTCGTTGGGCCGTCTTGCCGATGCATTTATTATCTATCTAACTGCAAGGACCAGAAATTGTCTCGAAATGATGCATCCAACATCCGAGCTGTAGACCCTGCGCCGCATATCGATGGTGTGGTCATGAATATGATAGCCGATAGATAAACCCCAACTCTCTGGCCCCCGAGGCCAAGAATATAGTTGGTCAGTCTAGGAAGCCCTAACCCAGCGATCCTCTGCCCGTTATGGCGTTAGATCGTCCATGACTCCAGCCCAGAGAGTCCATCCGAGCCCCCCGAGGCATCCCCTGGTCAATTTCAGTCCCGATCAGTTTAGGTGCTGGTTTAGCGCCGCGAACCCCGGTCAGGGGCGCAAGAGCTCTGGAGCAACACGTCCCCTCGGAAGGCTCTGAGAGGTCAACCGTGCAAGGCATCGGCCCGCAGTGGAGCAGTGGGCCCAAGCCAACCGTTGCCGATCAATATTGACAGCTGCTCCGTGCTGGGATTTGATTCCTCGACGGTATATGCGAGGATCCTGCTGAATACTGATCGTCTAGTCCTTCCTTCGGTGTTTGGGGCGAGTTGGTATAAAGTAATAGAGGGCTTTAGTCTGTAAGTTATAGGTAGAGAAGAGACCTATCATAATTTTTTTCCGCACCTTTCAGTCCTCCTGGATACTTTTAAACGCCGCCGTGCACCTTCTATCCGGTACTCGTGCGTGGCGCGCGCGCAAACCCAGTTCGAAATCATGTCTTCGTCCTCGATATACATAGCTGACCCCCCAGCGGGTGTGCGACGGTTCGAGGGCGACACTCTTCAGCCTAATATGGCAGCGTGTGGCATCACCACAGCCTTAATCGCCCTGGCCGTGGTCGGGCTCCGTTTGTATACACGATTCTTTCTCACGGCAGCCCGGTTTCAGGTGGATGATGGTAAGTGAAGCCACCAGCCAAAAAGCAGAGCTACAATGGTTAGACAGCTAATGTTCTTTTTCTTGGATAGTCTTCGTCTGCTGCGCTGCTCTATGCTCGATCATGCTGATACCTATCTCGTTCAAGAGTGAGTCTTCCCTCCTGAGGTGCTCAACGGCGAAAATATATCAATATGGTCAAATCTAACCAGCAATGTAAAATATCCAGTCATGGAAGCCGGCGTAGGTCTCCATATGTGGAACGTGACGATGGCCCAGTATAACCCAGCGCTCGGAATCGTGAGTTGCATCGCATCCCAACTACCCTCGTCAAACAGCAACAACAACACTAACAAACCAACTCGAGCAGTGGACCCTCATCACAACCATCTTCTACGCCTGGGCCGTCATATTCTCCAAACTCTCCATCCTCGCCTTCTACCTCCGCCTCTCCCCCCAGCACTGGTTCCGAATACTCACCTTCACCCTCATGGGCATTGCCACAGCCTACGTTCTCCTATACACCTTCCTCTTCATATTCCGCTGCAACCCGATCGCCATGAACTGGGACGTGACGATCACAAAGGGCACGTGCATCGACACGAGCACCGTCATGACAGTCCTCAGCGTCGCCAACATCGTCATGGACGTATTGACGCTCCTCCTCCCAATCCCGGTGATCATGCGGCTAAACATGCGCCTCGCACAACGCGTCTCCGTCATCCTGATCTTCTCATCAGGTATATTTGTCTGCGCCATCGCCATTCAACGCACCGTGCAGATGCTTTCAGCGCTCACATCCGCAGACTACACGTGGGACATCACGGAACAGTTCTACTGGTCGTATATTGAAGTCAATGCGGGGATACTCTGTGCGTCGGTTCCGGCGTTGAAGCCGTTCGCAAAGCGCCATCTAGCGCCCATTTTCGGGTCTTCGCAACGGTATCATGAAGGAAATGGGGCATCGGGGGGACCTCAGCCTGCGGGTCAGAGTCAGGAGGCGATTGTGTTGGGGGTTACGCCGAAGAGGTCGAGTTATACAAGGTTTTAGTCCTGATTTAAGGATATGGAAAGTGGAGTTGATATTTGGACTTGTGATTTGGGTTGGATAGAGATTGACTCGACCCAATCTCGGGATTTATTTTTTGTTGGACCACTGATATTCGCTTATGGCCTTGCACCTGCCTGCTTTAGTTAGTATGTCAGCTGACCCACAGTGGATCGGCCGTAGATAGTCTCGCTGCAGAGCGCTAGTCCTTACAATTCAAGCGTCCTACACCTGCAGTTCCGTCATTTTTTGTATTTTATAAAGCTCATTCTTACGGAAAAGTTAGCAATGTATTTCCTCGGTCGTCTGTTCACTCCTTCGTCCTGACTCCGCTTAGGGAATATAAAGCAAGTCTTCAACCACTCAACCACTCAACTACGATTAGTGGGATGAAACTTGACCACATAGAACTCTAGAACTCCAAGCTCAAATATGGTTCTGAATATGTCAATGTGAACCTGTCAGCTGAGCGCGCGGCAGTGTGTCGAATGGTAAAATCGCAGCGCCAGTGGATAAGTCTAGTATGCGACCTTGTCACATGAGATGTCCACCCTTCTCACAGGATGGGCCTTATTAAGGAATGACTAACATTAGCTATGTATGAGTGTCCAAAAACATAAGCGCTTTTTTCAACACCCAGGTATAAATTCATAGCCTAAGTAGGCTCACATCATTACGGAAAGCTTGAATAAATGAAGATTGACGGCATACTTCAAAGACAGAACTGATCCTGGGGAGTTGTGTATCCATTGAAACAATTATGAGAAAAAGATAGACAAATTGAAGAAGGCATTGTTAGCAGAATAATGACCCATGTTGGACTGCCGGTTGTATAGTCTCGCTTGCCTAATACGGCTTAGTGCACAGGTGACCCACAGTCAGCTTTAGCTAGTCAATGGTCTTTGAGACCTTTCATCCATCCAAACATTCTCACCTGCAGTTCCATCAACCCATGTTCGATCTACGGAGTAACGATATTGAAGTTAGGATCACCCGGGTCAAGCAGCGATGAAAGCGTGTCCAATGCCCCGGTGTCCCCGTCAATCTCAATACCAGCCTTCTCCAGAGCCTCCGGATCAGGTCCATAAACAGCCAGCGCAGTCAGCTGCTTCGTCGTGCCTCTCAGGGTCACGTCGACGGTGCCAGACTGTGGCGTCGTGCTGTAAATGAGCGCGCCGTTCGACAACCACAAACGATAGGTGACTCCGGCGTCGGTGACGACCACGTCGATAGCCAGTTTCTGATCCCAGGCTTCCGGGCCATTAATCTGAATAGCAATGGAATCGAAGAGCATCTCGGGGGTAAGCTGACCCACGACATCTGCCGAGGCCGACTGCGTCGGGGTCCCGAAGTTCCCATCGCGCAGCTCCGTTGTTCCGGAGATGAAGAAGTTTCTCCACGTGCCGTTCTCCGCGCCATAGCCCAGTTGCTCATAGACATCGGCGAGCAGATTTCGGGCTATCTCATTATCCGGGTTCGCGAAGACAGCATGGTTTAGAACCTCCGCGGCCCAGCGAAAGTCGCCGGCATCGAATGCCTCGCGGCCCTTGCGGACAATTCGCTCCTCTCCACCGGTGAGCTCAACATACCGCTTGGCCTTCTCGACTGGAGTGTGCTCCCATAAATGGGCCGGGTTGCCGTCGAACCAGCCGCAGTAGCGTTGGTATATGGCCTTCACATTGTGACTCAATGAGCCGTAGTAGCCGCGCGCACTCCAGGTCTTTTCGAGCGCGGGCGGCAGGGTCATCATCTCCGCGATCTCGGGGCCGTTGTATCCCTGGTTGAGAAGGCGGAGGGTCTGGTCATGTACGTATGCATACAGATCGCGCTGGGAGGTGAGGAATTGCACGACGTTGTCAGCGCCCCAAGTTGGCCAGTGGTGGGACGCAAAGACAACTTCAGCATCGCCGCCGAACAAGTCGATGGTTTCGGTCAAATATTTGGACCAGGCATGAGGATCGCGCACAACAGCTCCACGCAACGTGAGGATGTTGTGGAAGGTATGTGTAGCATCCTCGGCCGCACATAACGCCTTGAATTGTGGGAAGTAGAAGAGCATCTCGGAAGGGGCCTCGGTGTCCGGTGCCATCTGAAACACCATCTCGACGCCATCAATGGTTCGCTTCTCACCCGTGCGACGGATATCCACGTTCGGTGCGATGAGTGTGACTGTACCCGTTGAGAGGGTCTGCCCGAGTCCCGCGCCGATCTGACCACTCGGTCCCTGTTTGAGGGCGGCGCCATACATGTACGCAGCGCGTCGGCTCATAGAAGTCCCCGTAAAGACGTTCTCGGAGACAGCGTGCTCGAGGAAGCCCTTGGGAGCGAGAATCTTGATATCATGGGTCTCGACATCCTCTTCCTTGATGAAGCCTTTCACGCCACCGAAGTGGTCAGCGTGGGAGTGTGAATAGACGATAGCCTTGATGGCCCTGTCCGTGCCGCGATGCGCCTGATAGAGCGCGAGAGCCGCGGCACCAGTCTCCTCCGAGGTGAGGGGGTCAATGATGATCAGGCCCTCGTCGCCCTCGATGAAGGTTGTGTTGGAGAGATCCAGCCCGCGCACCTGGTAGATGCCGCCAGTGACATGATAAAGCCCGTCTAGGTGAGCAAGCTTCGACTGGCGCCACAGACTCGGATTGGCCGTGTCCGGGGAATCGTTTTTCAGGAAGTCGTAGGCGTCGTTATCCCAGACAACCTCATCGTTGTCATTCTTGACAACGTTCGGGTCTTGGCGGCCTCTGAAGCCCTTCTCGGCGTTCACAAAATCGCGTCTGTCATCAAAGGGCAGACTTTGTCGGACGTTCTTCTGTTGATCGATGATGAACTGGGTAGCTGGCTTAGATTCTGCCATGGCGAAGGTTGACCTGCTGAGCTTAGATTGCTTTGTAAGACGAGAATGTGGGATCTGTGGTGCGATTTCCGACTCGATGGTGTCGAGGTTTCAATTGCTACCTGGCTTAGGGCTATTTATGCTCATTGCGGAGAATAATCCCGAGGCTATACAAATACCGAGATACAAGACTGACATCATGAGTTTGGCTCCATCAGCATCGTATGGATTAGTTAGAGGCGGGGTCTCTGTAGGTCGGACTGGTGGCGTCAATTGGGAGCTGACTTTTGAGGCAGATCAAGCTCAACGTCAACCCAGCTTCAGCTGTGATCCAAAACCCCTCTTTTGCTATTCTATTTCATGCATGCAGGGTTAAAAGATCTAGATCTAGACCCCGCGCCCCAGACGAAAAGATTTATCTGATCCCTGCTGTCAGGGATCTTACGTTACAGTGCATGTCTGCTGACTATGTGCCCTCCTTCCTATCTAATCTATAGATTACGTACGAGTGACGCGAATCTAACACATAGCTCACTCGGTGAACCCCGCGTCAATTAGCCAGCCATCTTGCTACGTGAAGTAGCATGTGAATAGGAAGAATAAACGAGCCCGAGGATATGTAGGACCATATACCCTCATGCTTTTAACTCGCATGCTAATCCTCTGACTTATCTACTGAACCACTCATACCCCCTACATCCCAAAATACTATTTTCCCCTCCATCATTACTCTTCCGGAGATCACCAAGTAAGATCCCCAGGAATTCTTTCACAAGAAGAGCCCAGTACAATCTAACTCCCAACAAGCCAAGCGCAGCTCGACAGCGCCATTAAAGAGCACAAGTCGACTATCATCATCTTCTGTTGGCCGTCTCTCTAGGCGTAATTGCTAGTAATGTACCCGTAGGAATATCGAATGATGAAGGTCTGATTCTTTCAATCTAGCTGCAAATGATGGTTTAAATACATGAAAAATAATAAGCAATCTAGCCTAAAAAGGCAGTTAGAAGAGACATAACTTTTGAACCATGGAAATAACAGAAAAATCTGCATAATCCTCGGGGATCGGTAGTTATCAATACCGATTTCCGGACTAGGAAGGTCTTCTATGTGACTAGCGGTCACATACGGTTGACATCTTCTCAGCTGTATGTAGTCCCATAAGCGAAGGAACCAAAGATAACTTCGAGAAGTAAGTCCGCCTCTTTCTCTATTGGCCTGCCTTGAGACACTTACTTTAAGCATTTCTCGTTCCCCTCGATCCCGTTCTATATTGACGAACCTTGAAAGGGCCGGCTCCAACTATCCAGCGCTCTACGAGGCCTGAATCAACCATGATGTAAATGCCGACCTCGCGGAGAAATACGAAGTCACCAGCATCCCTACTACCATTGGATTCAAGGATGGCGCACAGGTGGCGGAGTTCATCGGACCTCAGCTAGTGGAGCAGCAGGCGCAGAATTTTATTGAGAAGGTACTCTGAGGTGGAAATTCTAGTCTTTGCCCTTGTCCTTGCCCTTGTTTATGTGGTTTAGTTGCGGAAAGGTGAAGGGTTCATGAATGTGTATAGTGAGGCCTGGTACTGGGTATAAGAGCCATTGAAATAAAACATTCGGTACTCGTAGATTATAAAATCATTTCGGTTGTTAGATTAAGAAAGGCAGTAGACCCCACCGACAAAATTCATCGTCATTCCACTCGTAAATCCTCCGACTCCATGCTTCCTAGTCAATGATGTAGCTATAATAACAGAAGGGTAAGCTTCATGAATATTCATCTGAACAGTAATTGAAATACTGACCATTTAAGTTTATCATTATTCCAAATGATATTCGAGAGATCATTACTCAGATTAAAAAAACCATACTTCTCATATTCCCTTAGAGTCACATTAGCCGATACACCCTCATTTAAAAGATAACATATAAAATACTCACTGATATGATGCCTTAAACGCCTTCCGAATCTCTCCTTGCTCTTTAGGACTCAAGCGACGAAGATACTTCCTAGAAAGAGAGATCCCTTCGATTTTCTCCATAACAATATAATCCAAGAACCCATCAGGCACCCAACTATCAGAGACCTGATTCTCATGCTTCGAGATAATATACTTCGGGGTGCATGAACACCCAGCAGATGTCAATGCCTCTAGCGCCTTGATTTCCAGGTCGGTTCGACCACAAATTTTCTTTTCTGGTGTTTGGGAGCACATCGGGTAGAGTGGTTTATCATCGAAACCATTGAGTATTCTATGATATGTCAGATAATTGTCTCTTTAATGTTTATAAGCAGGATAAAAGTAGTTAGTCGTACTGAATTCTAACTTTCATAATAGCCTGCTTTGAGTCCTCGATTGCTTCGCAGATGAAAATAGCGGTTGATTCCGAATAGAAACCAGAAGAGACATATTCGTCCTGTATAAAGCGATGTTCACGCTCTTGAAGCTTCTGGATTATCTTCCACGAGCTGGAGGGGTTTTCGAAATGAACTATCTGTCCTATCCACTTGGGAACGAACCAGTATGAGTCGTGGCGCAAAGTCATGGTAGACAGGTTGGGAGAGCCAGAGATCAGAAAGAGTAGATAGATGTTCGACATATGGTCAAGAGAAACTTCCAGCTTTTTAAGTATATGGCCAACTAAACCACTACGCAAGGAGTAGGCATAGGAGGAAATTATTTCCCGCATTCCCAACCTTACATTTCTACGGAGGTTAGAGACCAATCGGGTGCTACGTTTTTCTAGGCTTCCATAACCAAGTAGGTAAGTCTTGGGACTTCTGCCTAAGACTCGAACTGTGAAATCTGCTCTAGAAGATCATTCTAAGGGCCATTATTTGGACATAATCCCTTGTATGAAGTGAGTGGAAGAAGTGGTGAAGCTCTGGTCTTAACGGAAGGTTGCGATGTTAACTCATATCTTAGTCAGCAGGGCCGTCGGAACGGAAGAACAATTCCGCGGACCCGTCAGCTGGCCGATAGCCGCAGTAAGTGACCATCGACAAGCTCCGCCAACTCGCCGCATCGGAGTGCGATCAAAACCACTGTACGCCCTCGATTTGCTCAATTCCTTTACTCAACTCACCTGACAAGCTCACCCACCCTGATACTCAACCAGAAGAGTCCTAGCCAGCATTCAAGGAAATGTCGACCACGACAACAACGACGATGCAAAGCTCTCGCCCGTACGTCCGCCCTGACGCCCAGCATGGGTTCGAGCTTCCTGAACTTGATTTCTGTTTATCTGAATGGCCTCCGTTTACTGATTTGTTCCTCACACAGACCCGTCCTTCCCCGAGACTTTTCCGCCCAGCAACCGCAGACGATCCGTCTCTACCCCCTCTCCAACTACACATTCGGGACCAAGGAAACGCAACCCGAGGAGGACCCGTCCGTGCTTGCACGTCTAAAGCGTCTCGAAGAGCACTACGACCAGTATGGCATGCGACGCACCTGCGAGGGCGTTCTCGTCTGTCACGAACACAACCACCCGCACGTCTTGATGCTGCAGATTGCCAACGCGTTCTTCAAGCTGTACGTCACCATCACCCCATCAACCCATCTCACTCTGGCGGACCAGAGCCGGTAAGCAAACAGAAGAACCAAATTAACAGACATACCCCACAGACCAGGCGATTACCTGCAATACGACGACGACGAAGTAGACGGATTCAAGAAGCGACTGAACGAGCGCCTTGCGCCCGTCGGATCGCAATTCTCGGGCGAGGGCGTCAACGAGGACTGGGAGATCGGCGATACCCTGGCGCAATGGTGGCGGCCGAACTTCGAGACTTTCATGTACCCGTTCCTGCCGGGGCACGTTACCCGGCCCAAGGAGTGCAAGAAGTTGTATTTCATTCAGCTGCCTAAGAAGAGTAAGCTCCTCCCTCCTTCCCTCCTCACCATGCGCCGATGATTGCGGTGACGTGAAGCGCCGTGAATGTGATTCTGACAACGATGTGCAACAGAGGTCCTCTCCGTCCCTAAGAACATGAAGCTTCTCGCCGTGCCGCTCTTCGAACTGTACGACAACACCGCCCGATACGGTCCTCAGCTCTCCGCCATCCCGCATCTCCTGTCCCGATACAACTTCGAATTCGTGGACGAGAACGATAACGTGGTTGCGGCCACCCCGGGCACGCCTTTCCAGAACCCCGGCACCAAGGTCCTTGCCGGAGATGACGGCGACGGACAGGACGAGGGAATGGCAGATTACAACGCGGAGGGGACCGAGAACGGCGGAGCGAACGCGCAGTGAGGCCAAGTCCTCATTTTCCTACAGACTCAATCGTAGTGGTGAAGGGAAGAAAGAGAACCAGCTGCACAGGCAGATCGGGTTCTCCAGGGAGTAAGGGGCAGACGGTGAGCGAGGGTTGCAAGTGTGGAGCGCTTCCCCTATTACAGTTCGCAATTCGCAAATATCTCGGTGGGTTCTTGGCTTTCTAAAAGACACATGATGCGATTATTCCACATAAGGCTGGCGTTTCAAGGAGCGAGAACAAGTGTTTTTTTTCCCCCCAGATAATCACCCTCAATTTATTTCTTTAGTAGAAATTGAAACACACTAGGCCTACTGAGTAGATTACTTCCTCCCGAGGTACCGGGCATGATGGGGTACCTAAGTTCCTATTCATAGTCAGTCATACTCCGCCGCAACAAGGCTGAGACCGCCCGTCAGACCTTAGGTCAGGTACAGATACAGGCACAGGTGCAGACAGGTACAGGCAACCCCAGTCCGCTACTGCTTACCTCAGATAATCATCCTGTTAGGTAACCAACTATGAAACGTTGCAGAAGCAATCAAACCATGACGGCAACGAAAAACCGAGGGAAGCGCAGGAAGGCTAGCTCAAAGCTTAGATAACAGCGATCAGGTAATACGAAGTAATTATCAATATAATAACTAACGCTAGTTCGAGTTCATCGTCGAATCTGTCTGCCTAAGCATCATCAAAACGGCACAGAGATTGAGAAGGAATGAGCGTTCGCTCCCGTTGGTGGAGACATGAACGCATGGCCAGCAGAATCCAGTATAGGGCAGCTTGACCGCACCTCCGGAAGAAGCAAAGAAAGCAGTCGATCAATGTCAGGTAGGATCGGATCAGAGCATCAACCATCCGAGGGATCCGAGATCGTGACGGGCAGACGGACAGACGGACAGGCACATGCAAAAAGGAAGCCCTAAGAGGACCGAGACAGGGAAACAGGACTGCGAAGCTACGCTGCAGCCCTCACCATCAAACTGCGGAGTACATGCCTACTAGGCTATTAGTAGGCATATGTATACGCAGCATCTGCCGGCGTATGTACTCCATATGGCGCTCCGCACGGAATAATACTCCTCCCATCGAGGGATTAATATAATAAACGTTGAACAATCAAGGCCGGAGCGCCTACTAAGCCGTGCTAAACGTTGACCGATTCTTCCACGCCGGACGGCGATCTCCACCTGGACCCCGGGGAATGGAGAATTGTCGGGGTATTAATTAATTTTTGCCTGAGTAAATGAATAACGGCTGCAGAGTGCCTAGCTTGCATATTCTTCAATTCTTCAATTCTTCAGATCTAGCGCGACTAGTATACTGTAGTCGGTACCACTGCCATGTCGGTGTATATTGACAGCCATGAATGAACGCCATCAGCCGTCACCAGTCCTGTCAGCAACCAAATAATAATCACGACCAGAATAACTGGGAGTCCGGTCCTCGAGCGCATCCAAAAAAACAAGGGAAATCCTTCCGACAGGCACGCCCTCCGTCCAACCAGCTCGTCGCAGCCTGTAGACTAAGAACTGCTAAACCCCTTGGCAGCGCGAGATCATCGTGAAGAGAACCACCACTCACATGCACCGGGATGATCCTTGGAGGGGAAGTGTTGTCTCTCTATGTGTTTGATTTGTTCAATGCGCTTTTTTGCTTTTTTTGTTTTTGGCGTCTTGACTCTCCGAACGACAGTCCGATTTCGATCTATCTTCGGTCCTGCGCCGTCTATGCGCCCCCCCTCCTCCATTCCTGCGCCCCCATTCGCTCGTATCCCTTGCAAACGCCAAACAAAGGGGAGAATGTCACCCATCGGAGCTCCGGTTCCTCTGGCACCTGCATGGCGTGAAGGTCTGAAAGAGGACCGGGCCAAGGAGACGAAAGGGCCTTGTGGAAATGGGCATTACCACGGAGTACGGGTACGGTGGACGGAGTCCCGACTACGGAGTGGGCTGTGAGCATTTTTCAGGCTGGCTTTGCCCGAGACCTGACCATCCCAGTCTCCGCCAGTACGAGGTCTTACCCTTTTTTCCCCTTTCCGCTCGTTCCTTCTCACGCGTTTGGTCTTATTAATCTGATGGAAGAACAATAATATTAGAAGGAAATTAATTTTTGCTCCCTGAACCAATGTCTAGCTTCTTTCCTACCCCGCTCGTATCCGGGTCAAGTAAACTAGGTGGATGTTACTAGGGGAAAGGGCTGAGAAGGAATGAGAGACACGGTCAGTTGATGGGGCCTGCTAGAATGCATGGTCCAGGGAGGTATGTGTATATAAAGGGGGGGATGCCAGGACGAAGTTCTGTAGAGCACGCAGTCAGTCAGTCAGCCTTCCCAGTCAGCTAATCTGTCGGAGTTGGATTTTATCTTCGACTAAAGGGAGTTCTACTATCTTGTCTTATCTTGTCTATATTCTTCTCCTTGCTTGCTGCTGCCCTTCGGTTGGTAGTGGCTATTTTTATTCTTATTCTTAATTTTTTGGTCCTAGTATAAGGAAAGATAAAGCAAGATGGTGTTCGCTTCTCTTGGACGGGTCCTGGCGATCACGGCCTTGATAGGGTTGGGTGCTGCTGCTCCGGCGAAGTTGACTTCGAGAGGTATGTTCTGTACGGCATGTATACATGCGAGTCCTGGCCTGTCTATCTGCTACCTACCTTATGTCTACTGCTCTATGTTCTATCATGCTCTTTGACTATTTCCATGTTGATACCACATGTCATACATGACCTCTTCCCATTATCCTACATGAACATGTTTAGCCCTAACTCCCTATAACAACAACTAACGAAACCAGATGTCTCCGCCGACGTCCTGCAACAGTTGAATCTGTTCGCGGAATACTCAGCCGCTTCATACTGCACGTCGAACATCGACTCCCCCGGCGACAAGCTAACCTGCTCGGCGGGCAACTGTCCCTCCGTCGAGAAGGCTGAGACGGAGACATTGAATGAATTTTCTGGGTACGTCTCCCACACCACTCACACCCCTCTCAAAAAACCCACTAACGCAGCCCAGCTCCGACGAATTCGGCGACGTAACCGGTTTTTTCGCCGTCGACTCGACTAATAAGCTCCTGGTCCTGGCCTTCCGCGGCTCCCGCAGCATCGAAAACTGGATCGCGAACCTGGACTTCGGTCTCGACAAGGTCGAGGGCCTTTGCTCCGGCTGCCAGGCGCACGGCGGCTTCTACAAGGCCTGGCAGTCCGTAGCCGACGACATCACGGCCAGCGTCAAGTCCGCCACCGCGGAGTACAAGGACTACAAGCTCGTGTTCACGGGACATAGCTTTGGGGCGGCGCTGGCGACGTTCGCGGCGACTGCGTTGCGAAACGACGGATATGAAATCGATCTGGTATGCTCTACCCCCTCTCTTCGCCTAAACCTGGACAGGCAAACGTCCGAACCTAAGACGATGAACATGCGCTAATAAGAGAAAAGTACTCCTACGGCTCCCCGCGCCTCGGCAACAAGGCCCTGGCTACATACATCACCGGCCAAGGCACCAACTACCGCGTCACGCACACGAACGACATCGTTCCGCGTGTCCCGCCCTCTCTCTTGGGCTTCACGCACTGGAGTCCCGAGTACTGGATCACCAGCGCCAACGGTGTCACTGTCACCGCTGCGGACATCAATGTGGTCGAGGGCGTGGGATCGAGGGACGGTAATGCGGGCGAAAAGAACCAGAGCGTTTTGGCGCATTCGTGGTATTTTAACTCGATTTTCAAGTGTCTATAGGTTTGGATTTTGAGGTTGGTTGATTAGTTAGTGTATAAATACGGGCCTATGTGCCGATTTTGGATTTTTTATACCGTCGGCAAGATGATATATTTTCTGGAATAAGAGATATTGTAATGCAAATACCTTTTCTTCTCGAATCACTCGTACTGGTTCGACTGATATTTATATTATTACGTAGAGAAAAATAATCAACCTTGCTGAAGACAGTAGATGTTTAAGAAGAACGAATTCAATCTAGCGAAATGGTCATCGAGATGGCTGTTGTTGACGATAATTTATGGATGCCTGAGGCGATACATATGCCAAGGATTCGCGTTTGCTTGACCCCCGCGGATAGCCAGACCTCTTCTTTCTTCTCAACTGTCAACATCATCATCTCACATCATTGGTTTGACTGATCTTGGTCTCCACCAAAGCCATCCGTGGATCGATGCATCAACAGTTTTTCAGGAACCGGAAGAGGAAACCGCCCTAGACTGCATGCACTACACAAACGCGAGAAGTTTGGCAGATGAAATCCTTGACGAATCAAACATCCAGAGAAGATCGCGAGATGTTTTCAACTTGTGAAATTGGTGACGCGAAACCTAATGGGGTGAATGAGTAAGGTCCCGGAAATGATAGGTCCTAGGAGGCAGCGGCATGATCAAAGGTGATGAAAACAAGGAATGAACTTGATGTCTGATGACCTTATTAACTAGGAGGAAAGAGGTTTCCATGATAGTGCATATATGAAATGACTAGGGGGGAGACAAAAAGTGCTGGACCGTTTACCCGGGCATACATTGGCTCAAACCGACGATTGTGAAGCCATAGTCTTCCGAAATAGGCAAGATCCTAGTGACAAAGGAGATGGACGGGAGAATGAATCCCCAGCGGATTATTAACATATCATAGGATATGACTTCCAAGAGCATGTCGGCCAGTAACAATGACAATGCATCGCATCGTTGGGGGAGTGATCATGTCCATTCACCCAACGGTTTGTCGCCGAGATATTCGTCCTACGCAGGTCGGAATTTTCACAAAGGGACGTTGATGGGACTCCTGCTTCCCTTGCCTATTTAATACCTCCTCTCGTGCATCCTTTGCCCTGAGAATATCCCACAACTTCCATCTCCTCTTTCTTGCCTTTCCATACTTCATCCACCTCCACCACCAGTTCGTTTCCACATACCCTCGTGTATCCATACCCAAACATCAGAAGCCTTCCCTTGACAGCCTTGAAAAAACAATGTCCAAGATGAGCTACCAAACCACTCAACTTCAACAGCGCAAACCGGTTGTAATCGGCCTCTATGGCGTCCCGGGCTCCGGAAAAACATATCTTCTTCAGAATCTCAGGAAAGAGCTTGACACAGACTCCTTTGCTTTTTACGAAGGCTCTCAAGTGATTGACAGAGTCGCCCCAGGAGGTCTTGATGCTTTCAAGCTCATGATCGACAGCCAGAAGGAATACTGGCGTAGGAAAGCCATCATCAAGATCCAGGATGAATGCATTCTGAACGGGAAGGCGGCCATCGTGACAGGTCACTATATGTTCTGGGAGGAAGATGATACCCTTGGAAAACCTGTCATCACTGTTGCTGATCTGAGTGTCTACACACATATCGTCTACCTTGATATTCCGGCAAACATTGTTCTTCAGCGTCGTTTGGAGGACCGCACACGAGATCGGTCCAGAGTGTCGGCATCGCATATGGAGCGCTGGCAACGTAGGGAGAAGATGGAGTTGGAAGCCTCTTGTCTCGAACATGGCATCCTGTTTGCACTGTGGACAAGCAGAACCGATTTGGCCGGTCTTATTCGTCACCTGATTAGCCACAACGAAAGTTACAACCTGCAGGTTGCGAAGGAGTTCTTGGACAATGCTCTTGTAAAGGTGACTGGCTCTGGGGACCTGGAAAAGGCACTGTTTCTGGACGCCGATCGAACTTTGACAGCTGAGGACACCGGCACTATTTGGTGGAAACAACACAATCCATTGATCGAACCCCTGAGTATGGATTGTCCACTGCGTCAATTGTTTGGGTCCAAATGGGGGTATTCCTATGCGGCTTTCTGGCAGGCCACTTTGATGTACGAAGGAGCGGCTAGCGATGAGTACTTCGAAAGGATTTGCCAAGATACGGCAAATGAGGTGAGGATGTATCCTCAGGTATTAGCGTTGCTGCATTTGGCTTCAACTCATACCCACATCCATGCATTTATTGTGACCTCTGGACTGCGTCTCGTCTGGGAGAAGATCATCGCTCGCGAAGGCCTGTCCAACTCCATCACAGTCATCGGAGGAGGCAGGATCGCTGATGGCTTTGTTGTGACACCTGAAGTCAAGGCCAGTCTGGTGGAAAGTCTGCAAAATAACTACAAGATGGAAGTTTGGGCCTTCGGCGACAGCCCTTTGGACATACCCATGTTGAAGAAAGCAGATCGCGCGATGGTAATTGTCGGTGATGCGACGACCAGAAGCCGCAGCATGGAAAACGAGCTGGGAAAGGCCATAAGAGATGACTTGTTATCCGCGCATCAAGTTCTGCTTCCCAGCTCTGTCCCACCGCGCCTAGATACTACCATCCTTCCGACCTTGGACCTGATGGAGCCCAAGTTCATCAACTCTCTTTTGAGTCATCGAAATCCCCCCAATGCCCTCAGTATCCTCGATGCAAGTCAGAAGGCGGCTTCGAAGGTTCTGCAGACACCAATGCGAGACGCATCGATTCTTGGCCCGGATCTTCGGAAAGCCCATCGCCGGTGCGGACGATATCTGGCAGCTGAATACCTCTGCGAATTGATCGGCGTAGAGACCTACGAGATGCGCCACGTGCAGGGCCACAAGATAAATGGTTTTCGACTCAAGGAGGAAAGGAAAACCTTGATTGTGGCTTTGATGCGCAGCGGAGAGCCAATGGCCTTCGGCGTCAACGATATTTTCCCGACAGCTTCATTCCTGCATGCCGACAAGGCGCAAGATCTCACAGCCGAGCGCCTCCAAAGAAGCTCGACAGTGATATTGGTCGACTCAGTAATCAACAGCGGCAAGTCAATTTTTGAGTTTGTGTGTCATATTCGCCGACTGGCCCCTGTCATTCCCATCGTCGTTGTTGCTGGGGTTGTACAGAAGCAGGCCATCGCAGGGGACAGTCCCATAGCGACTCTTGCGGTTCATGGAAAGCTCACGGTTGTGGCGTTGAGGGTGTCGGAGAACAAATACACTGGGAAGGGAGGAACTGATACTGGGAACTGTCTGTTCAATACAGTCCATTTAGACTAAGGGTTGTTGGCTTGGGAAGTTGAGGCTTACGGCTTTCCTCTTTCTTGGTGCTTTGTTTCATGCTTTTTTGGTTTATGTCATTTTTCTGGAAATTGTGTCTTTTGGAAAGGATAGGTAGACTGTCAATCAAATCGTGGAATTTCTTTTTGAAACCTTCTTTTCATACTTTCTCATCGCACGGACTGAGCCCTAATGTCGAGCAACTAAAAAGGTAACTTCAACCACCACTTCCATCCTAATGACGTCAAGAATCTCAAGAATCCCGCAACTGAGCAAAGAATCATTCAAATTCAAAACCAGATGAGGTGCTCTTGCGCATCTCATAAAAATATCACGTTACTTTGCTGACAAACCACGGAATTGTTTCCCTCACATCGCGTGATTTCCCCTCTCGTCGTCTTGATGGAACCTAGCGAGGTATTTATTCCCATGTCATCTCTTCTCCTTCATCTACCTACTCCCTGCCAACTTTCTTGAACAGAACCATCTACCCTACAACAAACAAATTGTTTGATCTCACAATGGCTCCCACGAAAGTCGCTCTCCCAGGTGTACGTACCCAATCCCTCCCCCATCCTCTACTAGTTTATCCCCGCATCTCCACCCGCACCTCTAACCAAAAACCCAGGGAACCGGAAACCTCGGCCCCGCCATCCTCAAAGCGCTCCTAGACGCCAACATCTCCGTGACCGTCCTCTCGCGCACATCCAACAAACCTATCGACCCGCGCGCCAAGCTCGTAGAAGTCGACTACAGCTCTCTCTCCTCCCTCCAATCCGCCCTCGAAGGGCACGACGCCGTGGTAAACGCCCTCGGCCAGGCCCCTCAAGACGTGAGCATCCGACTCATCGACGCCGCCGTCGCCGCAGGAGTGAAACACTACCTTCCCTCCGAGTTCGGCGTCGACACGCTCAACGAACACGTTCGCAAGCTCCCAGTCTTTGCAGGGAAAGTTGCAGTCCAAGAGCATTTGGAAAAGGTGGTCGAGAAGAACCCCTCATTCATCTATACATTGTTAGCGACAGGAGCGTTCCTGGACTTCGGACTCGAGAAGAACTTCATTCTGAATGTTGCCGGGCCCGTCGCGGACCTGTATGATGGCGGAGAAAGGAAGATCAGCACGACGACGCTAGCGGGAATTGGACAGGCCGTTGTGGGAACTCTGCAGAACCCAGAGGCGACGAAGAATAAGTTTGTGTATGTCAGTGAGGCAGACATATCGCAGACCGAGCTGCTGAAGATATCAGGCAAGGAGGTGGAGACGAGGGTGGTGAAGACGGAGGATCTCGAGAAGGAGGCGTACGAGGAGTTGAAGAAGCCGGAGCCCAGTCCGGGGGTGTTTGCGGTGAACTTCATCAAGGCGGCGTTGTTCGGGGAACGGTTTGGGAGCTGGTTTCAGCCGCCGAGACAGTCGAATGGGGTGGTTGGTGTGAAGTATCTCAGTGAGGAGGAGCTGAGGGAAGTGGTGGTGAAGAGCACTAGTGGATAGATTTGGATTCTTGATTGTCATGCAGTTTCGATCGATTGTCAGAGACTAGGGGAGAGCGTTCATCAAGGCTTATAGATGAATCTTTGAACGTTGGTTACTACTTTGAGATAATGAAATTTTCCTTCTACGCCTACTGCTGCATCAAACTACACTCATGGTTGTAGAAGATTGATTAGCCTGAGGTATCCTAGAAGGCACATTATTCTACGAAATAAAAATTGAAAAAATGTTTTGTATAAAAGAAACATTCTACGAAGTTCTTTAAATTGGTTTAGTTACATCCGCAAAGAAGAATCAGCAGAAATCCCCGCTTCATTTTTGATGCTAGTATTCTAGTCCGACATAGCTCTCCAAGTCGCGCCAGCGACCCCGCATTACACGCCCACTCAAAGGGGACCACCACTTGTTGTCTCATTTCCGTTCAAAAAGAACGCTTTTCCTATTAGGCAGCTTCGTATCTAATCGACTTCACCAACTAAACCCCCCCCCCCAAAAAAAAGCTTTTCTACATTTCTCTACACTGCCACACTAGAATACATCGGTTGGCAATACGGCACCATCCTATACCTACCCCGCATTACAAAAACCAGACCCCGCACGTTGAAACAGCATCCCAAGTGCGAAGATGTTCCACGAAGGCAGAACCCATCCCACGCTGGATCACATCGTCATCCTAGTGTCTCACAAGACTCTCTCGGGCTTATCCGACTCCCTCCACCATCTATTCACCGTAGCTCTAGGAGGAAACCACGCGGACGGACTTACGTCAAACAAGCTCGTCCTGCTAAAAGATGGAGTTTATATCGAATTCATCGCGTTTTTCGACTCTGTCGACCCCGAGCGACGCAAGCAACATCGATGGGGAAACTTGAAAGAAAATACAATTATCGACTGGGCTTTCACATTCCCTCCAAAGGGTGATTTCGACGCCATCAAGCAGCGAGTACTGAATCGCAACTCTGGTTTTCACTACCAGGAACCTGATGGCTGGGGGAGGAAGAGAAATGATGGAACGATGCTGGAGTGGAGGCTTAGCGCTCCAGTAGACTCCCTAGGCAACCCGGTCCCCGGGATAATACCATTCTGGTGCCTGGACAAGACCCCTCGGGAGCTGCGTGTTCCGTTTGAAGCGCAGCCTGAGTTGACGGATCATCCCTGCCGTGCGGTAAGGGTTTCTTCTCTATCGGTTACTGTTCCCCATGGGCAATCCTCCGATATAAAGAAGGTTTATGAAGCCATTTATGACTTGCAGTCTCGAAGCCAATGGCCTTATGAGGTTCCATCGGACAGGAGCGTTGGTACACACTGCATTTCCCTCTTGGAAGACGTGAAAATGGTGGTTACACTCACTCTTAGTGGGCCTGAGCGTGGACAGGTTGAAGTGCTGCCGGGGCTTGTATTTAACATTCAGTAGAGAGCAAGGGAAATGTATCGTCGACACATTAAGAGTGATACGACTCTAGGTGGTTATCTACTGAATAAAGTTTGAATGAGAAGATATCTGTCCTGAATCTCTCTTCATCTGGTCTGATAATCTCAGATTTAACGCGGATGGTGGCACCATGCCTGATGGCAAGAAAGTTGAGCCCGTGAGCCGTTTCCGGGGTGGACAAAGGTTTCCCCACGAATTTCATTTCTTTCTTGTTATAGTGAGTTGACATGTCATGCCGGCTAACTTCGTTTGTATGGAACTCGCGCAGGCTCAGATAGTGGGCGTTGTTGCTTTGCGCCATTTGAGAGAAAGTCTCGACTATAGAAAAATGCTGTTTTGAATTTATGGTTCTGTTGATCTTGCGGCGATAGAGTCAGTGTTTGTAGTCCTCACTTTACCGAGATTAAATTGCCAATAGCAGTTATGGAAAGCACATTACTATATAGCCTAGCCCTCTGTATTTCTAAGTTAACCGAGAAGTTGGTGTGGCATTGGATTAAGGCACTTATGATTATGGATGCAACAGACTGGCGTACATGATCTGGCTGTGAGATCATTATCCTAGCTTTATATAGCTGTCTTGAGAGAAGTCAACTTTGGGGGAACGCAACTATCAGCAAGTTAAATTGTTGAACATGACACAGAAAACTATGACATATTTTGATTCATTCTAGAAAGGTCCGGAAGAGCCCATTGTTGCATCCATTCGCATTCCAGGACTTCCCTGGCAGCTGACCTCTCCTCAGGTCTGAATACAAGCATATCTCTCATCATAGTGAGAAATGCAGACCTTTCGGCATCTCCCATCGGTTGCATATTGAATTCTTGTCTTGGCCCCTGAACTGACTCGTTAAACCGTTGCTCCCAGGGCCTTGAACTCGTAACATTCTGTCTTGTTCCATCCTCATTGAACCACTTTGAACGCGAATCCCATCTCTGCCACCACTGCGGTGGAAGTTTGCCGAGAGTCTCAACATTTTCTTTTATGACCCAGTCGGCAGACGGATTAAAGCCTTCGAAAAGCGGACGCTGGCCGATCAATGTCCAGATGGTGCACGCAAGCGTCCAGATATCAGCAGAGAAAGAAAGTGTCCCTTGGGGGTTCGAAGTGAACCTCTGGGGGAACTAACATATACGGGGTATTGGAGTGATGGCGCATTGTAGTGGCTGGCATAAAAGACTCCCCATAGTCAGTGATGACTATCTGAGCCCCAGATAGAAGAACACATTCGCTTACTTTTCCTAGCCAGATGGGCACAACAGCATTTGCGGGGACACCGTCGGGGAGTGGACGCTGATCTAGACAGATAACTGGCTCCTGATGAGGTCGTCCATATTTTTCGTAAAGTTGCTCTCGTGAGAGCGCATCAACGCTCTCGGGAAGAAGAATCAAAATATTACCAGGATGAAGATCTGACGAGATCTTAGCTTAATTCACACTATGAATTGAGACAAGGGAAACAGATATGCGTACTGACCACCATGGACAATACCTTGCGAATGGAGATATGCCACTGCCAAGACTAGTTGAGCAGTGAAAGCTCTGGCCTCAGGCAATTGAAACAGTCGAAAAGATGAAGCATCTTTGGCCTCATCCAGGCTCATCATTCCAACCGGTGTGACAAAACATTGATGTTCACCATTAGGTCCGGGAATAATAAAATCATCTAATATAGGTGGAATGATTGCGCTGCCGGGATGAGACTTGGTCTTCAATTCTGCAATATTGAGTCGATGGAGGATATTTCTTTCTTGCGAATTAGCTGGATCACTATCTGCGATCGTGATTTTGATGGCGACATATTTTTCAGTTTTCTGATCTCTTGCCATCCATATGGTTGAGTATGCGCCAAAGCCAAGCTTATGCACGATGCAGTACCGGGAATTTAACCACTCTCCTATATTTATCGGATGGTATCCTCCAGGACGGTATCGCTCAAGTTTCTCAACGTCCTCAATAGGTATGTACTTAATGTTGTTAATTGCAGGTGAAGTGCCATCCCGAACCACGGATTTCATTTTACTGGCAAAAGCTGAGAATGATCTGGAATGTAGTAAAATGTGGTGTGTGGTGCGAATCGGAAAAAAAGCGGATTTTGTAAGATAAGAACGAGTTTGCAGCAACATGGGAGAATTGAAGCATGAAAACATACTTGTCTGCATAGTATAAACTCGGCGTGAAAGGACAGCCTCCGGGATTAACTGCACTCCTTAATACTGCACACTCCTTGGCAAAGTGGAACACCGCTTTTCACTCTTAGTAACTAGTAACCTTTTCTCTTTTCGGTCAAGCTTTTGCTGCATACATTTGCTCTAGATGTGATATAGAAATGGGGGGAAGTGAGAGAAATGAGAGAAAGGAGGGAAAGGAAAGACGGAAGGAAGGGCAAGAAGGGAACTGAGGGAAATAGGTAAGGAAGAGCTTGGCACTTGTCAAGTCGATAGTGACTAATAACCACATGACTTGTCTCTAGATCTGGCTTATATCACTATTTTTCAATCCATAGGATCACAATCAACCATTCTAGAATTTGTTTCCTCCTGAATTTCTTGAGGAACGCCTCGTTGGCAGCCTCAGCGATCACATACTAATAAACTTTCCCAGTTGTAGTTCGTGGGCCCTTCAAGGCGCCCAGTAACATTGGATTTAGTTCCTTCGACCGAACAAATATTTAGAAATATCACAGCTTCACGCATGAGTAGAAGCGGACATAAGGATAAATGGTAATGGCATTTACCCAATGAAAGAAATGCACAGAACGTTGCAATGCTCTCGCGATACGCACCTTAAGAGGGCCCAATGATACAGTGGAATGGAGCAACGGTCTAGAAACAGAACTATTGTTGATTGTGACCTCTCCTGCCCACGGTATAGACTTTTGCCGAGGCAACTGCATATTGAGAGTCAACCGCCGCTACGGAAACACCTGCTAAAACCGTCACTCCTCGGGGATTTTGTCTTGGCTTCAGTCGTAATAGATCCCATAAGTAGACTTGGACAGACTGGAGATGCCGGCCCGGAGACTTTCTGTTTATCTGAATAATCATCATGGTTTTGTGTTACCTAACAGCTGTTTAAAGTTGGTCAACAAAGTTGTTAACTCTTACCCAAATGAGAAGACACCAAGAGGACGTCATCGCTGCCCATAGTTATAAATGTAGGGTGAAAGATAGTTTATATCTTCATCTAGTCTTCTACGATATATCTCATCATTGTATTGGCTTAACACCATCGACAACTCATGATGTCAGGGGTTCCTGAATTTCCTTCGATTTTTATTACTGGTATAACAGGTGTGTAAATCACCCATGAATATTGATCTCCGGAACACTAACGCGTGATCCAGGCTACATTGGAGGCGATGTCTGGCATGCCATTAGCGAGAAGTATCCATCATGTGCGGCAAGAGCATCCTGCCTCGTCCGAACGAAGGAGAAAGGAGTACAAGTGCTGTCACGCTACCCATCGATTCGCCTCGTTTACGGAGATCTCGACAACAGGGAGCTCATCGAAGCCGAAGCATCCAAGGCAGATATCATATTGCATCTAGCAAGCATAGAGCACGTTGATTCTTCGAGAGCGATAAGCCGTGCTCTTCAGACTCGTGAGAAACGCCATCAGCCAACCTACTGGATTGCGATCTCTGGAACAGATAATATTGCCTGGGAGGACTGTAAGAACAAAACGTACGGAGAGCCACCTAGTGACCAGATATACGATGACTGGGAAGGTCTCTCTGCCGTGGCATCCCTTCCTGAAAGTGCACCGCATCGGGATGTGGAGATTATCCAGCTGGAGAGTGGAGGGGACTTTGCCAAAACTGCAATCGTATCTGCCCCTTGCATATATGGAATTGGACGCGGTAGCATCAATCAACGAAGCATCCAGATTCCAGATCTAGCTCGGTATACCCTGCAAAATGGCTATGGACTTCAGCTAGGCCGGGGTCTCTCCATATGGCCAAATGTTCATATTGAGGACCTCAGTGACGTATTTCTCCGCATCTTTGAAGAAGCTATTCACAATGGTAGCCGAGCATCATGGAATCGTGAGGGATATTATTTCGCGGAGAATGGAGAGCACGTGTGGAGAGAAGTTGCATCTCTTCTGTCCCGTGAAGCCCAGAAAAGTGGACTCATCCAATCAGCTGAAGTGAGAAGCTTTGAGGCAGATGAAGCAGACAAGCATATTGATTTTGCGTCTCTGTTTTATGGCGCTATGTCACGCTGCAGGGCGATAAGAGCTCGAAGGCTACTTGAGTGGGAGCCGCGGCATGCGGGCATCGAAGAGGCAGTCTTGGAGGCGTTGGAAATCGAGGCCAGAAGGCTCGAGATTTGAGAAAACACCGTTGATGTATGGGAAGCCTGTTGATTAAACTTTTAGTTGGGGATCTCTACTTTTGTTAACCAACTCTCTATTCGGGCTTGCTATAATCAGCCATATTATTAGGATGAGCAAATAGCAAAGTATATATCAGGCAAGAAATACATCAACTTGAAGGTTTTTTTTAGGAATCATACGATCCAACTGTAATTGGCTATGTTATATAGACAAACCGAGATTGTGCCAATGTCAGTCTTATATCTTTAGCCGGATATTTTCCCAAGTCACTCTCGATCTTATAGATTTCGACTACTATTGAAATGAACCTCAAAATCTCCGACAATCCAACTTGAGTCACAAGGTACTCGATTAATCACTACCACCCTCAACCAGATCATGATCAACCTCGCATACCTTCCCATCTTTCATCCAAACAACAGCATCGACTCCGGATCTTAGATCTTTCTGCATACTACCATCTCGATAGGAAATCATAATTACCGTATAGCCTTCATCAATAATCTCCTCCTTCACCAACTCATGCATCCTGGCTTCTGTTTCCGGGTCTAACGAGGAACTGACCTCATCAAGAATCACAATAGGCTTTGGCCCTCTGTCATCATAGTCGTTGCTGCTGTCATCACTATATGCAGGTAGTCACGACCTTCGTCTTCGAACGGCGTATCATAGTCAATGGACCTCAACCGAGAGACCGCCCCCAAGGATGTCTCCAGCCTTATCCAATTTCCCACCAAGCGAAGCAATGTTGTATTAGCAGCGATGATCATGTTCAATGCAACACCCATTTCAGCTCCAGTGGCTGTGTCCCGAAAGACCACTGCGAACATAATCAATAGTAATGCGATTCCAGTTACCAGCAAGTCAAAAACGACATTGAGCCATCGCTGCAAGCACAGAAGGAGATAGAGTGGGCTCTGAGAGTAATCCAACTTGTTGATGTTCTCAAGTTCAAATCCACCTTCCCACCCATAGGCGCGGATTGTGGCAATACCGTCAACCTGTTATAATTCAGCTTACTCCGAATGGTATTTGTGGGACGGGGGTGTTGCCTACAGCTTGATAAAATTGGTATAGAGCTTGGATCTTGATTCCAGATCAATAAAGCGCAACTGCCGAGATGTTCGAAGATATACTCGCTGTATGAAATAAACACAAACGGCGCATAATGGCAGCGTCACGAACATCAATGGTTGAGCAGCTAACAGAATGATTGTTTGCATGAATAGTTTGAATATCTCTGTTTCAAAGTCAGTATCCTTGAGATTGGTTTTACATCGAGATCTGGTCCTGCACGTACGAACGCTGAGATTTGAGAAGGCGGAGGGCAACTGCTTATCGACGAGCTAGATATCTTAGCCAAATCTTCATGTCATCGCTGCTTAGCATATATCTCCTGGCGCAAGAGTAGTTCATCAGACCTGTTCAATATATTACCAACCTCGAAGGTGGAGAAGTATGAAAGAGGGGCACTGTTTGCTGTTAGTAAATATCCACGTCTCCCAGCCTGCCTTAGAGGTTGAACACACTTCATTATTATTTCCAGGAGTCGCGCATGCAGGGTAGAGCCTGATCTTGGGGCAATTACGATATGCGTTGACCTTGAACCCGGTTAGATGAATCAGGGATAGCTGAATCCCATATGAAAAGGGATTAACCTACCACATTGTCCCATTTGTGGCTATCCACGCCATGAGAGACAATAGAAAATAACCTAGGATATATGGCCATGACTTTTTTTGTGTCTGACTCAGTCCACCATTTCAGGACATACTGCGAAAACGTAAGGCAAAAGGCGTAGATTGCAGTGCAACTAGCCATGAGCACCATACTTGACTCCAACACAACCGAAATAATAATCTATGTCATGCTTCTCAGCAGGTTTTCTTTTAATTATATATAGCAGGTTGCGTTTACTGTAGAGCGCGAGGTCCCCTGTCCTTCTGGATGCATCGGCGGCGGCGTCATCCATGCGCCTTCCATCTGCCAGCGCAGGTGAAATGCTTTTAGACTCACCGCTCTCTGTTGTCTTTTGAGAGAGATTGATCTTTGAGATTTGAGATTTTGCTAGGACGATCTCATCCTGGGGGTCCAAGACCTGCACTCGTCCATCCTCAAGTAGAATAACCTTTGATCAGGCAGTATATGAGGGTCTATAATTATAAGGGTTTATGGGTTATGGGGTAGCTAAGGTAAGACTTAATAGCCTCTTCAAGTACCAGTATCTTCATGCTTTTGACTCGTCCAAGTACCGCAGCAATCCTTGTGAGGCGACGTTGAGTTGCAGCGCTCCAGTCCTTCTGTCTACCTTGCAGGTGCTTCGCAACATATGCGCTCATTCGAGAACAACCTTCGCTAGATTAGTTTCTTCTCTGGGTAGTCGAGGTGACTGTAGACTATACCGAAAATGATAAGCAGCGGCAGCAAGGCAAACCATGCAATGTGTCTTGCGAGGAGGGTTGTTCCGATCAGTACTTCCCCAAACTGAGCCCAGGTTTCATGGACCATCTCGGCAGAGGTATTAACACTATCAACGTTGGCGCTCATCAAAGTTAGCGCTCGCCCCTTATGGATAGGGGAGCTCTCGGCTCTTAATGATCGTGCATGAATCAGACCAACAAGAGCTCCCCGTGTTACCAACTGCAGCCGGTTGAGCCTGTGTTCATATATTGAAGTTGAAATCTACACTAAGTTAGCAATCTGCTGCCGAATTATCGACCAGGAAACATACCGCAAGACCGCAATATATAACGGCAGTGACTATGACGAGCCAATATCTAAAATAAATGCTTTCGTCGTGCGAATCCCTATGGTTAATAAAATTGATAGTAATACCAATGAGTATGGGTTGCGAGTAGCGAAAGGCTATCAAGAAGAGGCGTGGCAGTATCGGCATGAGAAGCTCTCTCTGAAATGCCTTGATAAGGACAAGCGGCAAGGTGAACTTGGTTTCGGGCTTTGCTAGATACGATTTGAGCGATGCTGCACGGCAATATCTTCGGATCCAAGCAACTTCAAACTTACATCTCTCTCGCCAGGCACCAATTATTCTTTTGCGTAACACCGTAGAAGATATCGCTTGGTCGATTCCAGGTAAAGCATTCGGGGTCAGGACATCGCGATAGCCTTGTTTGAGCACAGGGTTAATCCACCAAAAGAAGACACGGCCAAGAATTCCTGTCCGTTTCTCAGGCGTAAGAGACCTATATCCAGGCTTTAAAATTCTGGTCTTGCTCTGTGATTCCATCATTAGAAGGCACAACTCCAATGCCGCTCGTGCAGCCAGAAACGAACGCTCCAATGGTTCCAGGTCTCCCGATAGCAGCGTCCAAGCAATGAAGTCCTTGGTGAGAGAAAGACCAAGGTAGAGAATCACTAGAGTAGACGGCCGCACGGTTCTACGATGTCCGAACCACAACAATATGCAAAGATCAAAAGCAGCCAGAATCAATGCGATAGCTGGAAGCTGATCTCGGTAGCCATCTGAGAGTGCTGTGTATGTAAGAGAAGCCAGTAGAACAATAAAGAACGCTACGGCCAGTACCTAGACTTCAGATGAGCGATGACTCTAGATTCAGAGACAAATTAATAGCATAACGAACAGTCTTGATAAGATGCTCAAAGTCAGGAAGGACTTTGATGGCTGCACCGCGTAGACTCCATATTTCAAAGGGCGCATAAAGCACGAAGATCAACGAAAGCAGACATGCGTATAGATCTAGCCAGGGATATTCAGCTAACATGACTCCCAGTCTTATGCGAAGTCAACTCGGCGTGACAATGGAACTCCACTGTCGTTGGAATTCTCAGGTCGAGAGAAGATAAACTAGAGGATGTTTTGGAACTCGACGTAGGCTGAGCGCGTACGCGCTAATCAATCAATCCATGTCTCACCAAGATGGCGCAATATTCCTTACCTGCAGTCTCGACTTTTTCAAAATTCTTCTAAGACATTGCTATCATCGATCCGGTTCGCGCCTGTAGGACGCTTGGAAATTTCTTTAACCCGTTCGAAAGGTGCGAGAATGGCAGCTTCCCACCACAGAGACAATGAGGACTTTTTGTTCTGTCCACCAAGTTCAATCCTAGCGGCGAAGGCTTTGAATTAGAAAATAAAAAATAAACGAGAAATCCGCACCAGTAATGGAAAATCCATCCCAGATCCATGTCAATGGCTAGACATGGTCACTGAGGACAAGAACCGGTCAACGGCAACACTCTTGTGCGTACTGATCCCTTAACCCATCTGGGGAGTAAGATGCCTGTGCTAAAGGATGCCTCGTATTCTTATCGAGAAGGGGCCAATACCCCAGGAACCCTAAAAACGCCTTAATGGGGACTAAGAGAGCCAACTGCGCCAAGGGCGAAAGAACGTGCTGGGCGTGGAATCATGGCGGGGATAGCGAAGAATTTAGATACTTCTGTACTCCGTACTCTGTACTCTGTACCACAAGATTCACAATTCTCTCCCCGCAATTTGCCCTGCATTCGAGCATGAGGAAAGAGGGAGAAATTATTAACCAGAGACGTAACTACTCCCACAGCGGAGAGGCTAAGATGGGGGCGGCTCCACCCGGGCGGACCCTTTTTTCCTGCCAGCTGTCTTATGTCGGATCGCATGTTTGCATTTGCATTTTTGCCCGTTCATTCTTTCTCCTCATACTTTGCACCTTGGTTGCAGCCTCTTCCTGCAGGCTCACGCGAGTCCCTCCCGACGACATCCGGATCAGCGCCGTCCGCTCTGTCACACCCTGCGCTCTCTTCTCCCTAGCCAGCCTCCGCACTTTCCAGCTGTCCCAAGCAGCCGCCATGATCTCGGTCTGGTTGATCTGACACAATACCTATTGAATTGACTCAAAGACGCGCATACTGTGACATCGATTCGTCGACCCACGCTCTCTACCCAACGGTTCTTCAACCACCACCATGCTGTTCTTCGGTGGCGGAGTCCAAGGCCCGCGCCGTCGCAGCCGCGAAAAAGCCATCCTCATTACTATCTTTATAGTTTACGCCCTATACTTTCTCTTTTTCGCGAACGGGTCGGGTCGCAAACAGGCAGCGGCAGTTCACGAAGGGGTTGTGTCGCAAGGAGGACCGAATCGCGACTCTCGCTCGGGGCAGGCTACCCCGGTGCGACAGCCGCAAAACATCGAGAGAGATCTGGTCGTGGCGAGCATGAAGAAGGATGACACTTCGTGGCTGTTCGAGTTCTTCCCCGAATGGCACAAGAGTATCTACATGGTGGATGACCCGAATGCGGAGTTGACGGTAAAACTCAACAAGGGGAGGGAATCGATGGTGTATTTGACGTTCGTCTGCCTTGACTTTGCGCGGTTTATGTTTCAACGCTAACTTATGTTTTGCCACCTCTAGATATATCATCGATAACTACGACCACCTGCCCGAATCGATGCTCTTCATTCATTCCCTGCGATACCAATGGCACAACGACGACCCCTACTATGACGGCGTCCCCATGCTGCGCAACTTCCAGCTGCCCTACCTCCAGAAACAAGGATACGTCAACCTCCGCTGTGCCTGGGTCCTGGGATGTCCGGTGGAAATTCATCCGCTCACCGATACGCATCGCGAGAACGTGCACGCCGGCGAATACTACAAGAACGGATTCATGGAGCTGTTCCCGGGCGTCGACGTCCCCGACGAAGTGGGCGTATCGTGCTGCGCGCAGTTCGGCGTGACGAAATGGAAGATCCTCGAGCGACCGAAGAGCGATTATGAGCGGTTCAGGAAATGGCTGTCGGACACGACGTTGCCGGATGATCTGAGCGGGCGGATCATGGAGTATTCGTGGCACAGTATGTTCTTTCTCTGTCTAAAGCAAATGGGACGGATGCTAACTATGAGTAGTGATCTTTGGGAAAGACCCGATCTACTGTCCCTCCGCCGAAGAATGCTACTGCAAGGTGTTTGGACTGTGCGATCTCACTTGCACCGAGGGCGACTGTGCTGGTCGCTACGCTCTCCCTCCGTTTTCCAGTCTCCCGCAGGGTTGGCCGTATATCGGCTGGAAGGGTCAGAAACAGGACCCAAGCAAGGGATTGCCGGAAACTTGAATTCGCCGACTCGCGACATAGACCAGCAAGTTGTTCGTCGAACAACGCGAGCAATGCCTCGATTCGGCGAGCTGTGGAGGGATTTTTACAGTGCCGCCCTTCGATGTCTGCGATATCAATCGCATCGAGTTATCTCTCAGTCGCCGAGATTCACCAAAGGCCTCGTATGACGCTCGATCTTAGGCTCGAAATTGATCGATGCCATAAAAGCACCACCTGTCTCCAACGAAATCAAATACCCAACTTTCGACGTCTGCTCTAATGCAGAGTCAGTAACGAACTGGATGAATCCAGGAAACAAGAATGAACCCAGACATCTTTAACTACTTTATACCCATCTCTACTCTAATGACACGATGTTTGTTATCACTACACCGTTACACACAAAAGTTCATGTACAGGATTGCATTTGGTATTGGTTTTAATAAACTATGCATCGCATTATTTAGCATATTCTGAAATATACTAGCATATGTCAGGTAGATGCTGCACTTAACATCAGGATCTCTTAAGTCGAGCAATAACGGGCTCATGCAAGTGGCTGCAGAAGTGGATCGGCCGAGGTCCGCCTGTCAAGCTCTCCCCGCATCTCCGATTCTTCTCTCCCTTTCCTTCAACCTCAACTCTCCTCGCCACTCACCTCATCCATCATTCATTCACCAAAGACGAGCATATTTCTTGCATCAGATCTCATTTTATAGACCTCCAGCGCCGGCGCTGACTCATTTTCTCTTCCTCTCCCCACCCCAACAGAGCAGAACCCCCTATCTCAACATCATCTACACAGGGTCTCAAAATGCTCATAATCGGCCTCACCGGCTCGATCGCGACCGGAAAGTCCACCGTGTCCTCCTTCCTCTCCTCACCACCGTACTCGATCCCCATCATCGACACGGACCTCCTCGCCCGCCAAGTCGTCGAACCCGGGACACCTGGCTACAAAGCGATCGTTGACTACTTCGGACCCAACACGCCGGATCTCCTCCTCCCACCGAAACCCGACCAGCCGGGCGATTCGCACGGCCAACCATTGAACCGACCAGCCCTGGGGCGTCGCGTATTCGGGACGACGGAGGAACGCAAACGCGACCGACTAGTGCTGAACAAGATCGTGCACCCGGCTGTACGATGGGAAGTGTATAAGGCGCTGGTGTATTACTGTCTACGGGGCCACTGGGCGGTGGTGCTGGATGTACCGCTGCTGTTCGAGAGCGGGATGGATTTGCTCTGCGGGACGGTGGTGGTGGTTGGGGTGCGGGATGCGGCGGTGCAGATGGCGCGGTTGCGGGCTCGCGATCCGCATCTGTCGGTCGAGGAGGCGCAGGGTCGAGTGAACAGCCAGGGCGATGTGAGGGGGAAGGTGGAGAAGGCGGAGTTTCGAGGGACGGAGACGGCCAGGGGCGTGATTGTGTGGAATGATGGCGACAAGAGCGATCTGGAACGCGAGGTGCAGAAGGCGATGGGTACTATTCAGGCGACGAGTCCGCGGTGGTGGGCCTGGGTGCTGCTGTTCGCGCCGCCGGTGGGGGTGGGCGTTGCGGCGTGGAATCTGGCGCTGAATTTCATGCAGCAGAAGAGGTGGGATCGGAAAGCGAAGGAGGAGAAGGCGAAGTTGTAGCCACTGTTTCGAATGGCCGATAGAGGGTGTCATCTCATCTCATCTACAATCTACACTACACTTACACCTACACCATTTAGGTATTGTACACCGGAGTACTACCACTGCAGTATTACACTACAGATCTGATAAACGATAATGCAACCAGACATTCAATCACGCAATGCAATGACCATGACCAAGACCATGACTCGCGCCAGACTTCTCCCAAATAAAACCCACAATAGCAAAGTCTAGAAGAACCTTTCCTCCAGACCAAAACCTCAAACATCGCCCTCGTCACTCCTACATAAGTAGACTACGTAACCTCCCAGAATATCACCACGTGCCCGAGACCCTCCCTACCAATTATAGTTTCCACCTTGCATATCATCCCCTGTCCAGTACGTATAGAAAGACATCTCACAGCCAATCCATCTGACAAGTAGGAAGTTAATTTACTTATTTCACTACTTAACTTCTTTGTCCTGCCGTGTCTCTGGAGCAACAGCGCAGCCAGGACCTTTTACTTTCGCTTTTGTTTGTCTACTTAACTTTTTACCATTCTCTGGTACACTCTCTTAGCCTTTCATCTAAGTTTCCCCGCTGGCCGGCCGGTTTTTCATTCCTACTCTACATTCATTCATACATACATGTACACTACGACGACCATGTCCTGTCCATGCTTCCACGAACGCAACGCGGTGATCGAGAGACCCCAGAATCCACGAATAGTGCGACAAGTCTCGCGAAGAACGAACGAACGGGCCGCGTTGCCTGGGGGTCTACGACGAGTGAGCGGTAGTACAAGGGCGAGTGGAAGAACGAGTATGAGTTTGAGTTTGAATCTCTCAGAGAAAGGTGAGTCCGATCAGTCCGGCTTGACCTTCATTATCGAATGGATTGAATAGAGGATAAAATGAAGAGAAAGAGAAAGAAAGGGTATATATTTACAGTTCAACCGAAGAAAAGCTAACCCAGAACCGACGCGCAGATATCGAGCTTAAGGTAATCAATCGCTGCGTCTGCCACAAAGCGGAAGATGGTCAGGAGGAAATTAACGTAGAGCAGACAACATCACCGACAGCGTCCATCCCCACGCATGCACATGCACACGGAAGAAGCACCGCACTCCCGCCCAAAGGCATCCTGAAGCACCCCACGAAACGATTCCCATTTGAGGATCCAGTCGCCGTGCAGCGCGCCACGGGTCTTCGGTTCGAGGTGGGCAAGCTGTCGTCGGAGTTCACACTGGACGATCCGGATATGGTCGAGGTGCATGCGTACAAGCAGAACAGGGGAGGAAAGCAACCCCGGGATTCGATGGTGGTGGTGGATGAGGCTAGAACGCGAGCAAGGAAGAGATTCCTGTCAGAGAGAGGGTCCCGGGAGGCTCTGCTGGGCGAGGAAAGGATTTGATATGGTTCTTCTTGTTGTTTGGTAGGAGTTTTGCTTTCATCAGATTGCATTGCGTTGCAACTGCAGGGATTGGCGCTAGAAATGACTTCAATGATAAACGAATGTCGTTGTGCGGGACACAATAACTGTTATGTCGAGTATGTCCATGGTGAAGGAGGGTCCACCGTAGATATCCTTTATTTATGCTTTCTCTTCTTCTTCGACTGCGACGGCGACCGACTGCGCTGTTGACCTCCTGCACCCGAGATACTAGTGATCTTGGACAACTTGACCGGTTTTCGGTCCGCTTTCGCTTTTTCTCTCTTGATCATCGCGTCAGTGTCCTCGTCGTCCTCGTCGACCGTAGCCGTTTCACCAGTTTCGGTCTAGTCATCATTAGTTCACCTTCCATTTCACTACAGATAGAAGGGGGGGACAAACCACAACTCTCTTCTTCCGCTTAAAATTCCCATATGACTGTCTCCCCCCATACATCATATCATCGTCATCCGCATCCAACGAATTCGCCGTCACGACTCTCGGCTGCGGCGTATACTGCGCAGCCCCATCGAAATCTAGCACCCATTCGGACTCGCCTGCCTCGGCAGCCTGTCGATTCACGGCCTCTCTGCGCTTTTCCTCTTCGGCCGCCAGAGCCGCCGAGATGGCTTCCAGATCTGATTGGGGGGTCGCGGGGCTCTCGTTCTGGGCTTGACCATTGCGGTGTCGTTTCGGGCTGGGCGTGGAGTCGGCAGGGGGTTGAGAGGGTTCATTGGCAGCAGCGGAGGCGGCGGCGCGTTGCATGAACTAGATTCATTATTAGCTCAGATTGATCTCATTGAGGGTTGGTGTAATGAGGTGAAAGCGACATACCTTCATTGTCAGCAGACGCGACGACATGGATTTCTCCGGCTTAGAGCCAGAGGAGGATGAGCCGGCCATGCTTGCAGTCAGCTCTGTATCAGATGATCAGTTAAGAAAGATGATTCAAGACTACCCCAGCTGTCGTTACAATATGATGAAAGAGATGAAGTGACCTACCTACCAAAGCGCTTCGATAAAAAAAAAGGCGGAACGGAATGAGAAAACCGGCAGAATGGCAGCCGCTCGCAAAACACCCGCCGGAACCCACCCGATTGGCCTCATAAGCGCCCCCTCCAAACTAACCAACCAAACCTCACCCTTTGTAAGATCCAAGTTCGACTTCCCTTTCTCTCCCGCCTACTCTCCGCCAGCCCTCAACCCTCACCCCCCTCAATTCCTCCCCCACCGACGAAATGTTCGCCTGCGCTCGCAGCCGCATCGCGGCCTCGTCCGCCTGGACCGCTCCCCGCGTGGTCCGCGCCAGCTACAGCACGACGGTGCCGCGTCTCAACGAGAACAGAATGCAAGCCAACGACCCGACTCCGCCGACGAAAGTGCCCAACGTGTCGGCCACCAATGCCACGCCCACAGACGCCATGGGGAACTGGGATCTGCCCTTGAAGGAGGAACCCGAGGTCGGCGAGCGCAACCGGCAGCTGCAGGCGCCTAACCGGGCGCGGACCTGGGCGGCGAGCCAGCAGCCGAAGGAGAAGGCTATGGTTGGACCGCGATTCGAGCAGACGATAATGGAGTTGCAGGTGTGTATTTCCTTGTGGGTGGAGGAGCTGTCAGGAGTAAATTGGCCGGGAGAATCATCAATGGCTTGACTGGATGGAATAAATCGATGGAACTTAACTAATTAAATATTTCTTCTGTAGCCCCAACCCATGGCCGCTATTGAACTCATCCACCAGCAACCCGTCCGCTGGACGAAGAAGAAGGTCGTCAGCTGTGACGGCGGCGGCGGTCCTCTCGGCCACCCCAAGATCTTTATCAACACCGACAAGCCCGAGATTGCTACCTGCGGATACTGCGGACTTCCCTTCGTGAGTCCTCCCTTCCAACCGATCTGCACACAGCCAGACGCAAACAATGCATCAATGGCATATTAACAACGATATTACAGGCCCAGGAGCAGCACCGCGCATACCTCGAATCTCTCCCCGCCACCAGCTACCCCCTCAAGCCGACCGGCAGCGCGGCGGAAGTGAACGAGACCCAGCGCGTCACCGACGGTGGACTGGAGCAGCGGTAAAAGGCATATTGGCGTTGATGATGACTTGACTTTTTGTTTCTGTTTTGTTGCACTATGTGCTTGTACAGTTGTACCGTAGTGAATTGATTCTTTGCCCAGATTACACTGGAGTTGTTGGCATGGCCGTAGTCGTAGTTTATTTGCCTACGATATCTTAGCCATATTCCCTACCACCCATCCATTCATCCATCCATCCACATGTACATGCATAGACTGTATATGCAAGAAACAAAAAAATTAACCCACACCACCATCATAATCTATCATTCAATCATATCATCGAAAACACCATGCCTAACCCATTACCTAGACCTAGACCAAGGTATTTATAAATTAGGATATCCCTTCACCTCCCCACCAGAAACACCACGACCAGGACCACCACAATCAGTATCAAGTCAAGCCTTCTCGCCCTGAATCGTAGCCACCACCTTTCGGCTGTGCCGACTCGTCCGGAACTCCAAGTACCAAATACCCTGCCAGGTACCGGTGTTCAAACGTCCATTCGTAATAGGGATGGTGACTGACGCGCCGACGAGCGCGGATTTGATATGGGCCTGTACATCAGATATTAGTTGGCAACAGATCCTCGGACATTCTCCATCCGCCAAAGCCCATCCAACAAATCCAGCCATCAGGACCATCCAACGCAAATCCTGACCCCCAGGTCTCTCGCCCAGCGACCAGGTAAAAAAAAAAAAAACTCACAGGCATATCATCCTCCCCCTCCGCCGAATGCCGATAAAGATTCCCCTTCTTATCATACGGCGCAATGCGATCCAACGCATCACTCATATCCGCGCGCACATCATCATCCCAGTTCTCGTTCAGCGAGAGACCGCAGCTAGTATGTTGGATGAAGAGATGCAGCATGCCGACTTTGTAGTTTCGGAGCTCGGGCAGCTCGGAGACGACGTGGTCCGTGATGAGGTAGCTTCCGCGCGAGCGGGACGGGAGGGTGAATGACTTTTGGAACCAGGACATTCTGCCTTTTTTTTGTTTCGTTCTTTGGAGTTTGGATGGTTGAGGGTGGGGGGAGGAGGGGGTCTGGGTGGGAGATTAGTTGGTTGATGTTTGACTTGGTGGGTGGTTATGGGTTGTGGTGGGGTGGATTGATTGATTGATTGATGTTTTTTCAGGGTGTGTCAATAAATGGGTGATGGGAGAGGATTAATGATGTTGGATACACCGTAGAGAAGTAAAACTAGAATATGGATAGGGTACATACCTGAAGAGAATAATGTGTGGTTGTAACTGCAACCAGAGTGACAGAAAGCGGATTTAAAGTGGGAGATTCTTCGGTGGGGAAACGCGGTCGACGTCATTGCATTTGCAGAGCATCTCACTGGTTTATCACGGAGTAGTTGATCGTATTGCTCTACTCGACATACTAATTTAATATACTATCTTTAGTATTAACATACTTATTTCTTCTACTTAACTGAAGCATCTTCCTATAACAACTTACACCTCCCTCTCGAACTCTCCAATTAAATACTCCGTAAGTTCATAACTACTCCAAGCTCCAACTTAGTAATTGACTACTTCATGTGAAGAAAAATAAACATTCAAGTCCATTGCGTTCAATACCACACAACTCATAAGCAATACATCGCTAGAAAAGAACATAATAGGATAGGATACAATCTCCCTCCTCCTACCTAGACCATAGTAAGCATCACCAGTAAACCCTCCACAAAGCCCACCCCCCAAACCCCAAAAACGCCATCCAATGCCCCAACGCCTTCTTCACCCTGAGCTCCTCTTCCCCGTACTTCCACACAACAACCCCATCGCCCAGGCCCGCGAGCGCACAAATAGCCGCGATGGTCGTCACCGCCACGTCCTGGCCCTGATACTGCAGCGCGATCAAAGCCAGACCGTAACTGGTCTCGCGGATGCCTTTGAGGTGGATCAGGGGGCTGACGCAGGCGTCGTTCGCGCCGGTAGGCTGAGTGGGCTTAGAAGGTTTGACTTTGCGGGCATTAGCGCCGACGGGCCCCGATTCAAACGGTAGCCCGAAACGCGGATATTCGTTGGATGGGCGCAGGATGCTGTTGAGGCCCAGGGCGAGGCAGAGAGCACCGAGGAGATAGCTGGGGATGGGGGAGAAGGCGGCGGTGGTGGTGCTCATTTTTGGAGCGTTTCAGGTTTGAGAAAGGGTGGGTGGGGATGTTGGTATGTACGGGGTACCAAGTACCGGTTAGGAGGATGTTTGAGGTATTTGTAAATGAGATCAGATTCAGGAGAGGAAGATTGGTGGATGAAACAAGCGGAGAATTGCAGTTGGAGATGAGGTGGTTGGAAGGGGAAGGAAGGAAAGCGGGGACAGACAAAGAACCGCGACTATAAATATCACCTATAAGATATCGGATATAAATACACTACAGAGAATAGTACAGATTAAAGGCCGACGGAACGATGCATCCGTCTCCGCGAACCCTGTTCAGCGTTAAGCGTCCAGTTGATCGCTGTGGCCGTCCAGTCCCGTCCATTTGGCTTTCCCATCCGGCACATCGACGGCCCGTGCGCTGTAGAAGATATGACAGCTGCTCTCGTTAGTCCTACTCCTAACTAGATTGACCACTTGACACAACAGAAAAAGGATGCTCACTCGATCTCAAACGCTTTCCGCCACGCCTCCACCTCCTGATCCGACGACCCATGCTCGATCGTCGTCGGAAACACCATGCACATATTCCGCCCCTCGTCCATGAGCGGCGTGCAACAGTACGAACAGCTCAGCTTCGTCGGCGTCTGATACTCTCTCGTGCGATCGCCCGCAGAGTAAAAGGCCAGCCCATCCGCGCCGTTGACGAACGCGATATCCGTTTTATGAAAGATGGCGGCCCATTGGAAGGGCGCGCCTGTAGGGACTCATTAGCCCAGAGATAAACCCCCCCACATTGAGCGCGCTTACCGTGGAGCACTTGGCAGTTGCGACAGTGACAGTACTTCGACTTCAACGGTCGACCCCGATTCACCTTGTACCGCACCTGTCCGCACTGGCATTTCCCGTGCCACTGGACGCGGCCGAATTCCTCGGCAGATCGCAGGTGGTAAGGAGCGCGGTGCTTCCAGTAGGCCTCTTCGGTGGCAGCCATGGGGTTGGGGAGGGGTTGGCCCCCTGCTTCGCCGATCTCCGCCATTGTACGGAGTAGTAGCCGGCTAGGAGATGGGAGTTTGAGGATGGGGTTTAATAATAGGCGCAAGTTTAGGGTCACTCCCGAGTGGCTGTTTCACGGCACTGGCTTTATAGTTCCTACGGCATATAGGACGATCATCACCGATGTCATGGTCGACAGGGGAATCAGGATCCAGCAGGGAGATGATGTCATGGCGATGTCAGAGTAGACAATATAAGAGATATCACCGGAAGGATGGCAGGTCAATGGGATAGATCAGATACTATCACCCCAAAGAGACTACTCTTTGTCTATGACCTGTGGGAGGCATTCATAGTTGACCAAGAAAGGAAATGACGGAGTATTTATAACACTAGACGGGATGACATAAGCCCTGAGTCAGCCAGCTGAAACGCGGATTACATTGTTTGCACTCTTGGCGAATTGGCCTGAAATTGACCCGAAACTGGCTGGAAATTGGCTTGTCAAAACTCAGGACTGGACTTTCCAGTAAACCAGTAAACCAAGAGACAAGACTCAAATACCAATGCAGTCGCCCGCAGAGACCCCCTGATAGGAGGATAAAAACAGATCACTTCAGCTGGGCAGGCAGAGTCCTTTCACCCTCCCAGACACACCGGCGTTTACCTCGTGCTGCTCCCCCGTAGCCGGGATTGCGATTGGCGTTGGAGAAGGAGGTCGCTTCTATAATTATAATTGCAGTTCCCATCTTTCTCCGTAATTTCCGTTGGATGATCTTCGCTTACTTCTTAGTCCTGACGCTTCCCCGTCGTTCGTCTCGTTCGTATTACTATTTCTTTTGGCCCCGACACTCCCCCTCCTGCCACTCTCCACTCTCTCTTCCCTCTCTTTTTCCTTCCCCTGCTCTAGTTCCAACAGTTCAACAGTCCAACAGTCCAACAGTCCAACAGTCCAACAGCATCAGATCTGCCCATCCGCTCGTTGTCATCATGGGCTTCCTCAGCCGCCTGCGCAAACGTTCCAAAAGTCTCGGCCGTGCGGGGAAAAGCAACGCGGTCAGCTACGACCATCTCCGCACTCACGATCCCCTTCCTCGCGTGCCGGTCAACATCACCGGCGGCGATCATACCAAGAAATTACCTCCTCAGGTGCTCGCTCGCATCCTGATCCACGTCTGCCCCCATTCCAATGACGGCTCCTACGAATCCTCCGAAGAATCCATGACCGAGGATGGCTGCATGCTCTGCGACATGCGCGATCTGGCCCACTGCGCCCTGGTGTGCAAGCGCTGGTTCCTGGAGGCGCGGAATTTGCTGTACGTCTTTTCGCATACCTACAGTTTCTATTGGAGGCTCAAATAAACTAATTCCGTCCAGATACGCCCACGTCCGCATCGATCCCGTCCACTACTGCGAACTCGAGTTGGAATTAGCCGCCAAGCGAAAACGTCGCTCGTTCTTCGATCGCAACGCCGACCCCATCGACGCCCCTCAGGTCCGCCTAAACCTCTTCATGCAGTCCGTCCGACAGTCCCAGGGCCTGGGGAATCTGGTTCTCTCCCTGCGCATGCCGTATATGACCCGCGAGGCCACCAAGGCCGAGATCGCCCGCACCATCTCTGTGCTACCCAATCTGCGCTACGTGGACTTACCCGCCGGCATCTTCAGCGACGACCCCTCCTGCCTCGCCCTGAAGCAGGAGCTGATGGCCCGCTGCCCGGACATCCGGCGCATGGCCTACCGCCACGGGGCCGAGGGCAGCTTCGCGCAGCTGTCCGGCACGCACCTGTGGGGGAACCTGGAAATCCTGGAACTGCAGCGACTGCACCTCGAGCCGAACATTCTGCGATTCGGACTCGGCACGTTCCCGCGCCTGCGGGATCTGACGTTGGACGATCTGTCTTGGCTGGACGACGCCTGCTTCGCGCCCTCGCAGGCCCTGCCGCCCTTCCCGGCCGTCGAGCGACTGACCATCCGCGACTGTCCCGGCGTGACGGCCGACGGCATCGTCGCGTACCTCTCCATCCCCGCCCACCGCAAGGCTTTGCGGTACCTGACGCTGTCGAACACGGGGGTGGCGCCGTCGACGCTGCACCAGATCCTCAGCGCGGCGCCGCAGCTGCTGGTGCTGTCCGTCATCCAGAACGTGTCGCGGTCATTCCCGGCCGAGCAGATCCCGCCGATGGCGTCGCGCACGCTGGACACGATGCACTACGAGGTCACCTCGGAGGCGGGCCAGTACGGCATGCCGCCGGTGGCGACCTCGTACTACACCTACCTCGTCTCGAGTCTCGTGTCCAACTCGCTGCCGGCGCTCCGCGAGCTCTACGTGCGCGACTCCAACTTCCCCGAGACGCTGTTGCTGGCGCCTCCGCCTCGACTGTTCGGCGGCGGCGACGCGGGCCCGCAGCTGGGCGCTGGCGGCGTGCTCACCCAACCGCTGAACGTGTACAGTAAGGGGCTGGACGAGTTGGAGTGGAACTTCACGCCGTACGAGCCGCCGGCGACGCGAGGACGACGGGACAGCACGACGCGACCGGTCAGTCTGCACGACGCGCAGCTGAGTCGGACGTGGGGCGGAGATGCGCGACGCAGCGTGCTGGTCGGGAACGGGTTCGGGGGGTTCCTGGCGGTGCCAGCGGACGAGGAGCGGCCGAAGAGCAGCGGCGGATGGACCAAGCGGGACAGTCGGCAGGATTTATGGCGGTAGTTTTGTGTATGTCTATGTGTTTGTGTATATGGAGTGAGGGGTTGATTGTTAATTGTGAGCGGGTTAATGGCATAATGATATACCCTGCAGCTGTTAGATCTGTATAGGTTGATTGATTCGGTTGCATCCACTATCCTACTATCCCATCCTCCTCCTAAGGTACCTCACAGTGAACACCCTTCCTCTTAACAGGAACACAGACAGACCTGTTAACACCTCCCCTGCACCACAAACCCCACAACATCATGCGCCCCAACCTCCCTACTAATCCCCCCCTTCACACACCCCAGATTCTCTCCCGACCAAATATCGACCACCTCAAATCCAGTCTCCTCACCCCCATCCTGAATCTTAGATGCTAACTCAGGAACCTCTCCCCATCTAAACCCCCTCAACGCCACCTGTTCCTCACTGTTCAGCATGAGCACCAACGTCCCGCCTAAATTCGACGACTCTCCAGACCAATACTCTGCCGGATGAAGCGGATCAAACGTCCAGTCTGGATTATACCCCCATTTGAACGGGTACGCGGGGCGACCGATCAACGGGTCTTGGTTGAAATCGATGAGGTATTTGTTTTTGAGGATGGAGATGTGAGTGGCGGGGATTTTGTCGAGCTATTTCATTTCATTGCAAGTATTAGTTACCTCATATCATGACATGATAGGTATAGTACCTAAAGAAAAGGAAGGGGAGAAGGAAGAAGGAAGAAGAAGAAGAAGAAGACGTACCGCGGTCCCAATAATCAACGGCGCTTTCATAACAGCCCACAGCGCGAAATGGGCTCGATTCTCCGCGAGAGTCAGATTCCCATTGCCGACTTCGAGCATGTCCGGGTCCGGGAATCCCCAGAAATCGGCGTCGTTGAGAAGGAAGGTGTTTTGGTTTGCAAGGTCGGCGATGCGTGTCCAAGTTGCTATACATCCCCATATCAGTATATGAATGTAGGTCCATGCACGGTGGAAGGGTCTTTATCCCTATCCCAGAGGGGCAGGTATCAAAGAAGGTATCGAGAAATGTATCATGGTAAGTAGATAGGACCAGGGAACAAACGCGTAATATCCCCACTAATCCTCCACGAATTCCCCGTCTCGTTCCCCCAGACCCCTACGTCCGCTTGACCCCAGACGCACAGCGAGTAATCGATAGTGCGGTTGACAGCTAGCAGAGCGTTGCGCATCATGCGGTACCGGAGGGCCGTGTTCGACTGGCGCCAGTCGTATTCGCTCGGGGCGGGTGCCGTGAGGTCCGGACAGGTGCCGTTGGGGAAGTGGTTGCCGTTTGTCTCGTCAGGGACGCAGTGCGTGTAGGTATCGGTCCAGTTGGAGGGGACACCGCAGTTGTCGTATTTGAGGTCTAGTTCATCATCATTAGTGTGCTGTCAATGGTTGCATAGGATATAGGGGATTGTAGAGTAGGACTAGGATGGATGAGTACAGTCAATTCCCCATTCCGCAAAGGTCTGTGCATCGATGCGTTCATATCCTAGACTGGCGGGATATCCAGCACAGGTTTGCGTTCCGGCGCCTGGATCATTTCTCGTTAGCTTTCGTGCACAGGTATGGGCATCCTCTATCCATAACATAAAATATAAAAGCAGAAAACATACTACTATAAATCCCCACCTTCAACCCCAAATGATGAATCTCCTTAGCCACACCGGCAATACCGTCGGGAAACTTCACAGGATCAGGAATCATGCGTTTCGTGACGGGATCACGTTGGTCTTTGATGGACCAGCAGTCGTCGACTATTCATTATCAAGATATCATGTCAGTTATTCATGATTGCGCCATGCTCTGACCCTGACCCTGACCCAGGGATACCCAGTAAGAAAACAAGAAAGGAGAGGGTGAATACTGTTGATATACTGATATCCCAAATCCTTCAATCCCAAGTCCACGACCTGCCGCGCCGCAGTCAAGACTTTGGTGGCGTTGATGTCGCAGGCGAAGGCGTTCCAGGAGTTCCAGCCTAGGGCGGGCAGGCGGCCCTTATCCAGCCGTTAGTCGTTGGTTTACTGTTATGGCTGGGTGGTTATATCTCAGATCTTGGGGATTGAGTGTACATTCATTGATAATGTGTAAGAAAGGAGGGAAGAGAGAGGAAAGCAAGGTTAAGGGAGGGCGTACCACACCACCAGGTCTCACCAGTCCCTCGACCACCGTGACAGCAGCCAGGAGAGGGAGCAGTCCAGTCGAGAGTGTCCGAAAGAATGAATGGGTCATTGTGTCGGCCTTTTTTCTTCCCATATGGGATTCGTGGACACAAAATTTCAAGAGTTAATGACCTTCGTCAGTCAATCCAATCCAATTCAATTCAGTTCAGCTTTTAGAAAGAAAATCGACCACCAATCCCAAAGGAAGAAAGGAAATGAAATAGAACAGACAAGGTATCATAAACCCAACCCCTTAACTGAGCAAACAATGGGAAGAAAGAGACTTTTATATCCATACCTTTCCCCTCCCCCCTCACTAGTCATCGGTGTCCACGGAATGCAAAGCAACGCAACACACGGCGTGGCGTGCAGATCGGAGGAATCTAATCTAAACCGGGTAGACTAGATTAACTCTAGATAAAAACAGGTAGATGAAAGCAAACAAGTAACCATACACTGTAATGATCAATCCCAAGAAAATACAAACTGGCTAGGTAAATACGTGCTCGTACATACTGTCCATGTACAACGCTCTTTCTCCATTACCTCGTAAGAAGATAGTATAGCATATGAGGGAGGACAAAAAGCAGTGTAAGTGTAACGTGCAAAATCGGCAGCCGATGCAGTACAGTAACTAACTGCCAACACCAACCCTAGGTAACCACCAGTAGTAGCCAGTCGGTAGCCAACAATCCCCGGACCAAAGGCAGTTAATTTCTGGGTTACAAAAGAGAGAGAGAGATTAATCTAGTGCAGGTATGGGAGCACTCCAAACAACACGGCGCATCACCGCTCATCGTCCGTGTCGAAAGAGGAATAGGGCGGAAACACGAGCAGGGAATAAGCATAGATTAGTTGACTGTAGTTACCCGGTGCAGCGATGTACGGAGTAAAGCCATTATTATTCTCATTGTTCCGTTACTCTAGACGGATCTAACCCTGCATATGAGTTCTCGTACGACTTGCAATTCCTACACCCTCAATAGGTATAATTCAATGCCCCGTGACCTAGGCTTGGCTGGGCTGTCCGCAGAATCCTCTCGGGACAGTAGGATTCTAACGACTAGTGTTTTGCATCTAGGAAACCAAACACATATTCCGAAATGAAGCAGATCAAAGAATCAATTTATTACCCATTCCGATTATCATCTACAATCGCGTTCGGACTTAGAGCTATCTTGAGTCCACTGCATTGAAGCTAGGGGACCATAGAAGCAAAGGACACTGCTTTTGCTATAAGGATATCTTATAAGGATATTCGAAATCGCCCTGCCGTATCCACCAGGCTTGCTATGCACCCTATTAAAATCCTCAGTCTAACACGCTCTAGGCCCAGTAGTCATGCCGATCAATACGTCTGTATGTAGCAATCAGAGGACTGTCTTAGGTAAATCTACTATATGGCTCGACTGTGTCCTGGTTTTATACTAGTCTGCTCTCAGGTATCTCAGAGTACAGTGCCGTAGCCAGTCGGAGTGTCATAGAGGAAGAAGACAACACAGGGTTATTGTTCCGAGAATTCAGGGGTGTTTTCGGTCCAAGGAGTCATGAAAGATAAGACACATTTCGAAGTAAATGTTCATCTTCCCAGGTGGTCAAGTTCTCACATTGCTAGGACAGAGCAGGACTGGAGGAAAAGATTCTCGCATGGCTTCCACTCGAGAGTAGATGAAGCCATGACTAAATAGACATGGCTCGATGGGAAGCATATCAAACCACGCCATGTAGTTATGTTGCCAGTGGATCAGATGCTGTCTCTGCGTGATTAAGCACTTTGAATAAGTAATTATATAACTTAGATTATATGACATATAACATTAAGTTGAATTACGATAGTATTAGTTCCATCATGCAGGGTTATCACTTATAGTTAGACGTATTTGGGAGCTTCTCCCAACTTCTTTGGCATCTAACACTTCCAAGCTCGAAGACCTCCGGGATTGAATATTTGTGTTCGCCGTCGGAGGTTTTCGACCACCCCGGCCCACCTTCCCGGACATCGACCTGAAAGGACGCGCTTCTCTGGGCACATTGTGACGACTTGTAGTGAAAACGAGGTCGATAGTCTCCAACTGACACTGGAGATTTGATAGAAGGGATTTGTGGGTTTGATGCTGCCGCATGCAGTCCTTGTTGTAAATGTTAAAAAGCTCTAATGCGGTATTTCTGAAGGGCCTTGGGTGGGACCTCAGCTTTGCAGGTAAAACAGAGAGAGAGCGATATCATCAACTGCGTCAGGCTTCAGGTGGTGAGAATAACCCGGAGCGAGCTAAAGAGATGTAGTACCTGTTATTGACTGGCAAAGAAAAGATTGAGCTCCGGCTGCATTAGTTGAATACGTGGTCGAAATGCGGAAACGAGATCTCGCGTTCTTACATTGGACGGTTTGGTTAGGTGGCAAAGTGGAGCCGATAGGTTAAGTGAGAGCTTCAGATTAGGCTTGGCCTGAGTTAAAAGTATTTTGGCTTCAGAGTCCAGTAGTTGTGATTTTCTCTCGCAACTGGCAGGTTTTCCGTAATAAGCTGACTGCATCATGATATACTCTTCTTCTCGTCCTTCCTCGCCAGCTGCTTAAATTCTATCATATATATATCGTCGGTAAGTACATCCTACGTTCTGAAAAGAAGTGAGATCTTGCTTATTTGTATTCCTGATATTTTACAATCAGCTGCATTGTTTACTGACATTACTCCTCGGTTGATACTATCTATTGCCCCCGTAATAGACGTTATAGACTACGGGGAGACAGCGGGTTTGCGGGAGCCACTATAGCAATACTGCTTTTCTGGTGCTGATAGATATAAAGAACTCACGCGGACTTCTTGGAGTAGTACTCTGTACACGGTACAGAAGATAGTCTAGGCAGATAGTGTTATTTTTGCCTATTTTCAATGCTCGTTATGGGGGAGACGCAGTTGCAGGATTACTTCTTGTCACGCATATTGGCAGTTTCATGTGAAAAGCCGCACCGTTGACGTGTCAAAATGGACTAAGTAGTCTCTATGGGATCACTGAAGACGGAGTAAAGTTCGCGAGAAAAAAGAATAGAATGTAAGCTATGCCTATCACGATATTACGCACACAGGGGCTATGAACTTTTGTCAGGTTGGTAATGCGACAGTAAAAGCATCTTGTATGTAAGAATGAGAACATTCGGCTAGTTGCACATTCTAGTGAGTGTGTATGCTTGAACATTTCTGACATCGCGGTAGAGGGAAAACAGTTCCTATTGCTATACCTAGACTGCGCCAAAAACCGCAATTGGGGGCAAACCCAAAACCCAAACCGCACTCAACCCACAAACCATTGCGGTTCCCCAATGGGGCCCCAACAAAAACCACTTTTACATAAAACCATGGCCTTGGCATACATAAATCTGCTGATGCATACTAATATGTTAACTAGTTAACTAGTTAGTTAGTTAACTAATTCAGCGCTTTAGTCATTTCCTGCCAAGCCCTCCGATCTGCCACAGAGGGTAAGAACACTTATCACGTGTGTCGGTGCAGTCTAGCTCATTTTACTATTGACAAAGTTAGCTGTTTATTCTGCTGCCTAAATAGCCAGAGACGGAGCATATTTCAGGCCGGCCGTTTCAGGAGGCGGAGTAATAACCCTCCCTGTGTAGAGGGAGAGAGTGGCACGAAGTGGGGTAGTCAGCTAGGTCGCGCTAGTCGCCGGGTGTCGCCGGGCGACTCGGGTGCCATCTAAAGCGTACCCAGGGAGCTCGCGCGACGGCGCCGGCGATCGCCAGGGTCGCCGGTTTATGGCATCCACCCGCCTATTGACTGCACACAAGCTACCGACCGTCCGGTTAGAAGTTTGGTGGGTGACCACCAGCGAATCTCTGCTGAGCAACTGTATGTTCGTGCTCACCACCATTCTTGCCTGGTGAAGTCGATCTGCCCCGGACATACACCATCAGGTGAGGAAGCGATACATCGTTCATGGTGTACCTAAAGGATCGATCAGGTTGAGAGGATCCTGCACGAAGGACATGATGAAAAGCTCGAATAGTCAGCCACAGGGGCGATGTTTAGTTGGAGCATGGCGCAGCGTGCTGGAATATCATTTTATGTTTGACCAATTTGCATGGGAACCGGCCATTGTAGGCGTCAAAAAAATTTACCATGGCTGGGCAAAACGCAAGAACGCTCTTCTCTCTCGCAGGAACTCATGGTACCCCAAGATACTCAATCTAGGCCCTAAGAGCAGTTGCGACATTCCACGGAACCGTTATGTGGCTCCCAGGAACATGCTCGCTCCTGCAATCCATTTATCGGGTTCTGGAGAGCCAGTGACACGTCCCGATTACTAGTCGCCGTTGCTTGCTCATGTTATATAAGTTCCCCAAACTTGCGTACCACAACATGAACAGGCTCGGCATTTACCGCGTGCAAAAGCGACGACTGAGATCACCATTCACTCGTAGGGTATGTTCGCACGTTTACCCAGCTCACAACGAAGGTGGCTGCCGCCATCCTGGCCCAAACGACTCTTACATTAGCTAACCTATGCCGCAGGACAGATCCTCCATCTTACTCTCTTATTAACCTCCCGTGTGTCCCCTGGAGCGCACTCGCAATGGATGGAGTGTGGGATCCGATCCGGGTATGTGCGATAAGTAACCCAGCAGATACGACCACTTGTTTTGGGAAGATCCGGGCCAACGCGAACTGCAAAAATTGCATCTCAAAGCAATCTCGCTCCGAAGCTGCTCACCTTGTGCAGCTTTTGGCGCAGCGGCCACCGGATGGCAACCTCCTCCAGACACTGGGCAAGATTGCCAGACTTCTACTATGCAAAAGGAATTATTAACACTAGAAGGACGAACAAGTACAGCCGCTAGCTAAACACTGGTATGATAGCGCTCGCAGTTCAGGTGTCGGGCGTCAACGTCCGGTAGCTTTACGCACGGAGTCCCGGCAAATTCGCTCCTCATTAAACCCAAGGGATCTGACTTCGACACCATTGACTCCTATAGAGGTTGAACCTGCCTCGGCTGAGCCCTAGTCCATTCATATTGAGCAGCTGAGGCAAAGGCCAGACCAATTCGAGGTATTATCGTCTTCCCCAGGTCGGATCAAGTTTGGGACTGCAAATGCAGATAATACCTGTACGCCAGTGATCCTCCGCTCACTCAGGCAGAATGATGACAGCGGCAGGATAACGTGCTACGTCTGCTGGCAGGAGTCCGCAGACGACATCGCCAATCTGAAATGTGAGTACTGTGAGAATAGCGTGCACTTAGGATGTATAGGAGATTGGCTCGAAAGACGCTCAGTTCAGATCAACTTTAACTGCCCAATATGGTAGGACCTTCCTGTTACCGTCTCGTGGAAATATTGCCTTGCTGACATATCCACAGCCGCAAGGTTCGCCGGTTTGATGCTTCTAATTCCGTCGCTGCGACGACAAGGGAAGCAGAGGATAGAACCGATAACATTAATGACTCCGTCACTAGCCCAGGGGAGATCACTTCGGCGGAAGGGGCTCGGGCGGTAGGTCTACGCCGGTCCGGTAGATCCAGGAGACGACCTGACTTCTACGAACTATAACAGCTTCAATTGCCGGGGGGAGGTATGTAATCTAAAAGAATACGATTATAAGGCTACAGGAATACTATATGATATAGAGTGTGGCCAACAGCCCAATTACCCTTTTGGATCACATAGACCCAACGCAAGGCAAACACCAGCGGGGGAAACAGAGCCGAGTAACGAATACATCACTTTTTTCGGGGATTCCTGTTAGTCAGGCGCTTCCAACGCCCCCCAACCGAGTATGCGCGCTTCTCATTCAATTCCATTCTCGTATCTCCTTGGATCCTCCAGCGGTCCAGGTTTCGGCTGCACAAACAAGGCATGGGCACGGACCATGTCAATGAGATCACCTCGACTGCCTTTAGGTATTTGAGTTGCATCCACGAGATAGGACTTGCAGCCATCGACCTTTTCTGGTCAGGCCTTTAGGCGGATGGACGCGTCGGGCGGCACGGCGTAGAGGAAATTAGTGTTCGGGTAAGTCGGGACTGCCGACGGGCAACAGTTGGATAGGTTCAGCAGAAAGATAAGATATCTACCAAAGAGATTCCTCTCGTGATAGCACATCTGCTGCTGCTGCTGCTGCTGCTGTAACAGAGTGAAGGAAGTAGAGGCTTCCTTTAACGCACTACTATTACTCCTCCAGTCTGCTCTGTTTGCCCTGGGACGTTTTGCACGAGTGGCCTTCTTGGGATTAGGCTCAGTAGTCCGCAGCCCCTTACGCATCTCCTCCAGCCGTTTCTGGATATTGGTATTGATTCTTTGCTGGTCACGCGCTGTAACAGAAGTCCTAGCAGTCTGTTACTGGCGGCTTACCGGTGTGAAGGTCGGTCAATCTAGGAATCTGAATGGTGCAAATTGAATCAAACCAAGGAGCGTTTGTATATGGTGAGGGTAATGGGTATGTTTACGAGGGTCTGGCCGTGCCGGTAATCTGAAGGTCAGTTGCTCGGTAACCTTTACTGACCAGAGCTGGAAGGGAGTACCCGGGCAAAAGCAGTAGCAGAGTAGGCCAGCTCCGCATGTTAGCTACTATGACCGGGTTATCTCGTCGACAACACGGTCACGCCATGGAAGGACGAAGACGCTGCGATTTCTATTTGACCAAGATCATGAGAGTTGGGGATGGAAGGACATACCCGGGCATCTTCAATATTTTCAGGTGAGTCCGCTCTTTACAAGGCCAGGTTTTTCTCTGCTCCGGACCAGCTACACTCGTTCAACTTCAGTACTTTTTTTTTTGCCAGGAACATTCATCACGTTGGCAAGAAAAGACCAGCCAAACACGATATCCAGAAATCAAAGGAAGGATATGAGAATATTATATAGATGGTAAGACATTACAGATACCCGAGTAAATCACGCCCGAACACCATTAACCACAACCTCGGCAATTGCCCGTCGTTTGCCCGGTTATCTTTAATTGCAGCCATCTTCCGACTAGCAGACACGGTTATTTGCGCGTGTTATAGCTTAGCGTCTCAATTTACGAGTCTCTAGGGAATGATTATTTCTTGAACACTAAAGACTGAGCTCGCTATTTGGCATTGGTTTGGTACAAAGGCTTAAATAGGGAATTCCTATCGACACATCCCATTTATGCAGCCGAAGTGCTCAGAATCCCTTCTGCAGCTTGTTGCCTAGATTACAGGGATTACAGGAGCGTCTGGTTTGAGAAAAGAAGCCCTTCCCTGCAAGTGGTTGGTAGTACCAACCGGTAAAGAGATCGCGATAAACTGGCTAATTTGCAGGCCGTGCCTTATGCGGGCAGTAGGAACGTCCACATATTCAATGCGCAACTCATTTATCCTACGAAAGCCGAGAAATAATTCCTTCAAGGGTGAAGCGGCGATCTGCGTCAGCGCGAACATACACGCGAGTGATGGGGCGGGCAGGGTGACCTGAAAACTTGAGCGAGCTTGGGTAGCGGGAGATACACAGGGCATATAGTGCCCGCCAAATACCCTACTCCCTCCATAGTGGTATTTCACAACTAGAATATGAGGAACTGTGGAATCAATGCTGAAAATGACTACTTTTAATGCTAGAAATAGCTGTTTTTCCACTCGTAATTTTGGACAGCGAGCTGCTGTCTATTTATCTTCTTGTTTAACATTTTTCTATTTTATACCCATCTAGTATTTTTAGTTGTTTTCTGGCGATGAAGTTCGCGCCTATTCAAATAGTTATTTTATAAAATTCCACCTGCGATTAAAACAACGTTAAAAATAGGGGTTTATGTTATGGGACTGATGCCCCAGGTACGGGAGCTCTGCCTTAGGCACTAATTTATGCCTGAGGCCTCAAAATTACTGTTATACGCGCCCCAAGACTCAGAAGTATCTGGAGCCATTGGTGAGGCCGTAAATAGATTGCATCCTAGCTGTCACGCGGGCAGGTTTACTAAAAATAACATGCGGATGACTAACCTCCAGATGAAAGAGAATACTTGGGTTCTGGATAGTAATAGCATGTCCCTTCCCGTCAATTCATAGTCTATTGCAAGAAGGAATTGACAGCCTCGCCTGGTAGGTCAAGGGTAACCATCTATTCCTCAAAGTCGAAGTACTCAACGGCCTGAAACAACGGCCAACTTTATGACAGCTCGCTGTATAGGCAGGAAACCCTAGGGAAGCTCCGCTTTGTTGGACAAGACCCTGGTAAAGTCATGAGTGGAGACTGCAAGAGGCAGAGGGCCAGGGGAAGTGGAGATCAGATGGGAACTCTTACTCGATGGGAACACTTTGTAAATCAACAAACAGAGATATGAATTGCATTCAGCTTAAGATACGGTAGTCTAGCCAAGAATAAGGCAGGTGTCCAAGCCAACGTCCCAGCACCTGACTCAGGAGAGGAGCCAGAGAATTTTCTCGCTTTCCACAATCTCCGACAGGATGGGCTATGGCAAGCGCCTTTGCATACCCACGTTCGGCGTATTCGGATAGGTGCAATCCTATCGCATGCCGCATAGAACCAGGCCCGGAACGAAAGAAGGGGCGGTAACAAGGACTAGATCATGTAGGCGATCAAGTCGCTGACCCTGTCGCAGCAGAAGTGGAAAGACTTGTGAAATCGTACTTTGTGCTGCGGCGCCGACCCCACTTCCGATGTGGGTATGCGGCGCAGTGTTCTTGCAGCAGAGACGCCGGAGTCCCAGCCTCGCATAGCATGGCTCAGTCCATGGGGATTTACAAATACATCGACCTGCCCCCGCGCCTAATTCGATCCCATGCGTTGGATTCTGTACTGGTGCCCCAAACCACTGGCCGATTAAACTATACTGTACATGTTGCCTAGCAAGGTGCAATGACCGACACCGAAATTCCCAGCACACCATTGAGGAGCTCCAGCTCCCCAGACCATGTCCTACCCTCCGTTGAACTCACCTCGAACAGCTCTTCATCCGGAGGTAGATTAACCCCTGCCTCCTCTGCAGACGACTTGCTTGATACCGGAAACAATCGACGCTCTCTTACTCCGACCGCGCAGGCGATCTTCCAGAATCTCCGCCTGAGCGACAACCCAAGTGGTGCAACCCATGCCTCTGGAGGGACCCTGCATAACGGCCAGACTGCCTTCGAGTTGGCTCCTAGCAGTTATACGACCTACAGGAACCTTTACAATGCCACCCCGAGTCCAGCAGCTGTTTTGTCCTCAGAGCCGATTGAACAACGGCCGCAGACACCCTCGTCCCCCCTGGGTGCTGTAGGCGCTTACCTTGCAAATCTGAACTTGGAAGACTCGCGGAATGTGGCATACGAGGGTTCTGACCGCAACAGGGTCCCTAACTTGGACGAGGTCTTATCGCTTGGTGACGGCGGCGAAGACAATAACAGCTATCCCTTCGATATCCGTGGAGAGGAACTTTTCCGGGCACCGATCTACGATATTCGGCTTCAGGATGCATTGCGCGATGTTAGAGGGCAGCTGGCAGACCTCGCACGCTGCATGGGCAGGCGAGAGCAGGCACAGGACATTACGACCGTATTCCATAACCTATACGAACAAACTCTTGCCGCGAGCCGCTTTGCATACCCGGCAACTCGGACTGTGGGATTCATTGGTGATTCGGGAATGGGTAGGCTTGACCTCTCTGTGTGTGCAAAGACGAAGGACTAACGAGACTGGCAGGCAAGAGCAGTGTTATCAATTCCATTCTTGACCAAGAGGGCCTGGCTCGTTCGGTGAGTCTACTCATTACTATTTGGCATTTGGGGAGACCCTGAATGCTTATTTAATACATAGAACGGAGACGGCGCGGCCTGCACCACTGTTGTTACGGAGTTCCGTAGTATCGATGAGGAACATCCAAACAGTTATACCGTCGAAGCAGATTTCATGGACAATACCGAGATTAAAGAGCTTTTGGAGGAGCTGCTGTCAGCTGTCAGGGGGTATTACACTGATGCTTACCGGGAAGTTAGCGAACCAGAAGAACAGGAGAACATCAGGAGTGCTGCCAGGAGAGCCTGGGATACTTTACAGTCTCTCTTCCCTAACCAGCCAGAACTTACCCTGGATTTCGTATCACAGGAAGGACAAGATGCAGTTGAGCCGATTATAGCAAGACTGGAAGAATGGGCAATGGCTGGCCAGGATTCCAGACCAGGGGGTCGTGTTAACCTTCAATATTCTGTCGTGGCCAATAATGCTGAGGAATGTATGGACCAGCTGGATACTATTATGGCTGATCCTAGAGACAGTGATAGACCTGCATTATGGCCTTTTGTTAAATTGATCAGGTTTGAGACGGTCCATTTTCCCCAATGATTTGATGTGTGTCTAATGATGACAAGGGTTTATTTGAGATCACCGGTTCTGAGAACTGGGCTTATTCTTGCTGACCTCCCCGGTATGATGCTCTATATTTGCCTGCTGTGCCAATGACTGATTCGCACGAATTCAGGATTCCGCGATTTGAACTATGCTCGAGTACGAGCAACTGAAAGGTATCTTCGTCACAGCTGCGACGAGGTGTTCATTGTCAGTACGATATTTCGCTGCACAACGGATCTCTCTATCAGTGACATTATTCGCCGGTGTGCACAAGGCCAACCGACACGGATCGTTTGTACCCGTTCTGAGGCAAGTCTGCCGTCTCCCTGCCCGTGTCTGATATGAGCTGATGGGTTGGTTCCAGGACGTAAATGCGAGAGAGACAGCACGCACATCCCCTGGAGTTGAAGCCAGACAAATCCACGACCTTGATGGTCGGATTAAGGCCGTGGAGAGAAGAATTAGACAAGTGCGCACCCTCAGGCGACAGGCCGTTGGAAATAGAAGCCAACACCTCTCTGCGGAGCAAACCAACCTGAGGTAAATAGTGGTTAGAGATTACCCATAGCTTTGGACCAGATCCTGACTCGTGATTTATCGCAGCGAGCAGAAAGAAGCACTTGAATTGGAGTAAGAATTCCTATATCCATCGAAATAGAGACTTATGCTAACTGCGCATTGGTTAGATTGAAGCGGTTTCTTATTTCAAGACGGAATCAACGGGTGACCGAATCTTTATCGCGCGCCTGGGGTAGCCAAACCCGGATATTTTGCGTCAGCAATCGACTCTATGCAGACCACCGTGCGACGGATGCAGAGCAGGCCAGTGCATACCTCGAGCTTAGTGGCATAAAGGAACTCCGTCGGTATTGTCAGTCTGTTCCAGCAGATGCGCAACTCCGCGCAACGGAGTCTTTCCTTCAAAATCAACTACCTGCCCTTCTAGGCTCTTTAATTCTGTGGGCATCAGCGAGATCAGATGCCGTCACTGCAAGCCGGGCTGAAACCCTGCGCGGTGTTTTGGATGAAGCAAGTCAGACTCTCCGACGGGTACGGTAATTTGTCTTACCACACAGCAGGCCGCATTTTCTCTTTTAAAGTTTTAACCTGCACACCGTGGCTTTCAAGTATCGATCTAGAGTGTATGATCACTGATATAATGTAGTCCCTTACTTCCCGTCAATCGCTGGTCCGCCTTGCACAGAGCAGTCTGGAAGAACAGTTTGCGGGTTTGATTGAACGTGGAATACGTGAGTAAACCAGTCTTCAACTTCTGGGGCTATAACATTTTAACTTCAGCTCAGGTAACTCACGAAACGAGTGGAGAAATGATGCAATTAACGCGAGCAGAGACTGGGCTACGGTATGTAAGACCAGCAAACAAAAATATCATATAGCTTTAGGCCTGACGAACGTCTCTTCAAGTGGCATCACATGACATACGCCGCCTGGTGCCGCAATTATGGAACATACCAGACAAGAACGCAACCGTATCGTTGCTGGAATGAGGAAATCCTCGGCCGCGGAATTACCCAACTGTCTAATAAATGGGATGTCATGCTTGATTTTCTAGATGACAAGAAAGATGACCTTAGCGAAGACGTATCAAACTTGTTTCAAGGCATCTGTGACACCGTTGAAGGTAACACCATGTTTCTCAATCAGACTTGCAACGGCGAACATGATGGCAAAATTCGTTCAACTAACGCCTATCATTAGAGCACGACGACGCTGCACCAGACACGCTGCAAATGTTGATCCAGAACATGACAATGCGGCAGAGATGTATTATACATAGTATTCAAGCCTCCTTTGATGACCTAATTTGCGCTACTGGGTATGCCACCCATATCTTCCTCGGCATGGAGGTTGACTGATTGACTCTGTCAGGAAAATGAGGCTTGACACGACTGGCGGGCATGACAGCTCCTATATTGCAGGCATCATGCGGACGGTGTATAACTCCTGCAGGGAGCAATACGGTAAGTGTATAAGAATCCTAATCCCCCGAGGATACCTTTCAACTCACTGCCATCTCCAATATCTAGGCACGGGCAGCGATTTCAGACGCAAACAAATCATGGACCGACATCTTTCATCTTCACCCTTATTTAGAGACTTTGCCACCAGTATAGCTGGTGATTTCCAAGGCCTTGTCGAGGGAATATTTACTCGCTTAGACCAAAACCTGCGTGACGAGTTCTCAAATTTAACGCAGGATTTGCGAGTTTCGGTCACAGTGGAGAGAGACGAATCCGAGGCTGGGCGGGATCCCAGGCATGCAGACGAACTACGGCAGAAAGTTGAAAGAATCCAAACGACACTGGCTCACGCATGCCAGATTGTGACGCAGGTCTCGCAGATGGCGGAGGATTCAGATTGAGTGTATTTGGTTTATCCAAATAGCGAGATAGATTTGCTGAGCACCATTTCAGGCACTCTTGGCTTTGTTCCAGGTGCGACGCTGATAGTCTCTTAGAAATTCTCCAATACATGGCTTCGTATTTCTAGGTATATTTTTAGGTCCCTAGTTTCATCCAGGCGGTTGTTTTTATCCCTGATAGCGTCTTCTTCCTGGTGGGCTCTTGAAATATACCCACAAGCAAGACGCCGCTCACGGCGCCTCTTCCGGGCATCTTCACCGCTCCAAAATGATCTTTTGCCCATGGTCAGCGAAGAAAGCAAACCATGAAAAATAAGAGAGAAGGCATCTGGTTATGCACGAGGCAAGTTGAGAAGAGGAAAGGAACGAGATATTAGTTGCTTGATCAGCTTGCAAACGGGTTAGAGGCATCCTTTTTATACCTTTGCCAGAGCTATTGTGATAAATAATGGCTTGTGCTCGGTGAATTTCGCCACATCAGGGCATTCCAACACCCCATCACAATTCTGGTTGCGTCATATACAACGAGCATTTTGGCGGATGTGGGTATTGTAGAGACGGTCAATTTGGCATCATTGTCAGGCTAACGGTACAGAATATTGAGGGATGAGTAGCTCCCTGCGCACGTGACCGGCCACTGATCCCGCCCTGAGTAGGAGCTGAGCGCTCACTGAGCCTTGACCGGTGATGAGAAATACTCAGTGAGCAACCCCCTGAGCGCCTTCATGAAAGCGGCCTCATCCAAACAGGGAAAATCACATTAGGTCTAGAAAAGCAAGTCTGTATAGGTACATATATACACCATTAAAATTATAATACCAACAAATACCACACCCCCTCTACCTCTCTAACAGATTAACCCACCTAACAAACAAAACCTCCATCATCATACATGTCTATCGTGAAATCATTAGTCATACATACACGCCATCATGTACGCTCTATAGGTATAGAGTATTGTTCTGTGTTCTGGTCGCTTCGTCTCCGGATCTGTCGTCAGGGGTCAATCACCATATCATGCCATACTATATCATGCATGCCCGTAATAACTAGCATCTGGATCCCAGAGCTTGGTAGGAAGTAGGTAATACTAGCAATCAGACCAAGACTCCGTAGCTAGCTGGGATGAGGATGCAGAATGGAAGTTGAATGCGATCAGCATTTTCCGCCGAGAATCAAGGTCTGGGCTTGCTGCGGATCGGTTCCGAGGACGCTGATTAGGTATTCGATACTGTAGTCCGTGAGATTAGTGGGTGGTGGCCATGGTTATAGTCGCGGTTATAGTATGTAGACAAGGGAACAGGCATACCTCGCCTCAGAAGCCAATCGTCGCTTTTCCTTCTGGAACTCCTGCTGGCAGCTTTCCCAAGCGACAGCCCGCTCAGGCGGTCGGACAGTCTTGACGCGCAACTTGAAAGAAGCGCTGACAGGTCGGTGATCGGACGCGCGCACCTCGTGACGTCGGTACTCAAGCTGCTTGACTCGTCCCAGGCCGCGGTATAGCACACGGTCGCACCACGCCGGAGACCGCTTCTTGTCGCTGGAGTCGTAGTCGTCCGTCCCCACGTCGTACTTGTACGTCGGCGCGAAGGTGATAGGGGCCTCGTTGAAGGACCGCAGTCGGAAGCCCGGGTTCTTGCGTCGTGAGGCCAGCAGCTGGTCGCGATCAAGCAGTTTCGTGAGGTTGTTCTGCCGGACGGCGTCGATGATCACGTGTCGAGGAATGGAGTCGATGCGGTAGTTGAGGTCGCCGTTGAGTAGACAGATCTCGTGGTCCATGATCATGGAGCCGTCTCCACCGCTGATGAAATGGTTGGCCCGCGTGGCGAGACTGGATTCCATGGGGAGGCACTCAGCCTCCAAGATCCCGGCGATGTCGTTGTTGCGATGTGCGGTCTGCGTCTGTCCGGCGGCCAAATGGCAGTTCACGAAACACATGGAACTATCGTCAAGCACGAACCGAAGAATCAGGGCGCCCTACAGGTACACAAGAGATTAGATCGGAACAGTAGCAGCAAACATCGAAATCACACACCTTATTCCCATGCAACCCTCCCATACCTCGCTTCACTTCGGAAGCGCTGACGTTTTTGATGCGTTGTCGTTCCTTGTGTTTCACGAAGACGCACGTGAACAGCCCGATCATATTGGCGCTATGCAAGAGAACGTACGACTCTTCCAAGGGCATGCAGTCGTTGATACAACGGGTGAGGTGTTCCATCCAGACTCGATACTGTCGACTCATATGTTCCTTCTCGCCGCTTTCTTTCTTCTTGCTTCCGAGGAGTAGACTCTCTGCGAGGATTATTAGTACGGCTCACCCAACAGCAAGGACATACATACTAGCTGTGATTTTCTTATTTTCCAGATCCACCAGTTCCTGGAATCCAAAAACGATGATCTCCGGCGGGTTTTCCGGATGGATCGCGTCGGCGATGAATTGGGATGCACGCACGCTGCCGGGGGTCGAGGCACCGGCGTTCCAAGTCACGATGGCCGCGTGAATCTCGCGGAACGTGCAGAATTCCACGTCCCGTTTTTGCATTCGAGTTTCTACTCCGTCAGTTGAATGATCACACCAGATGAAGGGAAAACATACCTAGCCAATCATCCTCCAGCATGCCGTCCCACAGACGAATACTATTGTCCGTCCCTAGCGACGTCACCTGCAGTCGATTCATAGTCCACACGCTGCTCGTATCAAGCAAGAAGTTCGATACGGGGCTATCGTGTGCGCGCCAATCCTTCATCACCACCCACGGATTGGTCCTCGTGTCGTAGACATAGATCATTCCGGTCTTGTACCCCGCCCAGAGATAGTCGCCAACGATGCCCAGGCAGTTGATCTTGTAAACGCTGACGTTGATAACCGCCAGGCAGGAATAGTCGTGCGCCGAGTACACCGTCACCTTGCCGTCTGCATGTCCCAGGTATACCCGGCCGCCATCCTTGGTGGTATACGCGCCGGACGTCACGTCTCCTGTATGCTGCGAGCCGAGCGGCTTCTTCAGGACCTTGAATGTGACGTCATCACGCGCATTCGGTCGATAAACTTGCACTTCTCTGCCGGTGGCCAGCCAGAGAGTGTCTCCCACAACCAGCGAGAAAGTGTGCCCCTTGGCGACTCGGTCGTAGGGATTGTGGTAGCTGTAATTAAGGTTAGGGGTTCCGGTCTCGTCAGGAGGCCACACGAGCAGGCGACCTTCGTCGTCGAGGGTCCACATGTTTTTCTTATGGCGCAGGATCTTGATGATCTCCCGGCGCGAGGGATAAGCGCGCGACGACACCACTGACTGCGTGGCGATATCGACTTCGAGCAGTTCGCCGCCGTTCGTTCCCAGCCAAAGCCGCTTCCCTTCATCCTCGAGACTATTACCGGGCTTGAACGCCAGAGAGAGACATTTGACGGTCTCGCCATGACTCAAGCTCATGATTTGCTCGCCGGTTGTCAGATCCCAGACCCGTGTCAGGTACCCGGTAGTGCACACGTGCTTACCGCACACATCCATCAGCCGAGTATCGTACCGGGTGTTAATCTCCTGGGGACCACTCTTCAACAGCGGCGGCCGCCGATTCGCCACCGAGGCATCCGGGTAATCCGTTCGCGACACTGCCGGCTCATCCGAAGGGTCGTAGATCGTGCGGTCCTCTTCGGTGGAAGCGGGCATTGGGCGCACCGGAACAGCCGGCGTAGCGGGGACAGCCGGAGTAGGAGGCATAGCCGGGATGGGGGGCGGTTTGGTCTCGCGGGGAATCGAGGGCTGCCTCTGGATAGTTCGCGGTGTCTGTGCCTCAGCCTGACTCTGACGCAGGTCTTGCCGACCGGGGTAGGACGAAGGCAGGGCCGGGCTATCTAAACCGTGTGCTGGCCGAGACGGGGATCGAGCCACTCGTCGCGCCACCGACGGATGTCGAGGAGGCAGACCGGGCCGTTCAATAGGAATCTCCTGGTAAGATCGCTGAGTCGAGAACGGCACGCTGGACATCGTCTCCCGCTGCACCGGCGGCGGTGGCCCCTCCCGGGTAGACTCGGGCCGCCTGCGCGACGAAAATCCGTCATTCGCATCGCGCAGGGCAGGGGTGGTAGCGACAGGTGCAGGAGGTCTCTCGACGTCGAACGAGCGTCGACTAGGCGGTTCTGTAGTCGGCCGCGACGGCGAGCGCGGGAACTGGGGTCTCGGCGCAGGCGCGGGTTTCGACGATGTCTTCTCCGGACTGCTGGGAGGAGTGCTAAAAGGCGAAACGCCGCGCTCCTCGGAGGGAGCTCGCTCATGCTGCGGAGCCAGCGTGTTTCCATCTCCAAATGACAGGCCGGCCGGTTTGGCGGGGATCTTGGGTTTGGCGGCCCGGTTTGCGGGCGGCGGCAAGGACGCGCTCTTCAACTTCCGCTCTGACAGACTGTCGCGCGGGACTCCTAAACCCCCCGGAGCACCAGGGGACCGGTGCATAATATTCTGTTCTGTCGGGACGGAGGACGCGAAGGTGGGGGTGGTTGGGCGGTGGAGGGAGGGAGGCTGAGGAGGAGTCGATCTAGGGGGTAATGACTCGCGAGAGGCCTTCGGGGGAGTGCGAGAAGACCAGTTATCCTCCGTGCGATCCAGCGAGGCCCCCATACCCCGGGGAGGAGACCGCGGCGACTCGACGGTCAATGTGGGCGCTAATTGAGGCGAGGAGCGGAAGTTCATCGACATGTGCCGGTTCTGACGGAGTCCGGAGCCCGTCGTCTGACGGGGTAGGGATCCATTTGTATGACCGTTCTGAGCATCGGACTGACTCCAAGGCGAGCGTGGACGCGGCAGATCGAGCGAGGCCCGAGAGGAGCGGAAGTCGTCGCCGTCGGAGGTTCTTAGAAAGGAGGAAGAGTCACGCGGGCCGCACGGCAGGGCAGACGGGGATCGGCGGTGCGAGAGGTTCTCGAAATGAGACAGAAGAGAGGACACCGGTCGCTGGACAGACAGTTAGCAAGTCGGCGCGAACGGCGGGAGGGGACGTACGAGGGGAGCACTATCGGTGTCGTTTTTGTCCTTGCGAAATGCGTCCATGACCATGACGTATTGTCCAAGGAGAAGCTTGTGCGAAGGTAAAGACCATAAGATTTGGAGAGAGAATAAAAGATGGACGAAAGGGAAGCGAGTGAGTTGGTTGAGAAGGGTAGCGGAATTCCACCGAGCGAGCAGTACTGGAGGAGGTCGAGAATCGGGGCGGAAATCCACAGGGGATTCGGGGAGTGTGGCGGAGCTCTAGGCGGAAGTCTGGATGAACAGGAGGGGATGGTAGAGAGGTAGAGGGTGGAAGGGGAGGATGGATGGGATGATAGGAAGAGAGTGAGGATGAGGGAGAATGCGAGAGAGTGACTGGAAAAGGGGAGAGGGAAGAGAGAGAGAGACGAGCGAACGAGGGTGGAGGGAGAGAAGGAGAGAAAGAGAGAGGAAGAAGAGAGACGGAGAGAGGCAGAAGTGGGGATGACGACGATGAAGGGAAGAGACCGACAACTCTCCACCAGCCTAAATCTACACGTCCAGAATCACCTCCTGTAGATCATTCGAGTATTCTAGCTAGGAGGAACGGGGCTGGAGTTATAAATATCCCCTTTGGAAATCAATCATCTACCTGCAAGAATAAATAGAAGAGAAATCGAATAAATAGAACTGCCCTCCATTCTTATTTTTAGCCTCCGCCTCGCCTGAAAGAGAATCATTTCTCCCTCTCCGCCTCCCCCTCCACTCTGTCTTTCAGTATTGATTCTGACTTCCTCCCTCACTTCCACCCCATCTGCTGACCCTCCCTTGTATGATATCATCTCAACCAGTCCTCTTGAACCCATAACCATGTGGTACAGCATCCCCTCATCCACCCTTTCCTTCCCACCGGCCTCAATCCAATCCACTGACTCACGCAGTAAACATATCCTCAACGCCCAAGTGGCCATTCGATCTCCTTGCTGTGCGTCCTCCTCGTCCTCCTTCCTGGTCCAAACCAATCCAATCACCGTCTAATTCTGATATCCTAATCCAGGCCGAAAATGGTTCGACTGCGCCGAATGCCACCAAGAGCAAGAATCCCACATGCTAACTAAATCGCCCGAGATGGTACGCACTCCCTTTTGGACGGCCCATGGAATACGACCTGGTCGAGACGGCAGACATATATCACCAAGAAGAGGAGAAAAAGTAACAGAACGTGGATAATAGGTGTTCGCATGCAAGAAATGCAAGAAATGTTTCCGCAAAGACGCGGCGGAGTTTGAAGAGAGGTACCTACACCTACCATCCCAGAATAAAAAAACTCAACTAGGCCTACATGCTTACGCAATACCCAAAATAACCAGTGACGAATACTGCCCCCACTGCGACAACCACTTCGTCATCGAGGCCGTGACCCCGAAGCCCTCGTTACAGGTGGAGGGAGAAGACGCGCGGATTGATTCGAGGTATATCTCCTTTCCCTCTCAAATACCTTCACACTATCTCGTACCTACGAAATGCTCATCCTATCGAACTCAACTAACAACTATACCTCCTTAATAGAATGCTCAAAGACGACCGAGTACGCGGCCACGAGGAGCGCTCGCTATTCAACATCAAGAACGACTCGGATCGATTGGGTTAACGGATCTCGATGCCCTACACCGTTCTTATTATTCTTCGTTTTTTATACATACTTTCTTCTTTTTTTGGTGTATTGATATTGATATTGAGCTGGGGCGTGCATGGCTTGGCTGGGCTTGCATTGTGCGTTAATGATGATATGATTGATTTGATTTGATTTGGTATATTTTTCTGGGGTTAGAGAGAGGGGAGGTGATAGATGCAGGGAGAGGATGTGAATTATGACACGAGCAACTCTATAGACAAAACAAACCGAATTAAAGAAAAGAAAATAAACCTGAATGAACATGATCATACGTAGTAAGTAGGAAGTAGTGTGTGTAGTAGCAGTAAAGTAATCACATCTAATTACTCCACCCATCCACCCCCTTTGCCCCAAAATCAACTACCTAGCAGAGAGAAAGAGAGACTCAAAGAAGAGTCAACGCTTACTCTCTACCCTCCCCCCTCGTCAAGATCGCCGCCGTCGTAGTCCCTCCACGACCCGTCTTCTTCTTCGCCGCCTCCTCCTGCTTCTCGGTCTCTATACTCTTCACGTACGCCTCGATCTGGTCCTCGGGGAGCATCTCGATCGTCCGGCCAGGTGACATGATAGCCACTTCGATGTTCTTGGCACCGGTCTGCACAACCTCCAGCAGCGACTTGATGGTCAGTTGGATGGTGGCCTCGCGGTCCATGTCTTCTTGGTGGTTGCGCTCGAGGAACTCGCGGACGGTTTTGCTGGAACGGCCGATGGCGTTGGCTTTCCTGTAGACAGGGATTCTCGTTAGCCATCATTTCCTCGCCTTCGCTTCCCTTTCATCTCCGTCTGCCACTCAACCACTCTCCCGGGGAGGGGGTAACAAACCAAGCAGAATAAATCCCCGACGGCTCCGTCTGATACAATCTCGGGACATCATCATTCGGATCAAACCCGACCACCAACGTACTGATACCAAAGGGCCGCACACCACCACTCTGCGTGTACCGCTGCTGCACGCTCGCAATGTACTTAGTGATGTATTCGATACTGACGGGGTCTTCGACAGTGAGGCGGTGAGACTGGGCTTCGAGACGGGCCTTGTCGATCAGGATACGGGCGTCGGCGTTCAAGCCAGCGAAGGCCAGGACGGCATGGTCGTCGACGACAGCGATCTTGGACGGCGTGATGCGGGTGTCTTGGAGTTTTAGGGCGGAGCGCTTCTCGCAGCCGAGGACGACGATGTCGCTGCCTTTGACGCCGACGGCGCAGGTTCCTGTGTTGGAGGGGAGGGGGTTAGTTGGTCTTCATGGGTAGACATGCAGGTGGGTTGAGTTGGGTAGGTAGGTAGGTAAGTAGGTAAGTTTGTACGGTTGAGGGGAAGATGGGATGAGATGGGGAGGGGAGATACCTCGTTTCACGGCCTCCATCGCATATTCAACCTGAAAGACATGTCCATCTGGACTGTACAACTATCAATATCCTTATCACACCCTATACCCTCCTAGTCAAGGTCACACATACCTGAAAACTGCACATCGTTAGATTCAGCCCATCAACGTCACCACGGAGCACCTAGCTAACTTACCTGAAAGAGCACGGTCGTATCCGGACATTATGAGCGAGGGGAAAGATCAATCGGGCGGAAATTCAACCAGACGGACAAAGGGATCTGACAGGCAGATAAAGATCAAAGAAAAAGAGGAAATAGGGCGTTGGGCAGTAGTATAATCGTAGAGCTGGAAACCAGAGGTCCGTCGGATGACAGATGTGGACGCGAGTCCTGCGGCTGCCTCCAGAGCTCCAGGGCGGTAGCGCTTGGCGCGCGGTTAAGTCACTCCGCCTTTGATACTTCGTCGACTTGATAGAGAGGATTATAACGAAAGAAGTCCTCCATCTCTGAATAAAAACTACAAGCTGCATCCATGAACGCAAATTTGTACAATAAAACATCTACTCTAATTCTGTACTGAGACCACCCTTTAAAGATCGGCCCGTCAAATACCAAATACCAGAATACCAGAATGCAAAACCAGGAAAAAGATACAATATCAAATCAATAATAAAGTAGAAACATCAGAACAAATCATATTGCACTCACAATCCCAATCCGAACCCATCCCAAGTCTGTTCATCGCTGGCTGAAATTTTGCTGGCTCAAAAGGAAGATACCCCAACACCCCAACAGAGTCCGTTCCAATGTATCCCATCCGTGATCAATACCATGATTCTCCTGAATCCTATTGCCGAAGAGTGCAGAGATGAACTGAGAAGCCAGAACACAAAAAAATAGAAAACAAAAAACATTCTAGAAAGTAAATGCAATGCCATGGTTGAACCCCTTCAACCGTGGTCGTGCCGGAACCCCAGAAAAGAAAAGACAAGCTCCGTCTGAGATGCACGACAATGATGTGAAAGTGCAAACCTCATCCTGACCCGATGACCTCACAGCAAAATCAGGCAAAGGCACGAGAATTTGATGTATGAAACCGTCCCGCTGTCCATCGGGTGGGACGGTGTTCTATACCCCTGAAACATCGCTTCCAAAGACGCAATAGTAAGACATACCGAAAAAAAAAAAAAAAAAGACAAACAAATTTTGACATGGAACAATGAAAGGCTGCCTGGAAAGAAAAATAAAAAAGGGAGGAATGCCCCAATCCGAGGAAACGACGACACGCTACCGGCCCTGCTCCTCCCAACCGAATGCACCAGAACTGCAAAATTTCCCTATACAAACGCACAGTCACAAATATCAACCCGTCACATATACCAACAACCATGAAATCTTCATATTAACAAAGAAAGTGGGTGCGGAAACCTGCCCTGGAAAATGAGTAGTACAGTCCCGGTCCCAGCCCCTTCAAGTCTCCATTATCGTAATGTAGAACTTTAGGCAGGGGACTTGTTAGCTCCGGCTCCGTTGCGACGGGAGTGAGCATCATCGGCCACGGTCAATCCTCCAAGTCCGGTGGACAGGAAAGCAAACGGGTCGTTGGATCCCTCGTTGCCGTAAAAAGCGCTATTCGAAGTGGTGTGGTCGGCACCGGTAAAAGCGGCCTGGGTGGCCGGGTTGGCGAAGGAAGTGGCGGAATGAGACGCGTTGCTGGAACCGTATCCAGCGTTCATCTGGCCCATAGGAGGGTATCCTCCGGGAGCACTGCCAAGACCCGACGGCAGGGCGTAGTTGCTGGGAGGTCCGCCAAACTGCTGGTTGAAACCGCCAAATCCACCGGCCGACGAGGTGAAAGGACCGGGGGCGGGGGTGCTGGTCATCGAGTTGGGACCCATGCCGAAGCTAGACGGAGGATCCATGGGGGAGGGGAACGCGGAGTCAGCAACGACGGCCGCTCCGGATCGAGGAGCACCACAACGCAAGCAGTTGATGTTCTTGGCGAAGTTGTGGTAGCCGCAACCCTCGGAGCCACACTTCCAATCACCCGCACGGAAAGGAACAACGCCGCCGCTGCCACCCATACCGCGGGAGTGACCCATACCGTGACCGTGGCCTCCTCCCATGTGAGGAGGCATCATCGAGGGGGGACCGTATCCATATGCCCCGTATCCCATCGGATCGGGTGCGGCAGCCATAGCCGGGAAAGAGCAGCGGAAGCAGGCCGTACGACGCTGGAAGTTGGAGAATCCGCACGACGGGCAGGTCCAGTCACCGGGGCGAGGACGGTTCTTCGACGGGGGGAAGGGGGTCAGGATTTCCGCGGCACGGTCAAGAACGCGGCTGGACGAAGGCGACACTTCGATGGCCTTCTCGTTCAGAGCACGGCCGTTCATACACAGGCTTTCGGCGGCCTATATGATGAGAAGAAGTCAGAAGGGGAGCAGTTTTCCCAAGCCAAAACGTGGCATATTCATACCTCTTCGTGAGACGAGAAAACAGCAAAGCCGGTACCCGTCGGCTTGTGCTGGTCCGGAGTGCGGAGAGTCCAGAAGGCGATGGGACGACCGCCAAACTGCGTGAACCAGCTCTCCAATTCCGACTGTGTCGTATCATGGGGCAGACCGCTCAGGTGGAGCACCTTGCTGCGTTCCGTCAAGAAGGCACGGACATCCGCTCTGGCATCCATGGGTCGAGTCATGATCTCGGGGTGTTCATGCGGCGGCTGAGACTTGCGAATCAATCCTCGGAGCACTCGAGCCAGGGTGATAGCCTCCTCCATAGCCCGGCGAGGCGAAGCGGGGGCCAAGGCCTGCAGGTGGAAGGGAAGGTTGTGCTTGATGGGGGCGGAGGTTTGAACGGGTTCGACTTCGAGGGCGGCACAGATGTTGGAGAGCGAGCTGGGGCCGAAGGGCAGAGACTCGGGGTGGTGAGTCTGCCATCGCTGATATTCGGTGCGGAGGTCGAAGGTCCGCGAGTGCTGAAGATACGCGGGGAGGACGACCGCCTTGTCTCGGGCCTCGCGAGGCAGCTGCACACGAAGGTCCCACGAATCCAACGTCACGAAAGCAAATTCCAGGTTCTTGTTGATGAGGTGTTCCTGGGCGAAGGCGTCAAAGCGGGAGATAGCATCGCGGAAGGTACCTGCCGAGCGGACGTGCTCCCATGTCAGAGTTGTCAGGCTCGCTGTCGGAGACCGTCAGCCATTGAACCAGCAGACCGATACATCCGGAAGGGGATAGGGAGGGTGTGGATATGAAAAATGTGGTGATGGCGTAAGGGAAGGGGGAAAGGAATGGGGATTAAAGGAAAAGGACAAGGCAGAGGCGTTTGGTTGGGTAAGATGGGGAAAGGGCTCGGGAAATCCATTGGAATGCACTTACTACAGAGAGGCGTGATCGGAGTGTTGACAGGCTTGACAAGCACGCTCTCGCGGTGCAACTAAACCGAGGTAAGAAAAAAAAAATTAGCCATGCCAGCAAAAAAAGCCAAAGAATCCAAATCGAAGCATAAGAAACCAAAAAAAAAAAAGTTTTTCTCGTGTTGAACGGAGAGATGGGATCTAAAAGAAATTGAAGGGGGGGGGAAAATCTGGGAGAAAAATCCAGGAGGGGAAGGGGGAAAAAGGCGTCACATCGACGAAGCAATCAACAATCATTGCACACTTACCTCCTCGCAGGTTTTGGCATCCAACAAGATCCACCCCAGTTCAATCACCTCAGCTGAATCCTTGGTGACGTAGACGCCATGTTCGTCGCAGGTGGTTGCGACGTGGATGACAATGTAGCGATCCAGCTTGGGGGTGGGTGCGGAAACGGATGCCATCGCTGGTGAGTCCGGAAGTCTTTTTTGTTGGCTGAATGTCGGACTATCGCTGCTCTTTCTCACTCACACACGCCAGCGGAGCGGTAGGGGGGTGAAGAGGGGGGAGAAGAGGAAGAGGGAGGGAAGAGAGCGACGGGGCGGAAAAATAAGTGTCTCTAAGCAAAGACCGACACTAATTCGCGACCAAATGAAAGGAGGGAAAAAAGAAAAGAAGAAGAGAAGAAACCAGACCGCCCGTTAATCAACGAAGCACGGTAAGGCAAACTGGGGGGAAAGGAGGAGGGGGGAAGACGTGAGAGGAGAGAAGAGGAGAAGGAAGCGAAGGGAAAAGAAAGAAAGGAAGAATCGCCCAGGCCAGGATTGGGAATCGCTGCGCTTTCTTGCTTGGTGGAGCGTCGAGATTAAAAGAGACAGAAAAAAAAAAAGGGAAAAAAGAAAAAAAAACTTTCGGTTTCCAGTCAAGTCATAAGGATGGAATCAGGCACCGAGGAAGGAATTGACAGGCTGACTGAGCATTCACGGGGAATTGACCAGAGCCTCTTTTCTGATTGATTTACCTCCTGTCTTCCACGTCCATACAGATCGAGTACTCCGATGGACTGGCGATATTGAAGCGGTTCTGGCGCCGGGACCGTGGATGGTGTACCTACAGTAAATACGGTATCGAGTGGTATCGGTCCTCGAGGTCTCTCGGGGATAAGACAACTCCAATTGACTAATTCGCACGAGTTGGACTACGGGAGAGCCTACGATCCTTGATCTCTCCGACTGGAATAGGGGAGGGAAGGTGAGGAACGTGCAGCCACACACACGAAGGGATTAATTAAGGTACTTCTGTCAAACTGTCATTGAGTTTATCAGGCAGTCACTTGAATGCACGCAACCAGTCACCTTGGGTGTACCTACCTTAGTATCTCCTAGGCATCTACTGTACCTACCTAGGCAGTGAACGGGTCAATCAGTCCAACTACGGACTCGAATCTAAACTCTCGGATCTTGAGAGACATGAGTGCAGGAGTCGATAGCTCAGCTCGGTGAAATGGCTTCCTAGACTACTCCAACAAAGTCCCGTATCCTTGGAATTACACGAAAAGAAAAAAAAGAAAAGGAAAAAGAAGAAGGATGGAAGACCCACTGCTATGGTCACCATGATTGATTGAAGCCTCCAAAAATGGCCTCGTTAGTGTATTTTACCCGCTGCCGACGGTTCCGTACCGTTACCGCCGTTTGCCATTACACTTCCCTCGCTGTCGGTACGGTGTATAGAGAGTAGTTAGTAGTAAGTACATCTATCTCAGTAGAGTCTAGAAATTACTATGAAAAGGCAGCATAGTATATCCCTGACGAGGTAGTAGACAAATACTCTCCATTCAGTGCAAACCATTACGATCGGACTCTCCCCCGCGAGACACTGCTGACTCGGTACTTTTTCCCGCCACGATCAGGCCATAACATCCCCAGTCTATTCCGCCCGTTATCTATCAATAGCTCCTAATGACCTAATTCGGAGCTATTTGTAGTCATTCACTCTATGATTTAAGGCAAATAATAGTAAGAGCTTCTCGGAATCCACGACCGATAGTGAATCCCAACGGGCGGACTAGTTTACGACCTAGGGACTACCTCATGGTGCCATTCCTTTCTCGGAGTTACGGTGCCTGTCGGATTTACGGATAGTATCTAGGTAGCTACCTACTAGGCATCGTTACACTTGACTCCCTCTCTTTCTCTGAGTATATGATGTTTGAGGTCAAACATTTCTCCATAGCGCTTTTGTAGGTGTAACGCCATGTAAAACCTCCTTAGGGATTGGATGGGGGAGGCACCATCGTAGATCTTCCACGGTGTGTTCGGTTACAGCAGATATGCTGTAAGTACTACCCAATATAAATAATAATTTAAATAATTTACCCTGTCCCTACCTTCGACAACATTCATCAACTCGACAGTCCAAGTCAATGATGTTATGATCACTGATGATCACAATGGCCACCTAGAATATCTACATGTCATACGGATGAAGAAAAGAAGAAATCATAGACTAGCATCAAACATGTACACCACATGACCAACGAATTAATTACATTGCAAATTCCATCCGTGAAGAGAAAAAACCATCCTAACCAGCCCATCCTATCCCAAACGCCGACCTACACCGAACTCAACCAAAAAAACATGCTTACTCCTCATCTTCCTCCTCGATCACCTCCGACTTGATAATCGTATGCCGACTATCCTCATTCTCATCCTCCTCCATAATACTGGGTTCGATGGATACACCCCGACGACGGACACCGGGTTCAACGGACGGACGCACACTGTTCGATCGTACGCTGCCGGATCGTACGCTCATCATGTCGCTGTCGCCCTCCTCGCCTTCATCCTTCGGTCGGACGCTAGGCGGGCGAGCGCCTTGCGCGACGGCCAAAATCTTCAGCACGGCGTTCTTCACCTTGACGAGCGCGTTACGGCCGGATGCCTCGGCCGCGAGACCCTCTTCGATCGTCTCGTCGAGTAGCTCTTTGACTTCTTGAGAGAGCTGGGCATTGTCGGCCGAGATGTCGACCTGGGTGCTGCGAACGCTGGAGCGGAGGGGATCGTCGCCTTCGGGGTTGCGAGAGCTCGAGCGCGAGGGGACTGTGGGCGGGGAGATGTAGAGCTTGCTCATCAGCGAGAAGAGAAGCTTCTTCTCATCCTTGGAACAGCGATTGGGGCCTTCGCTGATGCCCAGTACCCGTTCCAGGATATCCTTGACGAGTCCCAGGTGAACGAATCCACAGACGTTGGGACTTGCAGAGGCCCCCGTGAGCACCTTCTCGCCGCCCAGGCCGAGCACTCGGCGCTCGTCGGTCCACTCCGCGACCATGCCCAAGAGACCGCTCATCAGTGCCTTCAGCTCCCTCTGGCCCGCCGTCTCGTCGATATCGCCATCGCTATCTTCCTCCGCTTCAAGAGAGTAATGCTCTTCGGCCGAGTTCAGGACCGTGCGAATCACCGGAACGATGATTCGTCGCATATGTTGGGTGTTGTCGAGGCGGGAATGGCAGTAGACGGGGAAGAAGTAAGCCAAGGACTGTCGGAGGGCCGGGTTCTCTCGAGTGCGCGGGTGGAAGAAAGACACCACCAGATTCGACAGCAGAGTTTCGATGGTGATCTGGTTGTAATCCAGGATGGCTTGCGGGATGTTCGACCCGGATGGTGTGAAGACATTGGTGAGCAACAGTTTCGAGAGCGCAGTAGCGGCGGCCGATTGCACCGTCATCGGGGAGCTCGACTTGAGGGCGCGGGCAAACACCTTGAGCAAGGGTTTCTGGAACACGGGTGGGGTAATAGTCTCTCCGTCCGATTGAGTGACGGGCGTTAACAAGGAGGGGTGGGTGGTCAGCATATCACACAGAATGTGGAGGGCGGTGACCTGCAAAGCCTCGTGGCCCTTGCTGTAGCAATGGATGAAGAGCGTCATGTTCTCTTCGGCTAGGGTCTAGTTGGATGAAAACGGGTTAGCAATACAGCTACTACGCAGGCGAGGACTCGACTGACCTTGTCTAACAAACAGCAGAGTCCCAAACATTCCAGGCCCCTCTCACGGATGGGAGCCTCGTGACTTCGAACTGCCGGCACCACGAGGTTATTCAACATGGTAACCAAGTTCATGTTATCCTGCAAGTTGCCCTGCACGTTTTGCAGCATGCACAGGGCAATGTGCAGACACTTCATGTTCACCACGATCTCCCGCAGGATCTTGGCCTTAGCCTCTTCCTTGTTGAAGGGCTTGTCGGCCTCGCCGTCACCCGGGGTCTCAGAACGGTGACGGCTTGCGGTGTCGTCGCTGATCTCTGACTTGGCCGAGACGAAGCTGTCCTCGGTCGTGATCGTGTCGTGGACTTCGGCGATAGCTTCCAATACAACGCTGCAAAATTCGTTCTCGGCAGCGACCGCGGGGCCGCACACAAACCGCAAAGTCTCGATGGTGAGTTTGGTGCTTTCCTGAGGTAGTTCCGGGACCGCCAAGGACTCCCGTAGAAGAGTATACATCTTTCGTCGTCCCACCTCGTCACTGTAATCCAGGGTCATGGCCACGTGGAGAAGTTGCTCGACCACGAACTCGAGCTCCACGCAGTCATCATCGTTAGCATCCCCAGTATCTTTGGATTCTTTCTTCTTTTGTAGAAGGGCCGACAAATATTTGTGCAGGTAGTAAGCAAGGGCTGTAACTTCCGGGATCTTCTCATCCGCCAGGCTTTCGTATTTTCCTTCATTCTCCACGCGACAGAAATCGTTAAAGGACCGAAGCAGAAAGACCGATTCACCGGTCATGGATTCCCAGAACTCCTCGTCGAAAACGACGGCCTCCCGATAGTCGGGTCGGCCTTCCCAGAAGCTCCGCATAGCCTCATGCGCAATTCCGGACTCCACGCCAGAGTTGACCACGTCGATTCTCTCCAGCAACTCCATAAGGGCCGGGATGTTCGGGGGCGAGCGTTGGATGGGACCTCCTTCAGAGTCCTGAGTCGAGCCTGCCACGTCCTCGATCCAGCGGTCGAAGAAGAGTTTGCCTGTGGCCTTTCTAACGCTCTCGTCACGGTCACGTAAGCCCCATCGAAGCATTTTCTCTCTCATCGACAGGGACAAGTGACGAAAATCTCCCAGAGTGGGCAAGAGGCGGGAATACAGGGCACGTCGCGTCGCTGCATCAAGATCGCGGGCACGTTCCAACAGATAAGGAAGGGTGTTAGGGAGGAGGGGTAGGTTGAGAAGCAAGGTTTTCCGCACGTCGGCACTGGTATCATTCTGCATGATCTCCACCAGCTTCTCGACAAGCGCCGTACTATCATCGTTATCATCATCCTCTTCATTTCCCGCCAAGCGACCAAGGCCCATCACCGCCTGGACTCGGACGGAAGTCTCCTTGTCTCTGATTCGCTTCAAAAGACCTTGCCGAATAGCATGATACAGGTCGTCGTCGACAGTGTCGAGGGAGTTGACAATATGCGCAATGATCTGGGTGGCACGGAATCGCACGGTGCGATCTTTCGCCGACAGCAACGGCACCACGAGGGCCACTATGCTCGTCGTCAGTCGGGCAGTCGGTGTTTCGGGAACGTGGTCGTCATCCTCGGCGGCGAAAATCTCTGCATCTTTCTCGGAGGCATGAATCAAGAAATTTCCTAGGAAGCGAAGAATGCGATCGCCGACGGGTTCTGATTTCTTGATCGGCAGAATGCGCAGCATGCAGCGACCGATTTCGATATTGAATTCCTTCTCGGGGATAGTCTCCTCGCCCATCAAAACGTCATCCGGAACTTTCGTGCTGCCGTCTTTCTTTGAGCTTCGGATGCCGCAGCAGGACTCTTGCAGTTTTCGTAGGCGCACGGTGAGTTTTCGATGGCCGGTCGTTGAGCGCTGAGCATCGGCAAAAATGGAACAGACATCGCGGCGCAGGCTGGGGATGGCCTCGGGCAACGAGGGCTCTTCAGGGATGGCGATGGACGGCGTGGCAGATCCGGCGCGAGACGGCTGGCTAGAGGGTTTGCGGGACGTCCTAGAGGTCGAACGGGCGGCAACTCGACTGGGCATGATGGCTGAGGGGGATATAATGTCGTGATAAGATTTCTGTGAGTTAATAGAGGGTGAATCAGATTGATGGTCAGATCATCTCAGCAAAGCGGCATTGATTGTTGTCGAGGTGGCCGCGGGGCAGTTGGCCGTTTGTCTGGCGTGTTTGGACTCTGGACAACAAAGAGCGGGCAGTTTGCGATGAGACGGAGTTGTCATCACCGGGCCCCGAGTCACGAGGGAGGGGATAAACAAACAGCCCAAACGGGAAGCGCTAAGATAAGGGCTAGGGTAGGCACGTGGACAGCCTGGCAGACAATATGGTTTGTATGCATTATGGAACTACCAGCAATCATGGGGCATTTAACTAACTGAATATGTATACGTGAAGGTTAATTGGCCTGCAGGATGTACTGAGCAAAAGCTATGATTCCCGCACCTTCGTGGTCTCCAGAACGTCCCTCCCGTCCGTCTACAAAGGCCGCAAGTGAAGTCCATCACGCCATCAGTCACGTGGCCCTGACTAAGGCCGACCATCGGCCATGAATCCGGGGAATCAATTGACTCCGACAGCTTTCTCTTCCAGTGCAGCTGCTTCCTGCGTTCAGGATAATTGCGATCGTTCGCCAGACCTGACCACAATGTTCCGTCAAAGTATCCGACGATTCGGTACCACTGCGCTGCGCGCAGCAGAAGGATCAACCGCCTACGGTGTCCGAGTATCGCATGCCCAAGGCGTTGTCCACGGTCTCACCGAAGGTAGGCGCTTCTGGTTCCCCCTCATTGACGACGGGAACAAGCTAACAACCCCAAGCCATTGGGAATACCCCTCTGATCCGCCTGAAACGCATTTCCGAGCAGACCGGCTGCAATGTCCTCGGTAAAGCCGAGTTCCAGAACCCCGGTGGCAGCGTCAAAGACCGAGCCGCGCTGTTTGTGGTTAAGGATGCGGAGGAGAAGGGTTTGCTGAAGCCCGGCGGTACGGTGGTGGAAGGCACGGCCGGAAACACGGGAATTGGGCTGGCGCACGTGTGTCGGTCCAAGGGGTACAAGCTGGTTATCTACATGCCCAACACGCAGTCGCAGGGCAAGATCGACCTGCTGCGGTTGCTGGGTGCCGAGGTCTACCCGGTTCCCGCGGTGGCGTTTGACAACCCCCAGAATTACAACCACCAGGCGCGCCGACATGCGGAGTCGTTGGACAACGCGGTGTGGACGAACCAATTCGACAACACGGCCAACCGACAGGCGCACATCGAGACGACCGGACCGGAGCTCTGGGCGCAAACCGAAGGCAAGCTCGACGCGTTCACCTGCGCCACCGGAACGGGAGGTACCCTGGCCGGTATCACGCGCTATTTGAAGACGGTCAGTGACGGAAAGGTGAAGAGCTTCCTGGCCGATCCTCCCGGCAGTGTGCTGCACAGCTACATCCAGAGCGGGGGCAACTTGGTCGAGCGCAGCGGAAGCAGTATCACGGAGGGAATTGGACAGGGTCGGGTGACGGACAACCTGCAGCCGGACATTGATCTGCTGGATGGATCTTTGAACATCAGCGACGAGAAGTCCATCGAGATGGTCTACCGCTGCCTCGACGAGGAGGGTCTGTATTTGGGCGCCAGCTCCGCGCTGAACGTCGTGGCCGCCAAGGAGGTCGCTGAGAAGCTGGGCGCGGGCAACACCGTGGTGACCATCCTCTGCGACGGAGCCTATCGGTACGCGGACCGTCTGTTCTCGAACACCTGGCTTCAGGGCAAGGGCTTGCGGACTGCTATTCCCAAGCACCTGGAGAAGTACATTGTGCTGCCTTAATGTATTGCTGTCATAATGTATGTATGTTGATAGATCTGTGCAATAGCGATTTTACCCACATTCGAGGATCTGTCTTCCTCTCACCATCAATCCATCATTAAATTTCACATCAACATACTTACTATGTAGATCATCTTTCCAAGTAGAGTGGGTTGGAAACAGCTTGACATTGGCACGGGCCGATTCTCAAGACCGATATATATCTGGACACAGGAGCATATTTTTGACGTCACGTTCAGAATCATATTATAACTAAATCCATTCTATTATGCTTATTTCCAGTCATGTATCTATTTCCACAAATATAGAAATCTAGAGCGTCCTCACTGTTTTCCATGGAAAGCATAGATCTAGACCACTGCGCTAGGACATTCCACTCAACAATGAACAAGTTTACGAAGAATATACCCTATTACTCTATATCCTCACGCATAAGATCTATAATACTGAATAAATTATACTATACATAGAGTTGTGAGTCTCACAAACCACCTCCCTGATATCTAACATGTACCCAGAGATCCCAGAAAGTAGTAGCAAGGTGATACCTTACTTACTACCCGCGGAGGACCTCTCACATCAACATGAAAACAGAACCCCAAACTCCGAAATGCAAACCGCTCTATCCCAAACCAACGCCAGCAATGTAATCAGTCGATCACCCATATCAAAACAATCCACCCTATACAGCCCCCTTTTCCCATCTACATCCAATCATATACCTCCCGCAACCTCCCTCTCCACACCTCTAGTCAACCACCCCCCAACCCAGGAAAAGAATAATCAAATCTACTCCTTCTCTGGCATCCTCATATAAGCATCAATCGCAGCACTAAACGCCGCAAAGCCGACACATCCAGCAGCAGCCGCCTGAGGCCCCGCCTTAGCACCAAGAATACCACCGGTAAGACACCCGGCGGAGACACTATTCGTGAGATCGTTCTTGGCGCGAAGTCCCTCAATACAGCACTCAGTGCCGGAGTACAACGCACCCACGATACCGAAGTTCTTGGCGGACGACCAAGACCGCGAACCCATGTCCTTGAAGCCGCGACGGACTTGGTCGCGCCAGGGGAGGTCGGCGATGGCTTTTCCTTGGGGCGTGAAGGTGGAGTCATAGGACATCTATTTATTTAGGGTTGTATGCGTTAGGAGTTTTGGTCTTGATTGATTCATTGAGGAGAGGGATAGAAGGAGGAGGGAAGACATACACTAGCCATAAACAAACCGAAAACACCACCGAGACCGAAACCCATCGTACCGGAGATAACAGTCTTAATGGGACAGGACTCCATAGCCGCATACATCTATAATATCACCAAAAGAGAATCCGTTAGCAAATCTTAACCACAAATCGATATATCGCCGCTCCATCCAAGAACGGAATACTCGTCCCGGTCCCGAAGCTCCGACCCAAAGGCGAGAAAGACATACCATCTTAACCATCATCTGTTCCTGCTCGCTCATACCCTGCATGTTGGCTGGACCGCTGGCACCGGCGCCGCCCATACCGCCCATGCCTCCGCCGGCAGGGGGTGCCATTCCTGGGAAATTCATGGTGAAGATGAGAGGTGTTGGCGAGATCGGATGGAGTAGACGTGGATGTTGGTGTGGGGTGACGGAGGACGAGACTAGCAGCGGGAAGCAATGCCTGCTATACGGAAAAAAGACAGAAAGAAAGAAAGAGACCGGAAAGAAAGGCCGGGATCAACAGCGCTGGTGGAGGAAGAAGACGGTGATGGTGATGCGCCCCGGACTTTTTGCGGAGAAGGCGTGGCGACTGTCGCAAATTTATTCCCGGCGGGCGGGACGCACCATCTATGCAGTTTGGCACGTGACTCTATCCTCGAGTCTACAGTCCAGAGCGAGCAGGTTTCTACCAGTTGGAAAATGCAGGCAAATAAATCGGTATAATTTTTATATAAATATAAATAATCGAAACAAAACTTAAATACAATCTTCTTGCAAGAGCCAAAATATCGTAACGAACGTGGAGAAGGGAATAGTATAATAAACCAGATCTTAAGACAAAACGAGCGACGAGAATCATAAAAGAATGTAAGTCGAACGAAACGAAAAAGAAAAAAAAAAAAAAACATCATATAACAAACAACGCTTCTCGTAAAGGGTATTAGGATCAACTGTCGTAACCCTGCGTTATCCATGTTGGTCTCATGCTCAAATCTAGCGAATCTGTCCACCAAAAAGATAAGAATAACAAAAACAAAAGAAGTAGGTCGCGCATGCACTGTGCGTCTGTCTGTCCATATCCATATTTACAGTATCACCGTGAGGTGGCGTCGAGATGGCTCATATATGAATGGCGCGAAGTTGTATAAATGAAACGGCAAAGAGAAAGGTAGAGTGATTAATCGGTCTTGTCGTCTTTATCAAGAGTCGGAGAGTTGGGCCCGGATAGACTGCGTTCCCATTCCGCCATCAGGTTCGATGCGGTTCGGGTTAGTTTCGAAGAGGGCCCCTTGGCGATGGCGGGCCAGGGGATGCCGTCGGCCACGCTGGGGTCGAGAATGGAAGAATCGTGGATCGGACGCCATTCGCCGAAGCTAGAGCACCAGTCAGCGCATAGACTGTTAGACAGGGTGGAAGTCAGCAATCTCAAACGTACCTGGCACTCGTGCGAGGGCTACTGCCCTGGGTCATCGGGGACTGGTCATGTTTCGATTCTAGCGTGGAGCGACTCGAGGACGGGGTGTGCATTTTCTTCGGCTGCGGCGTGTCCCAGTCATCGTTACCCCAATTGTCGTCAACTTCGAGGTTGTTGGATTCGTCGGCTCCGCGGGTGTTGGTGCCGGAGGCTGCGCGAGCGTTCGGGGACTTCTGCCCAGTTGGATCAATGCCGAATTCACTCCAGAACGACGAATCTATGTCCGCCGATTTAGAGTCTTTACCAGAAGTTTTGGCCCCCGACGACGAGGACGACGGAGACCGCGATGCCTTGCTTCCCTGCACCGACAACCGATCTCTGCTGCGAGACGCCGAGCTCGAATCCCGCGGGCGGGGCGGCGCCATCGCCCTCGACTCGGTCGCATTAATTCCCTCCTCTCCGACCGTGGCCTGACGGATATCCTCGAGGAAGGTCCAGAGACCCTCTCTCAGATCCGAGGCCATTTGCTTGCCCGTGCGCACAAGCGCCTCGCGCGACGGCGGCGGCATCGTCTTCCACTCCGCCAGCTGATCGTCCGGTTTTTTGAGATTGGCAACCGCCATAGGACTGCGCTCCACGGACGGCAGAGTCGCAGATCGCGGAGGCCGGCCCACACGAGCCACGCTCTCTTCCACTTCCTGCTTGAAAGTCGAGGTGCCGGGGACCGGCGAGAGCAACGACAACGCCCGGGTGTGAGAACCCTGGAAGACTCGTCGCCCGTTGGTAGAGACGGTGGTTCCCTTCGCCGCCGCGGCGCGCATACTCTGCCTGCGTCCCAGCTCCCGGCTGAATCGCGGATGATGGGCCGCGGACGACGGGCTCTCGGAGCTGCCGACGCTGCTGTCTCTGTAGTGGCGGGCGGTTTCATCGACGACGGGACCGGGGCGATCCGGGGATCGCAGAGGAATCAAGGGCTCGGCCCGTTGATTGATCTCCGTCCGTTTCTTGGTCTTCTCGGACACCGCCCATTGTTTCTTCAATGAGTCGAGCTCGGTCTCGGCGCGGGACAGCTCCTCGCGGAGCTCCAGCACTCGCCGTTCCTGCGACGCGATGGCCGTCAAAAGACCCGAGCCGTCGTCCTGGTCATCGGCGAACTGCAGGGGAGGATCGAGGGGAAGAGCGGCGGGGGACTGAAGGGCGGAGGGCCGCGTGATGGGCGTCATGGAAGCCGGAGTCGAGGCGCCGGATTCGAAGGCGTTTGGGGGGATGTTGATGGGAAAGTTGAGGGTTAAGCGTTTGGCGTGGCGAGCGGCACCATGAGGACGGGCGGGGAGGGAGGAGCGTTTCTGCTGAGTCTTTTGACGCTGAAGATCCGCAGAGGAGTCATTTGCAGGGGTCGCAGGGGTTGCAGGGGTCGCCAGGTCATGATGGTCCAGGTCCAGCAGCAAAGGTTGGGACGCATCCGGCGCAGCTCCCGCCTCGACCAACCCGGGGAAATCACCCATGACGTGTGACCAATTGAGTGATAAACAAGCACTATAGAAGGCAACTCGACGGTCTCATGACATGCAGAACAAATCACCAGGAAATCTCACCCCGACAAATCAGCAATCCGGTCCGATTTGAGCAAGGCAAGTGAAGAATCCAATAAACAATATCTCAAATCCCGTTCAAATCGAGGAGGGCAAGCGAGGGCAGCGAAAAAGAACGTAAGAAAACAACAACAAGCGCAGGCCAAACAACGTGAGCAAGAAACCGAACCACCCAAACCGGGGGGTAGAAAGAGAGTGTGAGAGAAGGACAGAAGAAGGAAAAGAGTTGGGGACGGAAGCAATTAAAAGGTCTGGCCGCGGGTCAGCTCCAACTAACGATTTAGCTGGATGTTGGCCTCTTGTCACTGGGGTCTTTTTTTCTGCCCTGGATTTGATTTCTAATTTCTAGTTATGTATATTTTTCTTCCGAATTAATTATATTTTCCTCCTTATTTACCGACATAATCCAGTTCACCGTCCAGCAGCAAAGGCCAGACTTTTCCGGGCGGGTCGAGCGCGCATCCTTTCCGCCTGCAGCGTCGCGGCCTTCGCTCTCAGGGGTAATTTTTCCCAGGCAGGACTGCCCGGGCCGTTTCATTCCTATTCTTAGGCGGCTTAATCTCGAGGGATGCGATGCGCATATCCTGATATGCGCAGTCCAAATGGATACTGCTTAATATTGAGGACTCCTGGCGGCGGACAGCTGGTCGGCAGGATGGGCTGTCCATCCCAATATCCAGGTCCAGCGACGGAGTATATCCACCGTCATGGAGACTCCCTTGCGTGGTTCTCTCCGCATGTGGTTGACCGTTGACAGCAGCACCTGAAACTCGGAGCATTTCTATTAGGCTATGCGATTCCCACGAGAGGTCTCCACCGCTAGCATATCCGTTCGGGAAGTGCGAATGGCGGTTGCAATTCGGAAGAAATCCACCGGTACCGAACAATCACTCGGATGGCACAAGTATAACTAACGGTGAACACAACTTGCCGGTTTTGGATAAGCGTATTTTCCCAGTATATCCATCGAAGATGTCCCTTGGCCCCAATGACGAAAAAGTAAACAGAGCTCGCTCGTATTATCCCAACCGGTTTGTTTTCTTGGCATGGGGGAGTACCTATAAGCGATCGGCCATGATTAAATGTCCGATAACTTGGATCACATGGTGAGATATTGTATTTGTATCTTGGTAACAACGTTGTTGCCAGGCGCTATTGTTTAGGGCCGGGAGGCTTTTGTTAGTCTACACTTTGTAGGTCAACAAGTACTGACACACGTCGTACTTTCGCGAAGATAGAGTGAAAGAAAGAAGAATATTATAGGGCTCAAGATAAGGAAGTCGAAGCATAAGAGTTCACAGACATATATAAGATGCTGTCAGATTTAACGACTGGAAAACATGGTAACATATTTTTCTTCGGGCTGCTTTATAAAGGTCTATACCTGTTCTGTCACTTGGCAGGATGGGATATAAGTCCTCTTTCAAGCTTATAGAGATGCTCTGCTTAGATACCCATAAGTGATCAGCATCGTGGCTTTCTATCATAGAGATTTTAACCTTTCAAGGCTTATAGAGCACTCTCGGCGATCGCAACACAGTCAATCTCAACCTTCAAACACTATCAGCCTCTTATACAAGCATGAGGTGATATTGCATAACGTAGCGACTTACTTTAGCACCCCGTCCTAGCTCTGAAACGGTGACACAGACTCTAGCAGGCTTTGGGTCGGGTACAGAGGCGATGTCTGTTGATTGATAAGTATTGCTCACGTGCTGGTTATGCAACTTGGGGGACTCATACAGACAGCATTCATAGCAGCGAAATCAGCTATATTGGTGAGGTAGATATTGACCTGCTGAATATTCAGCTTGAGCACTCCCATGGCATTCATTCTCAAGGAACAGTAACCTTCAGCATCCTGGTGAGGTCACTCCCTACGGTGCGAAGGACCGACTCGAGTAAGCCGAGAGCCGCTTTCTGCGACAGTTAGTGACGGCACATGTCATTGAATATGTTGTTTTCTTTTCATTCTTACAGTCTGTTCAGCCACGTCGTCTGACACAAGTCCCCCGTTTTGGCGTCGACACCAATCTTTCCGCTGCAGAAGACAAGCTCATTGTGGACGATCGCTTCTGAGAGAATTGGTGACAAGAAGTCTGGTCGGTTGATAGCTTGTCTGGAGGCCATTTTCGTTGCAAGATCTAGATTGAAGAAGGACATTGTTGTTTTGGGATTTCAGTGAATTAGATAGATTTAAAGCGTGGCATATCTGCTTAAGTAGCTGTCTACTCTTCACCGGGACAGTGTCGAGCTTCATCCACTCGGGGCTTACCGAACCGGGAGAGTCTTTCAACATCCTTCTCAGTCCCCGGAAATGTCCATCTTAGCGTCCCAGACGAGGAGACAACGAAACGAGCTCTTCGTATTCCTCCGAGCGCACCGAAGGTGAACTTATTGACTGATCGTGGCTCACAACCAGATACCTTTTGCACACATCATCCAAAATGCTTTCCTAAGGCTACTTTTACATAGTAAATGAGTTCAAGCCCACGGGCTCATTGACTGATTTTGCGGACCTAAATTATGAACCATGCCCATTGGCGCTATCCAGTCCATGATCCGCCATCGGCATACTGCTGCGGAATAGGAACATCATCAATCAACTCACTCAACAGCCAATCCACCCCAACAGAAAGACCCGCATCCTCGATCCCAGCCACCCACTGCGGCAACTGTTCCGGATACGTATCTTTCCCGGGGACCAGCGCCGTCGGGGCTACTAAATTATGATCCTGCTGCAGGTCCGCCATCATGGTCATAGTGCGGCTGGCCAGGGCGTCAAAAACATCCCGATACGGCGCCGCATCGGGCCATCGTTCCGCCAGGATCACAAGGACCATTGTACAGTCCATGCAGGTGCTACTGACTTGGTCATGGCGAGAGGCTTCCCGGGCGGTCGGTGACGTCCACAGACAATAGAGGTATGTCAGGCCTGCGAGGAACAGCTCGTGCAGGGCACTCCATGTATAGGTGATTGGTTTTCCGATGGATTGGCGACGGTAGCTGTGACAAAGCGCCTTGGCGGCGTAGAGGCATTTTAAGAAGATTTCGTCGGGTGCCGGATCCTTGGTGTCGGTGATCTGGATGCGGTAGAGCTGCAGCACGGCGTAGTTGTAGTTGGTTTCGTACCAGTCCGGGGTGACGAAATATGAGAGGGCGCCGCCTTCGGGCGGAATCATGGGAGGAGGGGACTCGGCCTTCCACTTTCCAAGGTCGGTAGATAACTCTTGCACACGGACTTTGCGGATGTCGGGGTATAGGAGAGTACTATCGGAGTAGAGAGCCGTTTGGATGCAACCGAGAAGGCTGCGAATTCGGAAGCCGTGGATAGCGTGGGTCATCATCGTGGGCGGTTCGGCTGGTGAAGACCGCGGGGAGCCACAGATGCCTGTTTGCGAGAGGTAGGTTTCCTCGATGTCCAAAGGGAACTAGAATTCCCAATTAATTATAAGTAAGCAGCACGGAGTGATATAGAATAAACAACAGTACCTCCGCGTCAATCTCTCGGAAGTGAAGACTCAATGGTCGTCCTAGCATAACTGCAGCCGAGCACTCCATCACATACGCGCTCCAAAACGCCCTCTTTTGCATCTCTTGTTGTAGTGGGTTCAGAATCGACCTCAACCTCCTCTGGCTACGATGATAGCCGAGATTGACGCATTGGCGTAACGCTTGCCCACCCAGCTTCCTGTGATGTGTAAGTTTGTAAGTATGGCAGGCGAGACTAAGACAGTTACCAATGCGATATGCCCTTCGAAGATCGGAGGGAGTATGCAGCGCAACATAGTATTGCTTGGATACATTGTAGATTATCATGACATAATATGTCATCGATATAGAGCATGGCGGAGACGTATAGTTGCTCGGCCGAGTACCCGGTGCTGGGCAGTAAGATGGCTCCAATGGCGTATACCTAACATCAACATTAGAACATTGCCGTAAAGAGTGGCGTGAGAGCTGTGCATACCATGTTCAGAAAGTATAGAGGTACAGGGTTGTAGGCGAAAGTACTGATCCCCTCGAAAGGATCCTCCAGTGCAGCCTCCCACACGCGGAAAGTTGGCTCATGTATGAACGGGTACTGAGGATGGATGTTCTGAAAGTATGCATTACTCAATCTGACGGCCGCGCGGTAGTCTGGCAGCGGGCATGGCTCCGGGATTGCGCCATGAGCATCGGCAGCCGGCCTGGAGACATTGGGTGATAACGACGATACCACCTGGCGAAGCGATGGTTTGATAAAACGCGCAAAGGCAAACGTAGAGGACGGACCTAGATAGCTGGGCTCTGCTCCCGCCGCGTTCAAGCTCAGCGTGCCAATTATCGAGGGCAGGCCACCAAGGTCATTCCGATCGTCGTCGACAGGGGCAATGCTAGCATGTCCAGGGTTGGCAACAGGCGGCCCGTTTGGCGAAGGAACGGAATCACTTGTTGCGCTTGAACGTGCATCCTGTAGCATATTCTCTAGCAGGATGACACGTTGTTCCAGCGTCTCCAGGTAATTCCGCGGTTGATGTCGCTTTGTTGCAGGGTCCTCGACCAGGCAAACTACGCTTCGTGGTTACCCAGGACATTCGACAAGATGGCACCATCGGATCCCTACCTAGATTATTACGCCGACAGTTGCTGCATGCTGGAACCTGTTCATCGCACTATGCACATGAACCGAGTTAGTCACGGCGTTTGGCACATCTAACAGAGGATGAGTCCTAACCCTGAGTTTACGGTCTTTGCAGCTTATACACGCCACGAGCGTCCTGCTACCGGTGCGTACGCGCTGTGCAGCGCCTCTCTTGGGTCGACTTCTCGAGGGATCAGGCATATTCCGTAACCATTTCCGGAGATTATTTCATAGAATGGCTCTCGATTCAGATACAATTATGGAGATAGTTACCCCGCAAATACATGACTCAGCTGATTGCCGGGTGGCGGTTTCCAATTGCCGGGCTATAGATAACAATAACAATTGATTTAGATGTGCTTCGATACCAAGATACTATCCTGACCCCAAAACGAATAATAGTGAACTCAGCTCTGTGGGAGGGGCCACTGATATGCTCACGCCACCGAAATGATTATCGGAATATAAGAGGAACGTAGTAGCTGTTGATTATTGGCTCAAATCTTGACCCTCGGAGGAATACGAAGGACCAACAAGAAAGCCCATCTTCGCTCAACCATAGCTCGGCAGTCCCCGATTGTCGGATCCACATCGTGGGGAGCACACCATAGTAAAAAACGGATGCAACATCGAGCAATGTTGTGTTTGCTCGGATTTATAACAGACTTTTATCGTCTCTTATCTCCAACTACAGGATAATTTTGCCTCAAGGGTCACCAACTATCTTCTATCTTGGCAGCATAATCTCTCCAACTGCATGACCACAATGGCATCCCGACTTTCTAGCAAATCATCGCCAATCGTGATCGTGGGCGCTGGTATCTTTGGCTTAAGCACAGCCATCCACCTCGCAGAACGCGGCTACAAGAACATAAAAATCATCGACAAGCAAGCATATCATGAATCGCATTATTCCTTCGACAAAGGCTGCGATGCTGCCTCAGCAGGTAGGTAGACCATTTCTTATTCCCCATATCAGCTTCTAACGTCCAAGCAGACATCAACAAGATAATCCGCACGGCCTACGGCTCCGAGATATGGTACCAAGAGCTTGCACTCGATGCCGTCGACAAATGGAAGAAATGGAACAACGAGATAAGAACGGGAAAGACACTTCCTCCCGGATTTTCTACCAATGATGCACTCTTCGCCAATAACGGGACCCTCACGATCACCTCGGATATGTCACTACCACAGTTCGAGAAAGAAACCATTCAAAACATGACGAACGCAGGTCTCGGAAACACGCAGATCAATCTGAGTCATCTGGACGAGGTAGCTCGCGCGAGGAACAACGGCTTCGGTTTCGCTGTGGACGCTTTCAACCTGAAAGATAACCTTGCCTTACTTGACACTCATGCGGGTTTCGCGTACGCGGACAAGGCCTGTCGTTTCGCGCTATACAAGGCAGAAAGCTTAGGCGTGCAAGTCATTCTCGGAGGCAAGGAGGGCACATTCTCAAGCTTTCTCGAGGCTGCAGATTCACATATCACCGGGGTGCGCACGGCCGACGGTGTCTCACACTCTGCCGAGTTGACCATCATGGCCTGTGGCGGATGGACTCCATCGCTTGTCACCCAACTGGATCATCTCTGCGAGACGACGGCCGGAAGCGTCGCCCTGTTCCAGCTATCGCCTAACAAAGCTCTCTGGGATCGATTTGCCCCCGAGAACTTTCCCACCTGGTCGTAAGTAGCCATAGATATCTATCCGACCACGCGAGAAGCAACGCTAACCTAGTCTGACTCCCCCCTTCAGATATAACCTTCGACATGGTAAAAACGGCGGTCTATACGGCTTCGCCCGGGATCCTCACGGCGTCGTGAAGATGGGATACCGGGGTACAAAATTCATCAACCCCCAACCACAAGCCGACGGTGCGACCAGAAGTGTCCCCAAGACACGATGGACGGAGGAATCCATCCGCCAGATCCCAGTCACGGCAGCGCGGGTGTTCAAGGGTTTTGTGCAAGAGTTCCTACCGGAGTTGATGCAATGTGAGATGAAGACCAGGTTATGCTGGTACACCGATTCATACGACAATCAGTTCGTCATTGACTTTGTGCCTGGCAAGGAAGGGCTGATGGTTGCGACGGGAGGCAGCGGCCATGGGTTCAAGTTTCTTCCGAATATTGGGGAGCATGTGGTGGATCGGATCGAGGGGAAAGAGAATGGTTATCTTCCGTTGTGGAAGTGGAGGAAGTTGAGTGATGGGGAGAAGCCTTTTAATCATATCATGCAAGGCATGGGTAGTGAACGGTCACTGCAGCGTCAGACCTTGACGGCGGAAGATGATCTCTCAGAGAAGCCTAGTCGATTGTGATTAAGGACTGTCGTGAAGACCACAAGGAGATAGAGATGTTCATTAGTTAAGGAAGCGACGCAGTGGTGACTGGCTAGCTACATACTTTTGCGCTCAGTGCTTTGGTGAGTAAGTGCCCCATATAGAACCTCTCGATGGGAGTTAGCTTGTTACTATTCATGTTGTTCCTAATGTATGTTCTCCTGTGATTAGGACGCTTAGATGACACCTTAAACATGTCATCTGAAGGATGATGCTCATTCAATGACGTCTCATTTGTGCATATAGGCTAGTTGTTTGCATATTGGCTGCGTTGAATCCATATTGAAGAAAGACTACCTAATACCTCTTGGTCTGGTAGATCGGAGTATAGATTCCTTTCTCAAACAGAGAGTATCTACATCCCAGCTTCTTCCAAAGAAGCCTCCGCCGAGAAAATATATTATCTGCCGCTTCTCGTGGGACGATTAGCACTTGTCATCACTATGTTTCTCATCTTTGTTAGTCCTAAAATCATTTATGTCAGCTTTACCATCAACCCAAAACAGCCGGGTGAATACACTTACCAAGATCTATCCACCCAATCCCCACCAGTCCCAGGACATCCTTCAACAACAATCGTCCTAGCACCCCGATGAGCATTAAACCAGGGACCCCTAAACAACTCTTCTATCTCCTCGACGCTCAGCCCTGCAATCTCTGGGACCATGAAATAGGTATAGAGAATGCTGACGGCACACCAGCCCGCAAAAAACAGGAACGCGCCCCACTTATTAAAGCTGGATAGAATCGAGGGCATGCTATACTGCATTCCGTAAATAAACAGCCAGTGAAACGCCTGGCCTACGGCACCGCCGAACGAACGGATTCGGTTGGGCCAGAGCTCACCACCGAAGAGGTATGGGAGAATATAAAGCCCTGAATCCCGCATCAGTTTCATCCATCAGTCGTTCGGAAATTGTTATTCAAGGGAGAAATAAGGGGGAATATGCGGATTCGATAAACTAACCAACACCATAGCCAAAAGCGTGAATAAAAAGAGCTGCAATTGCAGCGTTAGAGGCGGATTGAGGAACCGGTCCTTTCTGCGTATATCGGATATAAACAGCGAGATAGACATGCGTGATCATCTGAAGACTGGCACCGACGAAAAGAGAGTTCCGACGACCCAGGGCGTCGACGAAGAAGAACGTAGCGATCAAAACGAAGAAAAATTTAGCCAGGCCATACATGCCGCTCAGGAACATGGAATGAGCCGTGTCGCCTCCAGCACCCACGATCTCGAGAACCGGCACCAAGTAGGAAGTAATAAGATTTGCGCCGGAAAGCTGGGCGAGTGCATAGCACATGATGCACTGCTGAAGTCGTCGGAGATTCGAGGGGATGGTAAACGTTTCTTTAGCAATAGCCCAGAAACTGGAGTTTCCGACTGCTTCGGCGGTTCTATTGATGTCGTCTTCGATATCCCTCAGCTCTCGCTCTACGCGAGGGTGGTCAGCTGGTAAACCGCGCAGCTTGACTAAAGCGGCGATGGCTTCCTCGCGACGATGGACCAGGAAGAGCCAACGAGGCGATTCACTGACGAAAAAGGTGGCAATCATGCAGAGAGCCATAAGAACTATCGGTGTGAAATAGACGATCTGAAATTGCAGATTGCTGACAGGAACATGGCGGTAGACGCCTAGAGCGCAGAAGACGGATCCAAAGAGTCCGACATTCATCAGGAGAATAAACCACGATGTGAGAAGGCCTCGGATTTCCGCAGGGGCAATCTCAACGATGGACATTGGACCGCTAACGGTAAGCGGCCCGAGTCCCAGACCTTGAATAACGCGAGCGGCATAGAGGACTTTGACGTTTGGAGAGAAGACAGCCATCAAGGACCCAACACACCAGATGAGGGTATATAGACGAAATGACCAAATTCGGCCAATCAAGTCATTCACGAGAAAGGTCAGGGCAGCGCCCACCCCGAATCCTACGTAGACGATGGAAATAAAAGTGCGGATCTCGTCCGCGTTAGATCCAGAGCTGATCTTGAAGTGATTTTGGAAGCCAGGGAGGGACGGTATAACCGACGATGCACCCTGATCCCAGACTAAACAGAGAAACGAAAATAATCAGTTGGTGTTACTATGGAGGAGAAGGCTTGGTGCCCTCCACATGCATACATGTGTATACTTACTGACTGGAACGCCTCCGACAGCGTAAATAAAACATGAGAGCATCAAGTGACGGTTAAGGATAATTTCCCGGGGTGCTCCGCGGATGGCCTTGCCATATCCTGCTAGTGGAGATCTGCGGACAACGTCTTTGACAGTCATTGTGATGTAGATTTTGACATGCTGCTTGGTGGGCTGACCTTGAAATTTGAAGTTTGACCTTGGTTATCAAGACATCCTATGCATGGCAACGCTAATTGGACATAGATCAGCAAATGTATTCGCCGAGAATAAGATATCGGATTCCCCCGAACGCCACCAGCTTAGCTTCGTATTCCTCCGAGTTATCTCAGATCCTTGTTTCCCCGCGTCCGGGGAACCTTGGTCTTCCTAGTTTATTGTGGACTAGCGTGTCATGGTAAAGATAGTAGTGATAAGCCCCAGTACGTAATTGTTGCCTATCTGATCAGACCACACTGTACTTATATTACAGTGTTATGATCCTATCAAGGTATGAATGGCCTAGTTAGAATTCAGCTTTTATGCCTTGGGATGCAGCGCAGCATAGTTTGAGAATTCGCAAGCTTGTCAGGAGATAGCGTGTTAAAAGAGGAAGAGTACGGGATGTCAGCAGTTTTCTATTTTGCAGCTAATAGTGTCTTCATGTGGAACTATCCGGGAAATCACAGTTTGGCAACACGCAACTCAAACAGACAATTTTCTTCTTCTCTCGTGGCTTCAAGAAAAGCATAGCTCCGCATCTTTTGTGACTATACGATTGCAGTCCACTTTGAAAAACATCTCCATGGCTGTTTTCTTGGAAACCTTTCCGGAGTCCAGTCGAGGTATCATGGTCTCACTCTCAAAGACCCGGAGCGCCTTTGGAAGCATAAATTCGGGCACACGAGCCGCCAAATCTGCACGAATATCCTGCAGCATATGTTCGTGTCGCTGCAGGACGCAAAGTGCTCCATTGACCCGTTGGAAGCGACAAAGCACGCCTACTTCGTTGTCAATGGTATCACCTTGAACTGGTAGAGCGTACGCTTCAGCAATGTATGGCAGCTTTAAAAGCTCACTTTCTAACTCCAGGACAGGCACTAGGCCCCCTGCAGACTCGATAACTAGAAATACGAGCTATATTAGCGATTGAAACAGAGACATAATCGAAGCACTTACAGTCCACTGATGCTCGACCGTCCATCACATAATTATTGCCAACTTTATGAGCAAGATCCCCGGTTCTGTAAAAGCCGGCTTCATCGAAAACGCTAGCATATGGTATTCTATTGCCCAAGTATCTAGAGTAGTGAAGGTTTCAGTGAAAGAATCAGCCGATTGTAGGACAATGAGGGGCTATACCCGATAAATGTGAAGGGGCCTTTGATCAAGAGTTCCCCGCTGTCTCCATCAGATAGCTTTATCTCGTAATTTGGAGAGACTGGTTCCCCAATGCAACGCTTTTATAAGATCAGAAAGACGATTACATCAAGCGCGTTTGTTGGTGACTCACCTCCAGCTCGATTCCGGGTGCAAGGCGAGTTATCACATGGCATAACTCCGAACTTCCATACGTGACCGTCAAAGGCTTCCTAAGAGTATCCCTCCAATATCGTAATAAGGACATAGCCGGGACCGCTCCACTGATGAAAGCGTACTTGATCTTTTGTACTGCGTTGAGGTACTCTTCTCGCTGTCTCTCTGGGAGGTACTGGATGCTGTCCTGGTAGTACTGAGCCAGTCTATCGTATAGCGGCGGTGTAGAGATTACATGCGTAATACCAGCCGAGCGAACCACTTCCCAAATCTCATTGGGTTGACTATCCGGGTCAACGATCTCTGCTCTCTGTCCACAAAGGACTGAAATCAGAACAGGCAGGGCACCTCCTGCCCAATTCACTGGACGAGAGACCAACATGACCTCGTCGGGTCCCGCGGGTGGGCGGTTATAGAATAACTCGCGACTATGAATCACCCCCTTTGGCAAGCCTGTAGAGCCTGATGTGAAAAAGCAAATGGCTGGCCTTGACCCGGATATAGTCATCTGCTTATCGATGTGGATTAGGGGGCCAGAAGGGGCTTCCATCATGGTTATGATTGGTATCAACTCCACTCGACCAATACCTAGACAAGAAGCGCGTTCTTGTATCCGTGGGACTCGTTCGGAGAAGGCCGATCCAACGAGAACGCATAATAGTGAATCCTTTTCTGCAATCTGTATCAAATCATCGGTCGGGAGGTGTTTTGCTGAACAGTCGTTAACTACCTATACTCCCTCCGCAACAAGGTAATAAGACCTACGCAATGGAATTACCATCCCACCCAAGGCGAGAACTGCGAATGCGGCAACGATAAACTCATAGTTTGGCTTGCCTAAGTAGCCAATATGTAGGGTTTGGTCGAATATCAACTGTTCCGATGACATGAAATCCGATAAACGAGTTCTCAGGAGGTCACGCATTTGAAGAATATCGCTTATGAGTTGGTGATAGGTTACGCTAAGGCCGGTGGAGGAGTCATGGCAAACAATTTGATCTTTCGATTGAGCAGTGGTCGCTAGTCTCCGAAAAATAGGATCATCTGGGAATCGGATGCTCATACTTGCCCCGCCAGTATACCTGACCGTGCCACCCATTTTGGCAAGCGGATGTTGCACAATGAAACCGTGTTGAGGAATGGAAGAGTATAAGCAGTTGTGCGGTACAATAGAGAAACAAACTCAGGACAAGATATATTTGAGACGAAATGAATGCTGACCTGGCACAAAGTTAAATATGCCGTGTTGGTATGCAGAAACTAATAGACGCGCTTTTGGCCTTAGCGAGACAGCTGTACTCAAGGTTGGAAGACTCATTTATTTGCCGATTATGCACCGTGACGCATTGGCATCGACGTTTGCATCATGATGTGGTTAATCCCTATTCGCTAGTCAGGTCATTTTGATACATCATTGCACCGAAAAGGAAGGGGGAAAAGCGGTGACAGTATTTTATAGGAAAAGTACGGAGGTTTGCTCCGAATGTGACTGATCAGAATCGACTAGGGTTATTAAATGGCTGAGCAGTAACTAACATGATAACGGTTCACTCAATGTCTTGCTTCCCTAAGAAAGAGGCGGTGGAGCACAAGCATACTTCTATCGAAAGTTTCTAACTCTTATCAGATTAGTTATCTGTAAACATAAACAGGAGGCTTAGTATAACCCTAGCAAACATGATAAATCGAGTTCCTTTAGGATCATTGACGGCGAAGAAAGTAGATGGGAGCCCAATAGGACCTATTCAGAATTCACAGTATATTCATCTCAATTGGCCACCACAGACAGCCCTTGTTGAGACGGGCGCAGGAACAGTACACAAAGATAAGCACAATAAAGAAAGAAAAAGCAGAATCTACCTACTCAACGCAAATGAGTAATGCAATAATTCACAATCCCAAAGTGGAAAACATTCGGCCTGATCTTGACAGACCGCCATAACCAAAACTGCGCCAGAGTCCAGTAGTGGGACGAGAGTTGAAGACTGAAAGAAGAAGATGAAAGAAAGGAAGATTGGCTGACAGGCAGGAATTTCACATCCATACTCGCAATCCTGTCCAAAAGAACCGAGGCAACGCTGCTGCGTTCGAGGGAACCCCTCCGTCCTGGGTGTTATCGACCAGCAGCTAAACCCAAAAAGGAGGGACCAGAAAGGTGACAGTTATTAAACCCTCCTAGAAACCTTGAAGTAAGCGAGCGGAAGGTTGATGCGGAAAGAAAAAGAGAAAGATGTCCGAAGAAAACGGAAAAGAAATATACAGATCATCAACGCCCCAAGAACCGTTTGTACATACGAACAAAAGATCGACAAAAAGAAAAGAGAAATAAAACAGTCCTGGTCTGGAAATTAGACAGGCCTAGGTATACTCAGACGGCGAATTAAAGCCCTGGCCAACGATTACGAAGGCCTTCGGACCACCGTTGATAAAGCACGTCCGAAAGTTGCTTGGTGTGCTCCATCCCGGGCACTTGTTGACCCGGAAGATTCGCTAGCTGCGCCGGCTGCAGGTTCGAGTCGGTCACTACCGACGATTGACGCCGCCGGTGGCTTTTTAGATGTGGGTTATTTTGCGCCAAAACTAGTCGTGGCCTTTGTGGGGATTCGGGTGCTGGTGGAGTTTGTGGAACAAGAGTTGACAGCTTCGGATCTCTGGTTCGGAAAAAAGCCAAAAGGTTAGCAACAGCTTCGTGATCGGCGGTCAAGTGAGTCAAGACTTACGCTTGGAGTCGCTCGTTTGTGGCTCTGAGGATATGATACAGACCCTCAGGGTCCACCATTTCCAGGTCACTCCAGGCCTCGGCCAGTCGCGAAATGGCCTCTCGCTTCTCCTGGTCGCCGGTCGTTCCCAGCACCTCCTGGCAGGCTATTCCGACGGCTTTGCTGTATGCTCGACGTCCTAGTTGGGTTTCCTTGCTGTTTGTGTCGGGCGACTGGACATATTTGGGACTGAAGTTCTCATCCGACGCAATTGGACACGACGTCGCATAAGGACTGTCGCCCGGCATTTTTTCCGACACTCGACGGAATTGACGGGCTGCCGATGGACTGTTGCCGAAGGTCAAATCCACGCCCAAAGGCTGCTTTACTCCGCTTGAGCGTCGCTTCCTGGTGGTTCGTCGTATCGAGGGGCTGCGGTCGGGGGCGGGAGTGCGTCTAACGGCCGTGTTCACGTAGAGCGGCTGCTTTTGAGGTGGACTCGAGATGTGCAGATTTTCCATTATCTCGGATGGCTCCTCCTCGTATGGGTAGTATTCGGGCTCTGGCTCTGGCTCGTCCATATCGTATGGGTCTTCGGGGATCGTCATCGTCGGCGCTTTCACGGTGTCGAATACCCATCCGTCGTCGTCCTGCAAGTGCGTGATGGTGTTACTAGAACACACCCAGTTAGTATGACCTCAGTATTTGGGATGGTCGTTGAACATACAGTGACTCCGCATAGTACTTGACGTTCCGCGACACCCCTCGTCCGCCATCCCAGTCCTGTTTCCGCTGGATTAGCTCCTGCAGCGCTTCAGTCTTCCCCGCGTTCCGGATGAATTTGTGTCGGAGGAGCTCCTTCGCACTCGGTCGTCGATCCGGATCCTTCGTCAGGCATTGCGAGATGAAGTCCTTGAATGCGCTGCTGTACTGGTTGCCTTCCAATCGAGGAGCCGGTTCTTTGGGGATCAGGAAAAGCACTTTCATCGGGTGAGTGCTAGCATGCGGCGGTTCTCCGTTGATCATCTCAATGGCCGAAATTCCCAGCGACCAGATATCCGCCTTGTAGTCGTACCCCGCTTGCTGGATGACCTCGGGCGCCATCCAGAACGGCGTGCCGACAAAGGTATTCCGCTGGGACTTGATGTTGATGAGCTGCGCGGCGACTCCGAAATCCGCCAGCTTGACTTTCCCCGTATGCGACAGGAGGACGTTGGCGGCTTTGATGTCGCGGTGGATTTTTCCCTCGCTGTGCAGGTAGTCCATTCCGAGTAGCAATTGCTGACAGATGATCGCGACGTGCGCCTCGTTGAATACGCCCGGTTTCAACTGTGATAGTTAGCGAATACTCCTCCCATTTTGTGAAACGGAGAAAATCTCTGGGGTCGCTACCAGATCAAGACATGACCCTCCGCCCAAATATTCCATCACAATCCACAGCTTGTGTCCGCGCAGAAAACTCGCTTTGTATTGCGTCACGAACGGGCTCGCGCATGTCGCCAGGACGGAGATCTCCTGCTGGATTTCCTGGATGTCATCTTCGCTGGACTCGAGATCGATCTGGAATTGAAGGTTGAGTGTTAGTCGGTTTGACAATCGACGAGCACGACAGCTAAATGCACGGCCACTTACATGCTTCACGGCCACGATCTCCCCGGTAGATTTTTCAATCGCCTTGTACACGGTCCCGAAACTTCCACCTAAACGCGCGAACAACACATCAGCTACTGCAATTGGTTCAATTGGTCTGGCAGACAACACGTACTCCCCAACTCCTCCATCATCTGGTAGTGACTCGACATATCCGACTCCATGGCTGCGGTTGGTTGCTGGCCGACGCCGAAAATGCTGCCCGACCTGGAAGCTCCACAAGCTTGCCTGAAAAAAAGATAAAGAAGAATAAAAGGGGGAAGAGGGCAACCCGCCAAACAACCAGTTTAGCTAGCTAGCTATCCACTTCCGGAACACGGTAGCTGAGCTGAACCAAGTCGATTGCGCCCCGACCTTTTCAGAAGTGGGATGGGAAGAGCTGGAGGGCTGGAAGAAAGAAGGAAGAATGACGGGAAGGGCTGGCAGGATAAGCAGCTATCGGGTCCATCGCATCCACTGGTCGGCAACCGGAGTCTTCCATGGTTCACGGGCAAACAACAGGTGCAAACAAGTTACCAAGGCTGGTAGCGCATGGCAACCGGCGCCTGAGGCAGCCAGTGTGCCCCGCTTAGGTAATTTCCCCGCACGGACGGAGGATTCCAGCATAATGCATGACTATCGATAAGCATAACTTGTACATTTACGGAGTAGTGTCCATGGGGATTTTAATGAGTCGATTTCTACATATAATTGCCTGCATACAATCTACTCTGTCCCTTACAAATGCCAAGTATCTCGGTAAATCCTTAAATTGGTATAAAACTTTTAATCACTCCTTCTATCTTTACAGGCCCCATGTAAGAACTCTAAATGTACTTGTAGGGGTTCATGATACCGTTCTAGTCATCTGTTAGTAAGTTGCCGACTGAAAGATTGCGGGGTTCGATACTCACCGGATCATACAAGTTCTTCAACTGCTTCATCAGCTTCACCATGGTCTCGTTCTGACTGTAGCCAATAAACTCCTTCTTGGCGAGACCCAGGCCATGCTCGGCACTGATACTACCGTTGCGCTTCTGAATCCACTCGTAGACCCAGGGCTCAATGGCCTTCTCGACATCCTTGCTGTACTGGCGAACGGCAATGTTCAAGTGCAGGTTCGAGTCACCCATGTGGCCATATCCCACGACAGCCCGCACGGGGAATGAGTCGTCGTCACCGACGAATCCAAGCTTCGTCAACCGTTCCCGGCAGTCATCAACCAGCTGGTACAGCTCGGGAAGAGGGATAGAGACGTCGTACTTGTAGGTGCCGCCCAGGTGGCTCAGGGCCTCCGTGATGCCCTCACGCCAGCGCCAGATCGACTGAAACTGGGTCTCGTCCTGGGCCAACACTCCGTCGGCAACGATGCCCTCGCCCATCACGGATTCCAGGAAGGTCTCCAGTTTCTCCATGTCGTGGTCGGGGTTCGATCCGCTGGTCTCCACGACGCAGTAGAAGGGGTACTCGCCTTCAAGGGGATACTTGTTGCCGGTGGACTCGTGGACCAGCTTCTGGCTGCGGCCATCCATCAGCTCGAAAGCGGAGAGAATCTCGGACAGCTGGCCCTTGGCCTCCTTGAACGCCTGGCGGACCTGCTCGAAGCTCTCCAGACCGAAGTAGGCCACATTCACGGCCTTCGGGCGGGGCGGGCACAGAATGGAAACGGCGGTGATGATACCGATGGTACCCTCAGCACCCACGAAAAGCTGCTTCAGGTCGTACCCGGTGTTGTTCTTGCGCAAGGTGGACAACGAATCCACAATCGTGCCGTCCGGCAAGACCGCCTCCAGACCCAGCACATTGCCATGCAGACTGCCGTAGCGAAGCAGACGCAGACCGCCCGCATTCGTAGCCACATTGCCACCGATATGGCAAGATCCCTTGGCGCCCAGATCCAGCGGGAAGAGGTGGTCTTTCTGCGCCAGATGCTGGTCCGCCACTTCGAGAATGACACCGGCATCGGCAACCAAGACGCCCGAGGCCTCGTCGAACGAGCGGATCTTGTTCATGCGCGACGTGTTGATCACGATCTCATCGAATACGGGCACCGACCCGCCCACCAATCCAGTATTTCCTCCCTGCGGCACAACCGCCAGCTTCCGCTCATTGCAGTGTTTCAGCACCTTGCTAAGCTCCTGGGCGTTCTGCGGCTTCAGCACCAGCCTCGTGTGTCCGCGGTACTTGCGCATCCAGTCGCCGTTGAAGGGCTCGATATCGTCGGCCGCGTCGGCCGTCACGCCATCGATGACGGCAGACGGGGCACCCAGCAGGTCCTTGAAGACTTGGACATCCTCGGCGGTGATCTCGGCGAATTTCGGGTCGCGTTTGAGGTCGGGGTAGGCGTTCGTGGTGTACTTGACCTCCTTGGTGGCCTTGACGGGGGCGGAGACGCTGAAAGCGCGGGTCGCATTCACGGTCGGGGCGCGAGGGGCAGCGGTAATAAGACGGATCGAAGGGCGGGGTTTGGGCACGCGAACCCGTCGCAGGACAGTTGAGAAATTCCGAGCACTCGACATGGTGTGTTTGTGGGGTGTGGGTGGGATTGACAAGGAGCAAGGACTTGTCGAACGGGCGACGAGCGGCTGTCTAAAAACCCGTCGGCGGCCTGCCGACTACGGAGCGATTTCCGTGCCGATGGCGGTCGGTCCGCGGCTGGGCGGATATTTCTGCTCTCTACATACTGTACGTTGACATCTCACTACTAGAACACTTCGGATATTCTACGCAGTCTTCTTATCGTTTCACGTTGCTTCATTCGGAGTTCTTGTTCCAGAAGATTAGAGTTGACATTACTTTTACTCAAAGTGCTCTACAAATCCAACGCCATTCTTGGCAAGCAAGGAGCTTTTATATATATCCGCGGATCTGAGCCATGTCTCTGATGCGCTGTGTCTCTGAGACAAGATGCTTAAGAAATGACCAGGAGTAAGACATTATTGCGTCTCGGTAATTGTGATCTGCCTTCTCTCCTATTGCTAGGTGTTCTCTCTTTTGAGCAAGCTGCAAGCATTGGCCCTTTCATGGCACCTTTATGCGCGCAACATCTAGGAATGTCTTTTTCTAGCACGGATCAATTCAACCATTCCTTTATTCATCAAGACATCCACTGTGTTTATTTCAATGATGAGGCCGGATCTCCCAGTGACCACCTGATACCTGAATTCCTACCCATGTATACTACCTAGAGCTTTCCTTGACTTGCCAATCGTCTCTTCAACCATGGTATCTCCTCCAACGAGTACCTATACGCTCGAAACAATGCATTCGACTCCCCAGGAAATATCTTCGCCGTCACCTCGTCCGGATATGAAGCAAAGTGCGGATTAACATACTCCCAACAAATGTACCCATCTTGCGTGACCTCAAAGAGACGACCAAAAGCACTTTCACAGAGCAAGGTATTCCCATTCGCAAGCCTCTGCGCGCTGCCCATAAACGGCGTGAAGAAATATAGTATCTGCGAGCGGTCTCGATACTCCCAGACAGTCTCCTTCGTTGCGCGACTGACCTCAATCGCCCGAGAATAAGTGATTGATTCGCCGCCTCGGAAAGCACCATTGTCGAAGATGAGAATGTTGCCGTTTTCCAACTCCGTGGCGTTGTGCTGTTGTGCTAATATCTCGGGCCCGAGCTTCCACACTATATCGCCGGTGGATTTCTCGATGATGATGACTGCGGAGACGGAGCGCATGGATGCGAGAATATGCTTTCCATCTTTGAGGGGTATGACGGAGTTAATAAGGGGGTAGTGTTCGCGGGTGTAGTGCGCTTGGAGAGGGAATTCAGCGCGAGGCAATCGGTCGGAGACTTTCCATTGCCATACGAGATTCCCGTGCTGGTCGACTTCGTTGATGGTGTCCGCGTAGGTGATACCGTCGATTTCACTATCCGGTACGCCTCCTATCACCTTGGCGGATTCCTCTTCGGACAATGCCTCGAGACTTGTATACAGTACTCGTCCGTCGCCGAAATGATACTGGTCGTGATGACCCAAAGGATCAACGAATTGGCGTACCACGTTGCCGTCCGGATCAAGTTCACTCATGATTCCACCGCCGTATTTGTTAAAGAAGGGGAAAGGGAATGGTCCGCCGTCTTTGGTGGTTTGACTAGGAGATGGTCGGAGTGTGTTGACGGCAAGGTTGCCGTTGGGAAGGATTCTAGCATGTCGGCCAATGCGTCCGGGTAGCTCCCATGAATGGACCTCTTGTCCATCGATATCGATTAGATGGGCCGTATCACTAGTCAACGGACAGAAGAGAGTGTAGCCCCCGAATGAGCGAGCTTTGTCGACGCCGGTTAGGCCGACGCCCCGTCTTTTGAGTATGTTTTGCTCCATCGCAAGATGTAGGTGCCAATTGCTTGCTGTGCCGCTCGAGTAGATGCTGATATCGGGATATAGCATGCATTTAAGGTAGAATTGATGAAATTAATTTCTATCACGAAGTCTAGTTCATATTTCCCAACATTGACGAACAACAACTAGGGTTGTGATGCCATCCGATGGTATGCCGACGTTCCTACGGCAAGCCGGCGGGATGCCGCCGGAAGGCGCTTATCATGGCCAGCCCTAGCCATGAATACAAGACTGCCATAGGTACATGGTCTCATCACGCCATTATCGTCGCCATGATAACTTCAACATCCTGTGAATGGCTTTATTACCCTATCACCTCATTCAAGGCGGCATCCTTTATGGCATGTATGCTGGCTGTGGACCTGGGAATAAAATGGCGAGGATTGCGAGGGAGCCCCGGGGCTTTGGTTCGAGAAAGCAAACTTCAGTAGAAGAACTCCTAGATTGCACTTTGATTCATAATAGTCTCCTGATCCAGGGAGAGCACCGCAATGGATCCCCTGAAGCCTGATTTTGAGCATGAAGTTAACATCGTGATCGATATGCCCGGCTATGATCCCAGCATTCAGCCGGAACCCGGCGAAACCAGAAGGGCATTATTGAAGGTGGACTTACTGATCTTGCCTTTCATTGTCATATGCTTCTGCTTTCTTCAGTTTGACCGTACGAATATCGGTAATGCATTAACCGACACGCTCCGAGCTGATATCCAAGTCGATAACTCGGCCATAAATCTTGCTCAGACTTTGTTCACGGTAGGCTTCGTCATCACCGAGTTACCTTTCAATGTGATAAGCAGATACATGGGTCCGGAGCGTTTTCTTCCTATTACCATGTTTCTCTGGGGCGTTGCGACGTGGTCTCAGATCTTCATCAAGAACGCCTCTGGGCTCCAAGCGGCTCGCTTCTTCATCGGGGCTCTTGAAGGAGGATATATCCCTGGTTTTGCTCTGTACATCTCAAAGTTTTACACGAATCAAGAGCTAGCATTGCGGTATGCAATATTTTGGGCTTCAAACAGTTTTGCCGGAATCCTGGGAGGGCCGTTTGCCATTGGGCTTCTTTCTCTTGGAGGACGACATGGTCTGGGAGGATGGCAGTGGTTGTTTCTGATCGGTATGGCCGTCTTTCCTATGGAAAAAAAGAAAAAAAAAAGTACTGACATAGTACAGAGGGTGTATTGACATGCTTCCTGGGACTCGTCGCATATATCTATCTTCCACACAGCGCTGTGACTCCCAAAACGTTCTTCGGCAGATCATTCAACACGTTCACAGCTAGAGAGGGGTCAATTCTCACTACCCGAGTGATCAAAAACGACCCCACCAAAGCCTACAGACAGAAAAATAGAGTATCGCCCTCGGATATTCTCGAGACGTTCCTAGACTGGCGACTATACGGCCACATCATAGGCGGATTTCTCTCCATGGTCATGATCTCACCGATGAACACCTATGCCCCTTCTATAATCAAGGGTCTCGGATTCACGAGTCTACAAGCCAACGGCCTCAACTCGGTTGGCAGTGCATGTGCCCTGGTTATGTCTATATTGCTGGCATTCAGCAGTGATAGGTTCCAGGAACGAGGAGTTCACATCGCAATTGGATACCTGTGGGGTGCGGCGGGGATATTATGGCTAGCACTGACACCTGAAGCTAGTGGGAAGTGGATTCTCTATGGTGTGTCTCTTCTGCATATTTCGACGGGTTCTGAAAATCACCCCGATGCTAACATACGCGAAAAAGGAGGAGTAATATGGACTCAAATGGGCATGGGTTGTGCTCAAGCAATCAGCGCGGCCTGGTTAACTGCAAAAATGCAAGATCATAAGCGCCCTGCTGCTCTGGCGGCGTATGTGATGAGCATCCAGCTCGCGAATTTCCCAGGGAATCAGCTTTTCCGGTCACAAGGTACGTTCTATTTATGAAGATCTAGACTTGGAACCAAAACTAATAATATTACTAGATGCACCTCGGTATACTCGAGGTTTGATTATTGCTGCCTCTTGTACGATTGCCGCAGCAGTTGTTATTCTATTCTGGAAGTTGCTTTACCGTTTATATGATCACGGAGACAGTGGTGTTGAAGTTAAGTATGGTGTTGCCGAGCCGCGAGAGAAACAGATAGAGCCCCAAGGCGGCAGTCAAGGTGTATAAACTTAAGGAAGAAATTTTTACTGTTCTTTAACTATCTCTGTACTCTAGCCTAGGTTTAAGATAGAGTATTACTTCATTTATTTGCATTCTCCTTATGGCTTAGGCCTCGTACAGCTCGGACCGATCGAACTCTACCATTCCTCTGAGTTTAACCACTCTTAACAAAGCAGCGCAACAACGGCTGGCTGAGCAAGGATTCCGCTAGACCTCCCCATATTCCCATCATTTTGCTACTCATCTCTTCGTAATGAATTCGGATCGTGATGGAGGCCGAGGAGTTCGGGAAGACGGCCAATTCAACTACGATGTCTAAAGCCGGGAAGGCATAGCGAAAGATTACGAGCACATAATATGTCAGATTTCTAGATAAGGGCCATCGTCGCGATGACCTTCACCTTCCTCATCCTTGAGATGACATATAAAGTTATATAGGGTGACTGCAGTCATTCCCAATGCTTGGAGTCAGCAATAAAAGTACTAGAGTCAAGGTTGGCACTTTGTTATAACATGTGTTGTTATGCTTTTGTTATATCAAATTTCTACGGAGTAACTTTGTTCAAAGAGATCTTGTATTGGCCTATTGATTAAGACATTGATAGAGACTCCCAAGGTCCTAAGCCAACAAATCCCCGTGTATCTGTTAACCACCCATCAACCCGCACGACCGCCTGGAATCTTAGAACCGGTCATAATTAAGCGGATCTGCTGGATGAACTTCATATCCCGCAATTGTATGGTGACACGCCGTGCATGGATGGCGGCCAGGTTTGTCACTATAGCTATATTACTATAATGATCAATATACAGGGTTCCTTTGAATACGTACGCTCAAATTCTGTCACCAGCATTGCCTCACAAGCCTCTTGCAGAGCTTCAATTGCCGACGCCTGCCATCTCATATTCGCGCGGATGCGTTTCGATATCTCCTTGACCAACCGGCCGAATGGCAGCTTCCGGAGGAGTAGTTGTGAGCCTTTCTGGTACTGTCGAATCTTCTTGAGGGCCACAGCTGATATAGGGGTAAGCAGTTGAACTAATCAATGGGCAAATCAGACCTACTTCCCGGGCTTATATCGGTAGCGGCGTCTCTTCACGGGAACCCTTATTCCCTTTGATGCTTCTCCGGGAAATGACTTGCCTCGAATGGCTTTGTGTCTTCGTGCTACCTCCGCGAGGCCTTTCCTTGGGGCCTTGCCCCTGGTGGTTTTGAGCAGTCTGCTTGGTTCGTGCCATTTGTCGATGGGTGTGAGGGAAGAATCAGGATGAAGGTTAGGAAGAGGATTTGGGAAAAGATGTAGAAGGGGATAAAGAAGATATGAATGTGAGAGAAACAGAAAGTCTTAGCCAATAAGATGTTTGTACTCCTCTTCTCACTTCCTCACTTCTCTCACTTGCTCCTCCCATCCGTTTCCGAATTGCCTCGTCCATTTCCCTCTCCACCCTCTTCCTTATTCTTTTCATTCGATCACAACCTCATCTTCCGGATCTCATCAAGTATGCCCTCCTATTAATCAATTCATTTTTCTATTTAGTGTACTACAATGTACTAATAAACATACCAATCAGAATGGAACGCCGAATCCCCGGACCTAAACCGGGACCGAAACTGGGTGAAATAAGAAAAGCGGAAGAGAGTCTCAGAGAACTCACATACCAAAAAAACACGAAGTCGTCTTGCGCAGCTGAGCCCCGTTGAGCGACAGATTGAAAATGCCAAAAGAGCAGATCGCCGAGCACTTGTCCGCCGTTTGAAAAAAAATTGCGCGGTTCCCAAGCATACAAGAATGCAGATGCTTCAGAGAAAAAAGAGCTTGTAGTGCAGGCTACGAATGCAGTTCGGTCGCAGAGGTATGATCCAATGTTCTAATCAATATATTAATCTATATTGACTCTTCATCCACAGATAGAGAAGGGAGAACCGCAGAGCGGATTGCGGAAAGTCTGGGCTATACAGAATCTGCATTAGCTGCAACGTATGATGATGGAAACGCTGCATTTGAGGACGTTCACGAAGAAGATGATGCTACGTATAACCGACGATGCAGACAAGACGACACCGAGAGTTATTGTCCATCTTCAATTCCCAGCATTGAGGCAGCCGCAGTAGCACAGACTCTTATTCGTGATCGGATGGCAAACAAAGAGACATTTACATTCCAATTTCTATGGTCTCGATGGGCGAAGCACTGGAGAACCCGGATCAAACAGTCTCGTCAAAGATGCCGTGCTATCACCACAATGGAGCTAAATGGCCGTTCTATTCCAGAGCATCCCGGCCAATTCTTCATTGCCGATGATTTGCAATGCTTTCTAGCACTCCACCATTCAACTAAATTCAACTACAATGGTTGGATCACATTGCCTGGTCCACCCACCTGGTGGAACTTCGATTTCGAAAAACTCGGGATCGATGGGGATGGCAGAGACACTATCCAGGCACGCAAAAGAGCTCTCCGAATGATCTATGCCAAAAAGATGCCCAGGAATTTTTTCACCTTTGAAGTTTCTGTTGTTTCTATTCTTGCACTGAGGAGAAAACCCGATTTCTTCAGAGATTCTTTCATCTTTTCCGGATTATCACAATGATTAGGAGGATCCGTTTAGAATTACAAAAGTTGTTCTAGCTTAAGATTATTGTCTTCTTCTTCCCTTGTTGAAATGAAATTTTTATCTCGGAACGTCCATTAATCTGCGCCTGTAGCTCACCTAAGTATTTGCAAGAACAAGTTGCTTGAATGTTGCCTAGTAGTTAACCAGCGATAATGCACTAATCAATATAAGCAACAAGTGTATAGACCCAAACAATTAAGATTTATTTGCTGAATTAATTTATTGCATAACATTGGCCCTGATATATCATAATGATATATCCGATGTACCAATCAATATACTAATCAACAGGGACTGCAATTTGAGAGAAAGCAAAGACGATTCGATTCATTCGGTAAAGCTATCTATTGCAGAACATTAAGGAAAACCGGTGCTATTATACAGCTATGCTGGTTGCATATTCATTTTCGTAACCACTTCTTCGGCAAATCCCCTTAGCTCGGCAACATCTAATTCAAGGATAGTGTTCGGGTTTGCTCCGGGTACCATGGCAGCGCCGAACAGCTCCCCCTTGGTCAACTGAATCGTTTCGGTCGGGGGTAATGGCGAGGGCGCTGGGAAGATACTCTAATGAATATTAGCTTTCTGTCGTGGGTTTGCGATAAACAGATAATTACCATGGTACTTGAAACAAGACTCCCAACTGCGTCCCGGCGCCATACTTCGGCACAGCCCTTGATTCGCCCGTTCGTTATTGCTGTCCACCGTAACAGGATCACAAGCACAACGGACGGATCTCCGAGTATCCACAAATCTTTGTCGTGGCGAAGGTGTGGAAAGGACTCCGACCATCCTGACTCGACTATTATCCGCGGCGATGGATCCGTGTCCACTCGAAGGTAATGGTCTGGCTGTTTTGATGAGCCCCTGTAGATGCCCGAGAATTGGTCAAAGGCTAAGACAATGTAAGTTATTAGCGCAGCAACATGGCCGAAGGAATATGTACATACTGGTCCCAACGCCGCTCCACAACAGTTGCGATTCTTGTCGAGTTATGAGGCCGTTGTATCGCCATTCGACAATGCAGGTGTTTATCCACCGCTGGTGGCTGTCGTGCAGACTAATGGGCATGAGTTTCAAGCGTAGAATTCTGGTCACCGAGTTATAATTGATCCTACCATCATATTAGTACAAATATTAGCCAAATAGTTGGCAAAGCGGATGTCATACCTTGCGCAGCGTCGTTCGGTCTCGGCGTGGCCATCTAAGGATCGACAAATGAGATTTCCGTCATCAGGTTTCACGTGCTCGAATATCAACTCAGTATAGGTAGAGATGTAGGACAGCTTATAAACGATCTCTTCGTAGAGGCTTTGCGCAGCGGGGGGAAGACTCTTAGAGCGAGGTCTTCCCTGGGGGATGGATGTTGAAAGGAGACTCATGGTGGAGTTGGAAAAAGATGTGCTGAAGATGAAGATCGGTTTTCAGTACTGAAAGTGGTGAAAGCAGGGAAGGCGTGTTCGTCAAGGTTTTTAAAGGCGACGTGAGGAAAGATCGACGATGAAGGTATGGAAGTGCAGATGATTATGGAAGTGAGGTGAGTGTGACCAATGAAAGTACCTGAACTGACGCAACGAATATCTGCCTCAGGCAAGACAGGTAGCCGTCTCTAGTAGGGGGCTGGTCTGCTTCACCTCAACGAATAATTTCATCTTAATAAAAAAATTGAAGCTATTCATTTTATCTCTTACTACTATTATTATGAATTCCTATACTGAAATCGAGGATTGTATCTTAAAGGCCTATAAAGCTGCTAAATATATTAAAAAACCTAATATTATGTTACAGGCTTGCAAAATAGAGGGGTATTAGAAAGGGGAGATGGTTAAGCAGCAGCTCTCCCTCTAAAATTACAGGTAGAAAGGCGGCCATTTCTAGCCTTAAAAGTGGTTATTTTTGGTGTCGACTCCACAGGTCCTCATTTTCTAGATGTAAATGCCTCCATAGTTCATGTGTACTCCGTAGAAACTGGCAGCCTGACCAATCAGGCTCCCATCCGATCACCACATCAGCGGCGGAATGTCGCCATCTGATAAGCTCCTGATAAGCGCATGGCCCCCCGATGTGAACGTCAACCGGCCTCACAGGCGAGATTTTGTCTATGCCTTACGTGAAGCATGCCTCCACTTCGATCGGGTAGGGCTTCAAAAGCCTGCAATCTATGTCGAAAATACAAGACGAGATGTTATGCTTCATCCGATGGCACCAAGAGTGGTTGTCTGCGCTGCATCACATTATCCCAGCCGTGCTCTTTAGAACGTGAAGCTGTCACGGCGTATCGTCCGATCTCGCCCGTTGAGAATCCAGTGCAAGATACTCATGCTTTTTCTGATGCGAGTCGTGGCGATGGGTTCAGTCAGCAGGGCTCCACAGATGAGAGGTCTGTATAATAAAGCGAATAGACTTGAAATCGGCAAGGTCTGACAATTGTTTGGATAGGCTCGAAAGGCTCGAAAGAATCGTCGAGGGCTTGGTAGGCCGACTAGATTCCAGACTCTATGCTCTGACCAGTATCTGGAATAATGAGCCGTCTGCAAGGAAAGCCACACAATTCGTTAGCTCGACTGAGCAGAACCCAGCCCCCGTGCTTTTAATCCGAGATGCGGCCATAGATGCTGGTGTGCATTCGCCTGATCAGAATGATTCCAATACCGGCTTATTTTCAGACGTTATCTCATCTGGACTAGTGACATTGCCAACTGCCCACTCCTTAGTACAATTGTAAGCTTATTTGCCAAGGTAAACAACTGCATAACTCCTGCTAAATCTCCCAGATTTCACTTTCACTATGGTCGATGGGTCAAATTCCCAGAAGATGTATCGACTGAGTCTCTGATACCACGGATTCGAAAATCTCCAGTTCTCCTATGCAGTGTCCTGCTAATTGCAGTCCGACATTCCACCCAAGATCTTGCAGATCGACTTGCGCCTCAATTATTCCGTGAAGCAAAGCGTCTCGTTACATCATCATTACTTGTGGTGCCCCAACCAATCGAATTCTTCCAAGCTGTACTCATATTGAGCTTATGGTCTACGACTATCGGTCAAGTACCGTTGAGTGTTGACAGCTGGCTCCTGACGGGATATGCTCTGCAACAAGCATTGATCGGTCCCGACTTTGCGGAAGTCTTTCGATCAGGCCCATCCCTTCCTACCACACGTCGTCACATTGATACTTGGTGTTTATGGAATCATCTCTGTCTGGCTCATCTACAGTGCGTTTCCTAGAAAGGGTCACCGGCGCCGGCTAATTTTCAAATAGATACTGCGTAGGAACACGTCGGCAGGCCATGCTCAGCGAAGCTCAAATTGGCCATTGTACCCGGTTCATTGAGTCTGATAGCGTCACCAACTATGAAGCCAGAATGGTTGCCGAAGTGAAACTATATTGGATCATCTATCAACAGTGCTTCGGTCCTCAAATAGAGCTATCCGAAGTGAGGCGTGTGCTGCAGAATTGGCAACACGAATGGCATGCGTTGTTTGGTACTCATCCACGCAATATGATAATGAAGCATAAATGCTAATTATAATTTCAGCCCAGCCTCGATCCCAGTTTCTCCAAATGGGGTTTCATTTCGCTCATCTTCTCGCGTACAGCAATTCTCTCAAATCACCCCAGACTGCGATGGCTAGCTCTACAGTCACAGAAATGATCAGTCATTCAACAATCATCATCAACCTTGCAATCGACACAAGCGATGAAAGAACGCGTCATCTAACAGATCAAATATACCACATCGTGACTTTCTCTGCACTGACACTTTCTCGCCTTGTTCATACATATGAGTCGAATCTTCAGGCGGGCCATCATAATTTCGAGAGTCTTGATAACCTTGTTGTCAAGCTTATAAATTGGCTCAAATCAATTGGACTTCCATGCCACACTGCAAACATGCTAGGCGATATTGTCTCGGCCCAGTTCGTGAAACTACGACCGAACTTTCGACAGGCAGCGATCAACGATGTTGAGAGGAACGAACTTGGTCGCGACGATATATTTGTTGATGATACGCCACTACCACCCGATGTCGCGCTTTTTTGCCCCAATTTCATTGGATCTGAGCTCTTTGATCTAGATACGGAGCTGGCGTCCTGGCCGCAATGGGGGCCGATGTATCCGCATATCGATGAGTCAACTTAGACAGCTATTCTAAGAAAACACTAGGTATTTGCCCAATATTCTAATCCCAAGATTTATTGAAATCTCCAAGGTCTATTCCGCGATATTACATGCCGATATTAGGAATTCTAGAACAGGATAGCAATACAAGTTACAAGTCCTCAACAAGAGATGATGTATTGTATTCTTTAGGCGTAACTACTAACTCTGGGATTCCTTGTGTCAGAAAGACATTGATCACAATGGAAAGCCAATTCTGGACACTTGGCTTCAATGTAGGTACATTGATTGACTAATGTAGCCCGTTAATAGCTGTTAAGCAATTTCAAAAACATAGGCTTTCTATCAATGAGCCAATTGAAACATTGATGACAGAATGAAGCTGTAATAGAGTGTACTCTATTTTAGTCAACCAGGGGTAGTGAAGCCCGCCTGATTCTGAACCCTAGGATCTTCGGAAACTGCAAGAAGTTCTTTGACGAGCGTTCTCGTTCATAATCTACGAACGATTCATCGAAGTTCGTCTCTTCCAGTGCGTCGAGAACTAGACCTTCTTGGAAGAATGGCGCAAAGAGCTCATGGAGAGGGCGATGGAAAGAAAACTGTTTAAGTTTCAACAGTTAGAGAAAGATAGTCAGATACACAGGGTAGGATTTGGAGTGGACTCATAAACAAACCGGTGGTGGGATGTTCTCGTCTTCAGAGAAGAGAAGCTGTCGTGCTGGTGGGACGTCAAGATACTTTTCCAATATGATCGAGCGGGTGATCTCCTGTTGACCGGTCATTGGGTTTCCATGGAAGGTAATCTGGCGATATGCGCCAGAGGTGAAAAATAATGGATGAAGAATCGTGGCTACGAAGCTGTAGTCGTTCAACATTAGGTATCGCGTGTTCGACATGGTGAGCGCTGCTTACCAGCCATCCTGCTTCAAAAGACACTTCAAGGCTGAAGCTAGTGGCTTCAAATCAGGAATATCCATGATACCCATGTTCAACGTAATGATATCGAATTTTTCGGTCTGATTCCTATTAGCAAGATCCTTCCCAATAACAAAATGACGAATAGACCACTAACCGGGATTAGAGACTGCGATATAAAATCCTCCCAAGCATCTATGCTTGCAGCATTCAAAACCTCAAACGAAATTTTCCGCTCCCTACTCAACTTTCCCTGTTGATACCAACTTTCTGTCCTCGCCGTGGCACGCTCCAGCATCGGCCTGGACGCATCTGTCGCCACAACTGAAGCGCCCTCTTTTGCGAGCCATCGCGCAACAAGCCCATTCCCCGTTGCAAGGTCCAGTGCACGGGCGCCTTGACGTGGTATAACAATTCTTTCAAGAATAGGCAGCTCCAGCACCGAGAAGTATTCATTTCCGTTATCGCCCATCAGCTCGTCCCATGCTTTCGCGTGGTTTTCCCATGCCAGGAGAGTTTTTGTTTCGATGTCGGTGGGGTCCATGTCGAGTTACTGGGCCTGTGAGGCACGACAAAGACGATAAGTTGAGAGTTGCAGGAGGTTTGTGGTTATTTTAATGGTGGTTATAATAAGGCGAGTCGACAAGACATACATCCCCACTTGCCGCGTTCTCTTTGTGAATAACATCGACATTATCTTGATACAGGAACCTTATATATATAAGGACCTTACCCGCAAGATCACTAAAAGGCATCCTTTATACGAATGTTTTTTCCCGACTGACAGTTGGGTGAGAAGCGGCCGTCCCAGAGTCCTTACCTATATCCGAAAGAAAAAGGGTATACAGTCCTCTCAGATTCGCCCAAACTTAACCGATCAAGACGTACTATCAGACCTTCTCCTTCTCCAAATCTCTGGGCGCTCAGGACAACCTACTCTGATCTTCAATATTTACAATGCTCCCACTGGATCTTCGATCAGATCTGGCAGAGCTGTACAGGAACTGGTTAAATTTCCTGACTCTTACTTTACCCAACCAACTCTGCTGGCAGGCGATTTTAATCTGCGATATACCAGATGGCAGCCCTCACTCCAACAAAACCCCTCTACCTTGGCCGAGCCAGTAACTGAATGGCTAGATCGACAGGGGCTAGTGTTAATCTCTGAGATTGACACTCCCACGCACAAAAGAGATAATACCCTTGACTTAGCTTTCGCAACAAGCTCTCTTGCTCTTATAGGAGCACACACCGAGGTCGCACGCTATCTAGATGCTACATCGGACTATTACCCTCTTCTTACTACCCTACCCTGGGGACAGAGATACCCAGAGGCCTCACAGAGGCTTAAACTCAATACCCTAGACACTTCCCGTTTCCAAACTCTCTTAACCCTGAACATTAACACCCTTCCAGTAACGGCACATTCAGAGAAGGAACTTGATCACCTTGCAAATGGGATTATTTCAGCTGTATACAGTGCATACGCAGCTTCTGCACGCAAGACTAGACTACAAGGAGGGAGACAGCCCTAGTGGAACCCAGACTGCAAAGAAGCACTCTTGAAATATCGCGCCGGTTTATATTCAAAAAAGGACTTCCGCCGGACAGTGAGACAGGCAAAACGAAACTACTGGAAAGATAAAATAAACTCAATAACTACGGCTAAAGAGGTATTCGACATGTCCAAATGGCATAGAACAACAGGATCCTACCGCAGCCCTCCATTGGCAGACCCTCAGCAACCAGAGAACCTACCAGCAGTTGATGTTCAAGCCAAACGGGATATCCTAGCCCGTAATCTCCTGCAGAACTCTGCAGAGGCAGGGGACATACCACTTGACGCACCGGCAGTCCCATCCAGTTCTCTACAATTCCCTAAGATAACAATGGCCCAGACAGAGAAGGCTATCTTGCACGCAGGGAATACAATTCTAGGGAAAGATAAACTGCTGACTAGCATACTCAAGATAGCATAGCCGGTAATTAGAGACAGAGTTTTTGCTCTCTTTCAGAGCTGCCTATCAGTAGGCTATCACCCGCAATGTTTCTGCCATACAATCCTGGCAATTATCCAGAAACCAAATAAGGCGGATTGGTCCAGTCCCAGGTCGTACCGGCCAATTGCCCTTCTCTCAGTCCTAGGCAAAGGCCTAGAGCGCCTCCTGGCGCGGAACATGGCATAGATTGCAATCAGCTACAGGATACTTGCTAGCCAACAGTTCGGAGCCCTACCTCTCCGTTCAGCAGTCGACCTAACTACGTGCCTATTGCATGATGCAGAGCTAGCACTAAACCAGGGAAAGGTTGCCTCTTTACTCACTCTTGATATCAAAGGCGCCTTTGACGGAGTCCTTCCTGGCAGGCTAGTCTACCGACTTCGCACGTAGGGCTGGCCTGACAACCTGATTCGCTGGGTAGCCTCCTTTATCACAGGCCGCACAGTGCAGATCCGACTAGACGGTGAACTAGGGCCTCTAATCGGCATACTCTGCGGCCTGCCGCAAGGCTCACCCATATCCCCCATCCTGTTTATGCTCTATATAGCCCCCTTGTTCCAGCTGGGCAAGCCCCGAGCCAGATTTGGCTATGCAGATGATGCAGCATTCCTTGCAACATCACTTACCCTATGGGAGAACTGCCAAACCCTATCAAACTCCTTGCAAGAGGCCCTGGATTGGGACTTGTCAGAAGGGATAACCTTTGTACCAAACAAATATGAGCTGCTCCACTTTTTACGGCACAGAGATGATTAAGATCCCAGTTGCATTCTATCAGTATCTGCAGGGACTGTAACAATTAAAGAGAATACAATACGCCCATATCTGCGCTAGCTGGAAATCCTCTTCGACAAAAAGCTCAGCTTTAAATACTATATTGGAGAAATGGCCTCAAAAGCTCTAAGTGTAGCAAACGCATTTCGTTCTTTCAGCAACACAGTCTGAGGAGTTAACCCTTACCTCATGCGGCAAGCAATTAAGGCCTGCGTACTCTCTAAAGTCTACTATGGTACTGAAACCTGGTGGCCGGGCAGCTCCCGCCCTGATTCACGTACAGGAATAATTTTAAACCGGGTCCAAGGATACCTTGACAGAGTAACGAAAGTTATATTAGCAGGGGCTAGAGCAGTCCTTCCAGTTTATCGCACAACCTCAATACCTGCTCTCTACCGGGAGTCAGGGTTCCTACCAGCAGAGATTGAGCTAGACTATATAGTTGCTGCTGTAACAGTTTGCACACGCCGTCTTGACCCCTATTACCCACTCCGCAGAAGGGCAGAAGAGACAACCCGCACAGGCCTCAAGAGAAGCCGTTTTGCACGCCGAGTACGAGCCCTGCCGAAATCAGAACAAATTAACCCTCTACAAAATGCCCCCTGGCTTCTGCAAGAATCACGCGAAGCAGCTTAACAGCGGATCAGAGCTCCTAAAACGGGCCAGACTAAGGAACAGGCAGCCAGTAATTTCCAGGACTTTTACGCCTCTCTCCCTCAGACAGATATAAAAGTCTTTACAGATGGCTCAAAACTAGCAAACGGAATGGCAGGCGCGGGTTTTGCCCTATATCAATTAGGGAAATTATACCAACAGTCTTCCCTCCCTCTGGGCCCCAACAGAGAGGTCTTTGATGCAGAGGCTGAAGCAGCACTAGCGGGAATCAAAGCAGCTCTCAAATTGACTACAGCTTATCTCGCTACCAACCTATAGATCTGCCTGGATAATCTAGAGGTAGTTACGCGCCTCCTCTCACCATCTACAGGTTCATCTCAAGAGGACTTTAATACCTTCCGAGACCTCGCCTCATCCTGGTTAACACGGGAACGATATCTATACACCGGTACTAGCTCCGTACAGATCTGCTGGGTCCCTGGACATATGAAAATACCAGAGAATGAAGCAGCAGATCAAGCTGTTAAAAAGGGAGCAGGCGTGCCTCTTTCTCTTGCAAGCAAACACTCGTACGCCTCACTAAGGCGGCAGACAAAGGATGACGCTATATCTGCCCTTCAGGAATACTGGCAGCTTAAGGTCCCGCAATCCTATCAGGATCTCTGGATTACCAAATCCTCCAGGTGCCCTGCAGAACTAAAACTCCCGAGATACCTTCTCGAGCGGATCTTAGCTGCCCGTACGGGCCATAGAGATTTCGCAGCTTACCATGAACGGTTCAATCATAAAGACGCCCATCTTGTCTGTCGCTGCGGTACAAGGAAAACCCCAGTTCACTTCCTTTTCTGCTGTATCGCGAAGAGACGCCTGCCTCGACCCCCAGGCCCTCCCTCCGAGACAATCCCCTTCCTATTAGGCACCCCAAAGGGCGCGGCCAAGTTAGCTGCCTGGCTAGCTGAAACCCGATTCTTTGAGGATATCTGTATCCGATTTCCCTTATCTCAACCAGACTGAGGCCTCCCCCCCCAAAAAAAAAAAAAAAATATGCGATAGCGGTAGTAGGTATGGTCACGAAGTGTAGGAGGACCTTTGCAGCTGGCATTTCTCTCTTTCTCTGCATTGCAGAGACCTTTTCCTTTTGACTGAAGCAGCTATTAAACGCGCCGAAGTCCCCTATCTGTACATAGAACTAGAACAAGCAGCTAGTTAGTGACGCCCAGGGCTTACCCCCTGGCGGCCTTTGCCCCAACAGGGGATGGTGGGACACGTGCTTAAGCGGTGTCACACGGCCGAAAAATAAAACAACAACAACAACAACAACAACAACAACAACAACAACAACAGTTATCCTGGCTTCTAGTCTTAAATTTTTCTAATATTAGGCTTATTAGCCTTCACCTCCTGAAAAATCTCTACACATAATGGCTAATAATTTAAGATGCCTAACTCTAAGAGCTGACCAACTAACAACTTCTGCAATTATGGCCTTGAATGAGAATTACCGAATGACTACTCGTTAAAACCGACCTGATTATTTTATCCTGAATGATGGATATGATGATGAAGCTTTGCCTGAAGACCAAATATCTGAATTCTTCCAGCCAGAACTTAATGCTCTCAGCAGAATTACTACCTCCTGCGATATCCTGCCTTCGGGGTCGATTTCACAAACTATAACTGGTATTATACCAGCTGAATCTTGTCTTCTGTTTACCCCATTTTACTCCCAAAAACGACCGCGTTCAGCACCAATCACTGCCTGGATCTGGGATCACTTTCAGATCACCGAAGTAGATCGTAAATGGATAATACAGACAACTAAAAAAAGGGTGCCAACTGACAAAGATATCCGATTTGCATATCTTGACGGTAAAACTAGGGTCCAATGTTCTTGGAACATATCAGATTCGTTGAGACAGATTTCTACTACCAATTTGTAAAGGTATCTGGAGAAACACTCGATCTTTTTACCTCATTCTCAAGCTGAGGGTCCTAGTAGGGGGCAATCTAATATTACAAGCTTTATTGCCAGACAAGAGACTCTCTTATATTAACAATGTCTTGAGAAAAACCTCCTTCGCTGGATTATCCGTGATAAGCAAGCATTTACAACTATCAAATCACTAGAGTTCTAACAGATATTTCAAGATATACC